CTGGCATAAACAATGTTAAATTTTAACTGACTTAATTTTGCGAACGCATCTTTTTTATTTATATGGATATCTTAAGGTCAGTTTTTGCACTAATGTTGCTAATGCACCATTTGAACGAAAAAAAATTAAGGAAACTTTTCTGTTAGCGAACCCTTTGTTAAATATTTTGAATATCACCACTGTGTATATGTATATATAGTATTGTAAATTTTGTTAGTTTTAAGTTGATAATTCATATATCGTGTAAACTTGAGCGGTAGGAATTATCTTATGGTTATCGTACTGTTAAAATAAACCTTTTTTTTTTGGTCATTTTCGTGCACATGTGTTTGGTCATTGATTGAGTCCTTAGAATATATATATATATTTATTGTCTCTATGGATTTCAACCTACTGGAAGCTCAACAATTTAAAAAGAACATACTTTCTAATTACATTCTTATAATTGTAATTAAGTTTGAAATTTTCTTTTTTTCATTAAGAAGTGGACAAAGCAAGCATAAAAATAATTTGCTGTTATTAGTCACCATTTGTTTTAATGATTCTTGCTGTCATTTATATATGACTAGGTGATCATTTTGCTGCTTGTTTTGCAAGATTACAATAAGAATCAAATTTACTGTGAAAAAAATAAATCACATTCTGCTTTCATTTTCACTAGGGAAAGTCTATTTGAAATAAATCTTGAATCCATGTCATTAAACATACTCATTAAAGATTAGTTTATACTGACAGCAACTAGTGAAAATGAATAAGAAACTGAAAAGTAATTTTTATTCACTTAGTGAAATTGATTCATACAAAAAAACATAGAATGTGAAAATTTTCAACATATCAGATTGGTGAAGTAATTTGCTGAACAGGAAAATGTCAAAATGGCATCACATGTTACATATTAATGTGTGTCACTGTAACAAATGCTTCAGGTTAGTCCACAGTTACAGTTTTCATATTTTTAATAATTTCTTTAATTTTTTTCCATTTCAAAGTGAATAATGCATAAATGTTGTAAGATATTGAAAAATATGATATATGAATGTGAAGTCATAAATGACAAACATATAACTGAAGTGTTTTTATAATGGAGAAAGTACTGTACAGAAAATATTTAACATATAATTGCAAAATAATGTACAATTGAGAAACGTATAAATGCGCTGTAATCATAGAATTATATCAAAGTCATACATTTAATAAAATAGTTTACTTACACCAAGTATTATCCAGAAACGTTGTTGTATTGAAACTTGTATAAGGAGCAGATGTGATGTTATTATCATGAGCATATGTATTTTCTATAGGTATTGTCACCATCATTGATGATTTTGCAAAAAAAGATATGATCACAGATAATGTACTAACCATAACAATAATAAAAATAATAAAAGAAATCTTAGCAAATAAGGTTGCTCCAACCAAGCAGATGATTAAATTGAAAACATTTAGACTGGTGCCATACAGAAATTTATACCATCTTCCACCAGGAAGTAATGAAACCAAACTTCCTACAAAGAAAAAAGTATTAAATTTAATAAACTTATACTAATATTCTTTACAAAATTGCAATTGTAAATGCATAAGTACAAATAATGAAGTAATAGGATCAATAAATAAAAACTAAGTACTAGTACTAGGAAAATGAAAAAATTCTATTAATAATTCTTTAGGTTGTTTTATCAACTAAACATCTATCTTTAACAACTAATGTAACTTTGAAGTTAAATTTAGAAAGTTTCATTTAAATGATCAAATGTTAACTATGAATGTTTTACTAGAGAACTTATTAAAAAATTCTTGCAAAAAAATTCTAAATATTAAAAATTTCAAATCAAAACTGTTCCATTTATTCACAGAATTACAACACAATAAATAATTTAAGTGATAAGACTATTAATATGCTATGTGTTGGATAATATCACATTAATGCTGATTAATTTATCTATTCTTCAAATATATAAACCTTCAGTATAATAAATTTTATTTACAGTCGACCCCCCTATAACACTGTTGATAATTCCGTTTTATATGAATTCCATGTTGTATGTATGAGTCACTTAGATTTTACAAATATGTAAGTCGTTCACAGCCGGCACACGTATTTGTAAAATCTAAGTGACTCGTACAACATGAAATTCATATAAAATGGAATTATCAACAGTGTTATAGGAAGGTCAACTGTATTAGCATCCTGCCTCAGATTTGTAGTGTTCAACGTGATACAGTATAACATAAAGAATATAACTTTATTTTATACAGTATGAACACGAAAAAAAAAAAAGATCAGGTCCAAACTATGGTGCATTGTTAGTGAATACTTTTATACAACAGTATAGTACAATCAAGATCATTACACAAAAGTATCTTCTCAACCACTTTTTGGGATTCACACATGTGGGGTTAAATCATGAATGAAAGTATACACAAAAATCAGCCGCACATAAAACTACCTTACAACCTATGTTTTTTACTCTAATTAATGCAAAAAAAGGGAAGAGATTTTAGATAGGGAGAGATAGATTTATGAAAAAAGAGGTCTTAGAAAAGGGGTACCCATTGCTTCATATATCACGAGGAAATGGCCCATATATACCTTTGCAGTTCTCCTGAATCTCACCACTATATGTATTTTCTCTCTTAGTTATCATTAGTTCATTTTTCTTTTCGTCTTCTGAACAAGATTTCCCATTTCGACTCTCAGGACTCACCGGCGCTTTCTGTACCAACTGTATCTTAGTGGTTGTACCATCACTCTGATGCCACTCAAAGCCTGGAGCTTGTCCTCTGCATGTCTGCCTTGGAAACTTGATCAAAAAGTGCTGACTACACTGATGTTTGTCCTCGAGGCCTTCTCCACTCTATTGTCTAATGCTCACACCCACAGAAGTAGGGCAAGGGTGGAAAGTTCTTAAACTTAAGAAACAAAGAAAAATCAAGAACAAAAGAGAAATTGATAGGCAAGAAAAGGGTAATGATAGAAAATGAAAATAACACAACTTAAATATGGTGTCATGCCACAAGTTAAATGGAAAAAAAAAAAGGATAAAAAAACTGAGTATTATCCAGTAGTCATTTGGCTTTAATGTAAAAAAAAAAAAAAAAAAGGATAAAAAAACTGAGTATTATCCAGTAGTCATTTGGCTTTAATGTATTTGGCTATCAGGTTAGGACATTTACATTTACATTTATTTATTAGTAAGCATTTTTCTATATTTATGTAAAAATCTTGAATAAAGTGCAGAACAGCTTCTCCAAAAACTGGAACTTATCTTATTATAAAAGTTCCAGCTTTTCTTATTCTTTTCTGAAAACACTTTTTAATTTAAAAAAAATGTCAGTTATAAATAGATTGTTGTTTTAACCTAGAGGTTAAAACAACATTCAAAGCTATAGAACGTTATAATTTGAAACACTCAGTTTTTTATCTTTAGTTTTTTTGTTTGATAACCTGAGGCAGGTTGCTAAAGACTAAAGATGACAAAAACATTTGTTTTGAAATAAAGCTGAAAAAGTAAGGAAGGTGAACTATTAAGTCTTATTAAAGTAAAGAACAGTAAAGCATTTAAAATTTTGATTGTATGTTTAAATAAATGCCTAAAGAAATTACTTAAAAATAATTTTTGAATTTCAATTTCAATAAATTTAAAACAAAGTTAACTATAAATATAATATACAGTTATAAAAAGAAATAAAATAGTAAGCAAAAAATATAAATTTAAATGCAATAACAAATATAAGAAATCTATTGTATGTACAGTGTTGGCCGTTAGCCAACATTGTACTGTACAGTACATACAATTAGCAAGTGCCAAATCTGACAGAGGGCACTGTTTTTGAACCAAGATGGCTGCCGAAACAGGTAAGGAACCGACCATGTGTTTGTTCAGTGCCTGAACTGATTCCGCTTCCATCGATGACAACTACTGCGAGGACCAAATGGAGGGAAAAAAAATCACTGAATTTATGTCAAATTCTAGACTATATCGGCAACAGAAAACATTATCTTGTAGAAGGTGAAGCCATTTTGGATGCCGGACACACCTTATTTTGTGGAATATACTCTAACAACAACGCTGAAGTTTATGTTGTTGCTTTAGTGTTGCAATCTCAGATATTGTCATTTTAATACATCTCAATTACAGGGAGAATGCATGTGCAAAGCGGGGCTGTCTGGTTTTTGTAAACATGTGATAGCATGTTTATTACACGTTAACAGGTGAGAAGTGTTTAAATATTTTAAGCAGTATACACCATGTTCCATTATAAAAACATAGTTTTATTTATCATAATAGTTAAAATTAGTGTTAACCTGAAGGCTGCCCTGCTGAGTCATTCTGCACTCATACAACATAGGCCAGTCAAAAGTTTGTAGCATACATGTTGTATAAGTGCAGAATGACTCAGCAGGGCAGCCTTCAGGTTGGCACTAATTTTAACTATTATGATAAATAAAACTATGTTTTTATAATGGAACATGGTGTATACTGCTTAAAATATTTAAACACTTCTCACCTGTTAACGTGTAATAAACATGCTATCACATGTTTACAAAAACCAGACAGCCCCGCTTTGCACATGCATTCTCCCTGTAATTGAGATGTATTAAAATGACAATATCTGAGATTGCAACACTAAAGCAACAACATAAACTCCAGCGTTGTTGTTAGAGTTTAATCCACAAAATAAGGTGTGTCCGGCATCCAAAACGGCTTCACCTTCTACAAGATAATGTTTTCTGTTGCCGATATAGTCTAGAATTTGACATAAATTCAGTGATTTTTTTTCCCTCCATTTGGTCCTCGCAGTAATCGTCATCGACAAAAACTGAATCAGTTCAGGCACTAAACAAACACATGGTCGGTTCCTTACCTGTTTCGGCAGCCATCTTGGTTCAAAAACAGTGCCCTCTGTCAGATTTGGCGCTTGCTAATAGGTTTCATATGGTCATACAAGATTATATATAGTAAGTTTTTTTTCGTATATTCTATCCTATCCTTTGTTCTAAGTTTCTTCTAGAAACTTCTTTCTTTACCGTCCTTGCCCTTGGGGAGGGATTAGTCTTTCCTGAATTTCGGAATGAAGAATAGAACAGAAGGGATGCCTGAGGACAAACGGTCTAGAGTGGGGACACTTTTCGATTCAGGACCCAAGAATAAGGAAGGGACAAAGCAGAGCTCTGTACTAAGGGAGAAAGCTGAGAAGTCTGAAAAGTCGTAAGGGTCTAGAGAACTGAGAAGAATTGTAAGGACATTGACAAGAAAGTAGAGGATATCAGTTATTCGTCAGAAAAAGGGATCCCTATACAAAAACGTCAAGGACATTAAGCGTGTGCCCTGCACAAAGAGCAATTTTCATACAAGGACAACCTGGGTATTTCCAATCTATACTTATTCTTCTTTTTTACTTTCCTATATCCTTTCTTTGTTTTCCTTAAATTAATTAGATATAGTATTAGTTATAAGTCGATCGATCAAACACTGGTTGTTATGCATGGAGGTTATTCCAAATTGTAAGAGGATAAAGAGATCTCCGAGTTTTAAATGTAGTAGAATTGAAACTATATATAGTTGGGGTCCATACTGTAAGAACCTGGTTGCAGAGAAAAAAAAGAATACTTGTAATATTTACTTATTCTTTTGTGTGTAACGTTTGTTTGCAGGCTTTACATTCTCTAAATAGCAACCTTCACAACAGTACATTTTAAATTTTCTCATATTTATGTTTGTTATTGATTTTAAATATTTTTTGTGACCACTATTTCATCTTTTACAGTATAATTGAATACCATATTAATGGATGATTTTACTTTAAATTTATGTGAAAGTTAAAACAAATTCTGTATATTTTCTATATTAATAGTTATAGCTATGTACAGACTTGGACATTGTACAGAAATCATCATATTTACTGTATTTGTGTTTGTTACTGAACAATGTTTGTTTGATGTTTTCCGTTCACTTTGTTCCCCTGTACAAAGAGTGCAAGTACCTTGTACTAAATAAATAAATCATAATATATAGTTATAGCAAAATTTACTAGTATAACTCAATTGTTTCTTCTTTGCTTTAAGTTACTAAAAGTTCCATTGATAAAAACTGCAATATTCTATAGATATTTTTAGGAATATGTTGTCAATTTATTTTTGTCTACTAGTAAAATACTCTTTTGAATTAATTACAGAATAATAATAATAATAATAATAATAAATATATATTAGCTGTTACCCATGGCTTTGCCCGCGCAGATTTTGCAAGCAAACCCCATTTATATTCAGTATTTCAACAACCATAGTAATTGTTATATAACACCTACCACTGAGAATTATGAGAATTGCCGAGAATCAAACAAACTATTTTCAATTTGATCAATTTTCTGGAACATTTACAATCATTCTATAATCAAACCGATACGCAATAACAAATTCGAATTTAAAACAGTTTGAACATTTTTAAAATCGAAATAGATAAAAATATTTATAACAATGTCTGAAATGTTATTAATTTAATACACCTAAGTACTCGATGAAGACTAAAGCCTCTCCCTCTCCTGCCCGCGGGGGAATTTTGAAAAATCTCTCCTTGGTGTGCATTGCCATGGCATACCCTACTAAAACACAGATAAAAACAAAAAATCTGCATCTAAAATAGTACAGTAGAAGCCGTTCTTCCGGTTAAGCCTTAATCCTCTCCCTCTTCCCCCGTGGGGGAATTTCGAAAAATCCCTTCTTAGTGTGCATTTCCATGATGTACCCTAACTGTCTACCAAATTTCACCTCTTTAGGTTAAGCGGTTTACTCTGGGTGATGATGAATCAGTGAGTGAATGAGTCAGTCAGTCAGTCAGGACAAGCAATTTTATATATTTAGATATATATATTTTAAATACTAAATAAGTCTTTCCTCAATGATGTAAAATAATTCCATTTAAAAATCAAACAACAACATTAACAAAATTGCTCTACAATTATTTAATCAATATAAAACTGTTTAATATTTGGCTTATTTTATATTGTCCAATACATTATGAATATTTTAAATAATGCTAATAAAATATAAATTTCAAATAGTCGTCAGAAATTTCTGTATGACTTGGTACCAGTTTTGTTAACTTACTGCATAGCATACATAGCAAATAAAGAAATAAATTGAATAAAATAATGTATAAAAATAAAATTTAAGGAAACAAACTGTTCTTTTTTTATTAAGTTTGTTTTCTTAAATAGTTGTATTTTATTCTTGTAAATTAATAAATAGTCATAAGAGAGAAAACCTTTCACACATTGTTTCTAGTGGTTTTAATCCATAAGAACAAATGTTTTTGGCTGTTTTAAATGGCCTTCTTCAGGTACAATAAGGTGGGTTGGAACATCGGTTAGCAAATATTGAAATGACGTCACTGTTTACAAAGTTTTTTCTTGCTAGTGACATCATTGTTGATTACAAAGTTTAAAAGATATCACTATTGTTAATTTTCTTTTAATTTTACCCAAGAAGTGCAACCGACTATCAATGATAAGATAATTGTTTAAACATGATAAATATAGAAAATGCATGGAAATAAATAATCAGTTAAGGCCAATTTGGAGGATAAATAAAGCTATTGAAGCTAAATTATTTGAATACATTATTATTATAAGCATTTATGTAAACAAACAATGCTGATCAGTTAACAGTTTTATTTATATAATGTAATTAGTGAAATTGTTAAGAATGTATTTTTCATAAAAATCAAATTAATTATGACTTACCTGATGGTCCAAAACTATACTCAATGCCTTCTACACAACCAGTTAGATATAATGCACTAGAAAAAACATTAGCAATGAAGAAAAGTGTTCCAATGCTTCCTCCAAACTCTGGTCCAAGAGCTCTGCTGATCATAACTTTAATAATTAAGAAAATATTCCCAATGAACTTTAAATATATATGGAATAAATTAGATTATATTATATGTAGAATTTATCATGCTATCCTTTGATACACTTAGACCTAAAGATTTACAATCATGTTTCTTAATACAAAATTATGAAGAGACTATTGTTATATATGTAAATACAGTATTCAAAATCAAGTAACAAAACAATTGTTGGCATTATTACATTTGATTAATTGGATGCCATCTTTTTTTCTTTAATTTAATAAACTGGTAACAAACTTATAAAAATATAGCAAATATTTTGATCACATCTATAATACATGTATATTATAACACTAATATTATCTCCACTGTATCAATTTCATGTGTACATTTTATAATAATAAGAAGAACAGAAGAACACACCTGAATTCTATTTGCCGAGTTTTTTCTCTTTATTTCAAATGTTTTCAGCCTATTTGGATAGGCCATCTTCAGGTTTTCATTCATTGTTCCAAAATGGAATCATTTGTTCGAATTTTGTTTTGATTTGAATTTTTGAAATGTGTTAACAACTTTTTGTATAAATAAACAAAATAAATAAAATATGTCATTAAACATTTTATTGTACATTTGTACTATGTACATTTTATTTTGAATTGAAATGAGTTTATAAACAAATGAATATGCCAAATGAATAAATTCTGTAGTAAAAATTACCAGGTATAGCAGTACAAGTTGTTGAATGATGATTCTTACAAAATTAAACAATCAAGGATTGCTTAATAATTTCCTATATTATGAAGGTAAATATTATGAACTAAAATAATTAATAAATGCAATTAATAAATAAATTTTGTTCTTATTCTAAATACATTCCATCTCTCCTGAAGATGATCTTTGTAAATGTTGAAAGTACCTGCATACATTTGAATTAAACTAAATGTCAAAAGACAATGTAATTTATAATTGTACTAATTTGGCATTGAGTGTTCATCAGCCTTATTAAAAACTAAGAAATATTCAAAAAAATCAAAATGACTTATTCTTGAAGTTGTGGCATGATGCCATAGTTCGTATATAATTTATAGGTTTATATTATTTTTTCCTCTCTTCAATCTTTTTCATACCTATCAATTTTCTATTATTCTCTAATTTCTTTGTTCCCTGAATTTTCAGGAACTTTCTACCCTTGCCCAAATCCCAAAGGAGTGAGAAAAGAACAATGGATAGAGAAGGGCCCTGAGGCAGTTTAAAGGGAGAGATAGCCAATTTTTAGAGAGACACCAGAGGATGACGACTCAAGGAGAGACTCTCAGTCTTTTGTTAGTAAGAGACGAGAGTACGAAAGTGCTATGTTAAAGCCAGGAATAAGAATAAGGAGATGATATAGTGGAAGTCTTAGAGGTGTTTGCAGAAGGAACATCAAGAAAGAAAATTCAAGGAGAGGTGCAGAGACTTCACAAAAGTGGAATATCGATCTGGCAAGACAAAGAAAGTTAAGTCCACCTGAACCATCGAGAGAACATTCAAAACAATCAAGTACCCCTATTTTATCTCTCTTCTTCCTTCATTTATCTATGTCTATCTTCTACAATCTCTATATAAGTAGGTTAAGGTTAAACAGGGATGATTGACATCAGAAATCTTGGAGCTTATGGACAATAGACAGAAACAAAAGAAACGATGAAAAATACAGAGTGTTAAATAGAATCATAAGAAAGAAATGCAGGGTTGCAAAAGAAAAATGGATGTCCGACAAATGTAAAGAAATAGAACTGTTACAAGAAAAGTATGACACATTCAACATACATAAAAAAGTAAAAGAGATGGCAAACCGGCACAGAAAACAACCTGGATCAATTCTTAAAGACGAGAACAATAACATAGTCATCAGCATCGAAGAAAAACTGAAACAATGGAAAAAATATATTGAAAAACTTTTTGATGACAACTGACCCAATAATCCACCACCAACAACTGATATTAATGAGGAAATTCCTGAAATTACAAAACACGAGGTTGTTTATGCCATAAATATACAAAAGAATGGCAAAGCTACAGGGCATGACGGAATTCATTCTGAGGTTCTGAAAGCTATAGCAGAACAAGAGGGTACAAGATTGAAATTACTAACAAATTCTTCAATACTATTTATAAGTCTGGTAAAATACCTAGAGACTGGCTACAGTCTACCTTCATTCCTCTACCCAAAAAGATTGGTTCTTCTCAGTGTGATGACTACCACTTGATGTCTAAGTCTAATGTCCGCAAAATATTTTTAAAAATCCATAGACATATATACAGGAAATGTGAACTAGATATTGATAAAACACAGTTTGGATTTTGCAATGGGCTTGGTACATGAGAAGCACTCTTCTGCTTAAACGTATTAGTCCAAAGATGTAGAGATATGAATGCCAATGTTCACGCCTGCTTTAAAGACTATCGTAAAGCTTTTGACTGTGTAAATAACCAAAAGATGATTGAGATCTTAACATCAATTGGCATTGACAAAGGCAGTCTGTGTGTCATCAGTGAACTGTACTGGCATCAAACAGCGGATGTCAGACTTGAAAAAGAAACTTCTGAAACCACATTAATTAAGAGAGGAGTACACCAAGGTCGTGTGTTATCCCCCTGCTCTTTAATATATACTAAGAGAACATATTCAAGGAAGCGTTAGAAAACAATAATTGTGGGATCAAGGTAAATGGCAAATTAATAAACAACATTAGATATGCAGATGATGCAGTGGTTATAGCAAGTAGTCCTGAAGAATTACAACAACTGATGGACCATATTGTTGAGTACAGTGAACTGCATGGTCTCTCTATGAATTTTACCAAAACCAATCTTCTTGTGTTCTCAAAAACAAGGAAAAGTGCAAATCTTGTCATTCATAGAAACACTATCAAAGCACTATCGAGTATCATCTCTCAAATACCTCGGCACAATAATAAATGAACAATGTGATCAGCATAAAGAAATAAGAGCAAGGATTGAACAAGCCAGAACATCATTTATGAATATGAAAAAGTTTTTAGTTAGATCTGAATTGAGTTGATGTCCAAGGATTTGAATGTTAAAGTGCTACATCTTCTCCGTCCTGCTATATAGATGCGAAAGTTGGACTCTGGACCTCCAAACTGAGGAAAGAATTGAAGCTTTCGAAATGTACTTGTACAGACGAATACTTCGAATATCATGGGTGCAAAGAATTACTAATGTTGAAGTCCTGAACCACATGAACAAGCAAAAAGAACTCCTGCTGACCATCAAAATCAGAAAAACACAGTACATAGGTCATATAATGAGAGGAGAGAAATATCAAATACTTAGACTAATATTAGAGGGAAAAATACAAGGAAAAAGGTCTGTTGGGAGACCAAAGAATCAATGGGTGAAAGACATCACAAGGTGGTTCGGGTGTACATCTATGGAGATATTCTGAGTTGCTATATCGAGGACAATGTTAGCTATATAGATTGCCAACCTTTGACCAGAGATGGCGCATTAAGAAGAAGGTTAAAGTAAATTTAAGGAAAACGTGACCCAGACTCGCATAATTGAAACATGTATATCGGGTAACTCCAGGCATCTAAAGGATTGTAATGAAGATTTTTATTTCAAGTTTTGTATATGTTTGTCATGAAATTTTATTGTTTTTTTTGGGACTTGCCTCAAAGTTGGAACTTTTATCATTCTATAAATCTTATGTTCATACTCAAAAATAAAGTTTTGTTATTTGTGTTATATCCTGACGTCATTCAAGTAGCACGTAACATCACAAAATAAATTAATTAAACTTGAATGCTTTTTTGAATACAGAAACTTGAAATTTTCTCCTTTGTACAACTGGATGCAATTTTTTATGATAATTACTGCATTATCATTAAAAATATCTTAAGTGTTGTAGAACTGATATGAATTCAATTTGCATTATTATTTGGGTTTCTCCTCAAGGAAAGAATATATCACCAGAAAACATTTGAGATTGATTACTTTTTATTTCATTTCTAGATAAAATATTTCTCACTATTGTTCAATTTCAGCCCAAAAGGATTCATCTTCATTACTTATCATCACCACCACTTTCAAATACAGAGATTACTACTTTTGATGACTCTCAGTGAAATTTTCTTGTTTGTCCTTTTTGGGAGATTGACATATCCTTTTATCAGGGATCAAAGGTGACTATCTTTATCAACAATTAATTGAAGCTTCAAGATTCTTGTTTCACAAAGCCTTCAAAAAAATTCTAAGGTCCCCTGCTATGGTCAGGATCAACCTCTCCTCTCCACTGTCTCCTCCAGTCTGAAAACCATTACCTCTTCCATTTAGACACTTAGGAATTTTCTCTCCTCACAGTACTGTTCAGATCATCAATCATCAACTGAGTGAAGTAGAAATGAGGACAAGAAAAGATTCCAGAAACAAGAAAAGACAAGAATCGAGGAAAGAACCTACAAACTAGAATACTGTATTCTATTTTCATGACGACTCAGGATATCTTCTATTTTGAAGTTAAGACCATTTACATAAATTTACAATATTTTTGAGTCTTTTCTTTATCCATTAACATAACCACAGAAGTAACTTGCTTGAAGAAAAACTTCATTAAAAAGACAAATAATAGATGATAAAAATTCACAAAGTTAAAAATGATATCATCTATTATTTGTCTTTTTAATGAAGTTTTTCTTCAAGCCAATTTAAGGATAAAGAAAAGACTCAAAAATATTGTAAATTTTTGTAAATGGTCTTAACTTCAATATAGAATATTCTAATTTAAAATTATGGCATAAATTTACATAAGTTATCCTGATAATGCTCATTAAACAGATGAAAACATTTGCTTTCTTGTAATTTCTTCTTTCTGGATATTCGTTATATGTACAGTGTTTATTAGTATGTAGTGCCCTAGCACTATGTATTTTTTTTCTGTTTATTATATATATATTACGTGCTTTATGTCAGGTTTTCCATTGTAAAATTCCGTTTTATTTCATGATGCTGGATTGTGAACGGGTGTGGCCCCTCATGCTTGTTGATTGGCAAGATCATGTGTGTTGCATGTCACACCCAATGACGGGAAATATAAACATTGGAACTCTCGTCCAAAGTCAGAGTCTGGTTCCTGTTTTTGTGTGATCAACAGTTAATGTGATGTAGGAGTGTCGGTTAAGAAGAAGAAAGGGACTGACACATGTGAACTTTCGAATGAAGAGAATGGAATCCAAATCCATTGTATAAAATATGACTGTTTTTCACGAAATAAGTGCAAGATATTAAAACAGGACACATTGAAGGACTTCGGGAAAACATTATTTTTTTGATATGTTGATTATTGTGTTCTTTTAAAAAGGAGAAGTAATATCTTTAATCCTTTTCTTGTATAGTGTACTGTACGTGTTATCTGATCTTGTACATTTGAATAGAAGTATGTTCCTCTCGTGTTTTAGGACAAATAAATATTTTGAAAATATTTATGATTAAATTTTTGTTACTAAAAGTTAACCAAAATTGTAAACTCCTTTAATCAATTTGTTCATTCATTGACCCTCTAACATAGCCTAACAGACCTAGGTCTATTGGGAACTAACAAGTACAAGTATCCCTTGTACAACATGGTACTTCTATAACACTGTTTTGCTCTAACAGTTTGAAAATTGGGAATATCCCCATACAACATGACTTCTAGTTTCACTAACAGTTTTGAAAATCCTCTATACAAAATTTCACAAGTTTTAAGTGTAAATGTTGCTTTTTTTTTTTTTATTCAAGTAAGTAAGCATGTGTCTCAAATTTGCCCATGGATTTTAGAATATTGAAAAATTTCAATTTGTTTTGAGCCTTTTGTCAGGTTTACTGTAATGATGATAGATAGGACAAGGAAAAAAATTGCACTATCCTATAAACCAGGTATTGTCATCAACTTTAAACCTTAAGACTGTCACTGTTTTCTTTTTATTTTATCTTTGTATTTAGTAAAGTTTATTTAAACATTCTAGACAAGTGCTATTAAATGTTTTTAACTGTAATATTGAATCTGACAAGCAATCATTCATAAAATAATGAACAAAATATGCCAGTATCTCAGTATTCAAACACAAATTCTGAAAAAAGTCATTTGGTACTTGAGTGAACAAATACAACTCTGTACAGCAAATTTTTTATTAAAAACATATTTCGTCATCCATAAAAATTTTTTATAATAAAAATAAAAAATATGGAAATTTGCTGATACTTCTGATCAAGAACAACAAAAAAGCTGAGATGACAATGATACTTTGTAAAAAGAAAGTGCTCTCATTTAACTAAAATTAATATTAACACATAATACAATACTTTTAATTGTGATTATTAATTATTGTTTGGAAATAAATTATCGATTGCTTTAATAAACATATTTCTCTTAATTATGAAAAAATAGTATACTTTTGTTAACTTCTGGAATGTAACCCTATGTTTTGCATTAGTACTTTGTTTTGTATAGCACTGATTTGTATTATACGACACTTCTTCAGAATGTATCTACTGTATTATTTGAGGGATACCTGTATATTATTTGGATCTTGATACTGAAAAGTGATAAATTTTATACAATTTAAGAAATATTACATATAATTAACATTAAATAATAAATTCTACATTTGATATTGAATTATGTGCTTTGTTAACACAAAGTAAACTTCTGTATTCAACAACATATTCAAAAAATTATAATTTAATATTCTTATTTATTAATTAAGGATACAATATAATCCTCCTCCTTCTACTGCACCATTGGTTGATATTGCACATATTGATAGTACTGTTGAAAGTAAAATGATGTAAGCTAATACCATTTGACCAGCTGTTATCAAAACTCCTGACTGGCTCACCAAAAAACCTAAAAATGAATTAAATTTAGAGTATTATTTCATTTCTTGAAATTTATGAATTTAAGTTTATACGTTTATGAAATAAATCAAAACAATCCAGCAGAAAGTTTCAGAGTATAAATACATTTAACTGTCTTAATCATTGTCAGATTCAAGATTGTAAGGTAGGGTATAACATCATTGACAATGACTGTTTAATAGAGATGGGTAGTTCTGGTTAACGCCATTCTAAACTACTATTAGGAATTGTTCCACGTCAAGTGTTAAGACTTTCAGTTGGAACTATCAATGCATTCTTCATTTTGTACCTGTATAAACACTTCATGGAACAGTGAACTATCTGGATTTTAACTTGAACAAAATGAAAATATTTGAGTTTTTAAGAATAAATTGAGTGTTTTAAATTTATGAAAATACTTTAAAAATTTGTATTTTTATTAGTTGATAATTATTTGTTTTTATTAGTAATTAGCAGATATATTGGGTTCAAAATAAATCCTAATGAATAATTTAAAATCACTCTCCTAATACTGGCTTAATATATAAATATTCAAACAGAGACCTCAATAACCAGCACAAAATGAAGTAATTTTAATAAAAACAGATGTTAAGATGTATTTTAAATTATTTTTCACTCTATACACATCATGCACAGAGCATGCACAAGTCTCCATGTGCAGGAAGTTGTTTAATTCATATTTATATTCTGTTCTATTTTTTAAATATTCATTCTATTTTGTTCTACCTGATGATGTCCATTTAATATGAAAGGAAACATTTGTTTTAATTAAAATTACTTAGCATTTATTTTTACAGTGTACAGTACATCACAATGAACTTAAAATTATTATTATTATGCAATCTAGCAGCAGCAACTAATAGTGAGCATGACTTCCTTCACGTTATCTCTTCATAATCTAAGAACCAAATGTCCTTTCTTCATTCAAATGGTATTCCATCTAACTATACCTGTCATGGGTCTCTTTGTATCCTTCCATGAGACAGTTTCCTGCTGCAACAGCAGTCCCCTGCCAGCAATAGCAAGATATTACAAACATCTGGTGCTGAACTTCACTTGTCAGGCTGAGTGTTTGACAAATGCATCTTGCTGCTACAAATCAGACATTTTAGCAATAGTTATGAGTACACGCTCATGATCTTGTCAACTGCTTATGCTATTGCTGTTGATCCTAGGATAATCATGGAGTCAATATATCAATTGATCAATATTGACATTGATATGGCAATCTCTCAATAATATCTTATAATTTTGTCTCCTCAACTCAATACATATCTTTTTTGTATGGTGGCTGCAACACTTTTTGGATCTCATCAATCTGCAGGAAGATACAAGTACAAGTAACATCTTTATTCACAAACACTGCAATTTAATTGTGAAAATGTGATACTGGTCTAATTTCCTGCCTCTCAACCTGTCCCCCCCCAGATCTGGATGATCGGAAGTTGGGGAAAGGAACTCACCAGTAAATGGAAAGTCATTCCATAGAGCAGGTGTGGCCAAACTTTTATCCCTTAGGGGCTACTTTTTTGGTAAAATATAGTCTGCGGGTGACTATGAATATGGGCAAACAATTTTAGGATTTTTATATGCGCATGTGTTAACATTCATTTGCATTGTTCATCGGGATAAATACAAACAGTATGGGTACATTGCACAGACAGTCTATTATTGTAAGAATAAATTATCGAATTAAGATTTATAAACATTAAGTGAAAGCAAATTGTTCAACTTTAGCTTCGCGGGCTACTTTCAAAACTTTTGCGGTTGACCAGTCGACCACGGTCTACGTGTTGGCCATCCCTGCCATAGAGCATCTCAGCTGTTGTTGCTTGAAGGTCATCTTTCCAAGCAGCTTTGAAACCCAACAAGATTGTAGGGAGTACTGTAATCCATCAGTTTGTAGCATGCACCATTTTGAGTTGGCACTGGACCTGACCATTTGTAGTTGGACAAGATTATGGATTCTCTCAGTCCCAAGCAATGAAGTGAGGGCTGAGAAAAGCACCAATTCAAACCAGACTCCTTGGTCTGTTGTCAGGTGCAGTAGATTGTATTTTTTTTGTATGTTGGAAAGAAGATCAGAAAACTGGTAATAAAAAGAAAGAGGAAGACCAAAGATGCATTGGAAAGATAAGGTGGAAGAAGACTTGAACTAGAGGAGAATTAAGAGAGAAGAAGCCCTTAATAGGGAGAAATGGAAGAAATGTATTAGATAAGGAAACGCTGACCTCATATAAACATGGGATAAAGAAGAAAGATAAAGAAAAAGATTCTTAACTCTGCTTGTCAATTCACATGACACAGCTGTGCTACACATTCCTCCCACTTCTTTAGTTTTAATTTTGGTTTTGGAACAGTTTACTGGTTATTTGAAATACGGAAAGTCAAGAGAATGATGTCCAGCAGATTATATACAAATATTTTAGCGAGACATCACGTATTTAGTAAATTTTATAAATTTTGGATATCACTGAAATCTTAATGTTACAGTAATTTTGACTATGATTTTGCATTAATCAGCAGATCCTGTATACTTGATAATAGTGTCAAATGAATACATTCAAGTATGTTCAAATAATATGGGTATCAAAGTATGGTAAACATGAAGATAAATGCATTTTTTTAAAGTGTTTTATCATCATCTAAATGCATTAACTTTTCACAGTTGCATGTTTGTTATGGGGCATGAATTACATTCACATGCTTACTCTTCTTTAGATTTTGACATCTCAAAAAATTGGGTGTGCATTAGATTTGATGATGAATTAGAACTGAGAAAATACAATGGATTTTTTTAAAATTCTATATTCATCATAAAGTATTGTAATTCAAGAAATCTGTTTTCAATTTAATTATCTTGCTAATATATGTAGAACTTACAAAAATTAAAATCTAATGGAGAGATTAAATAGAATTATATTAAAAACATTAAAGTCTGAAAAGAAAAAGATCTAACACTAATTTTTCAGATCCTGAATAAAAATTTCAAAATTATTAAATATAAAAACTTTATTTCCATTTTCCAAAACAGTACATACCATCCTTTCTCAAAGTGGGCAATAACACCCCTTGTGGGCACTGGAGGCTTTCAGGGGGGCAGTAGATGGCTCAGTGATTAAATATGAGTTTTATTTCTTCTCATTGAAACATTCTTTGATCTCAGAAATAGGATATTGGTCATACCCTATCTATCCTATCCATATAATAATATTTAAACATTATATTTGCAATAACTGTTTTTAAGATATGCAACAGATGGTAATGTAAAAAGGTAAGTTAAAAAATACGGGGGTACTAGAAAATTTTTAGTCTCAAAGTAGGCGGTGGTTGAAATAAGTTTGAGAGCCTGTACTACATATTAAATAAATTTAGTACTGTATATTCAATGAGTTCTTTTTATAAATTAATAACTGTTTAAAAATAATTTTATGAAAATTATAATCATTTAGTTTTTGACTAAAAGAATTTTTAAATATTGAAATAAAATTATAACATAGTTAATAAAATCATTATTTATTAAAGTACTACATTTCAAACAATTATTTTTTATCTTTCTATGGATAATTTTCTTCATGCTTGAAAACAGAAATTTAGTCTATTTTATGACAATCATCAAACTTTAAAAATAATACATTTATCTAAACAACAGTATATTTTATTTACAGTCTTTAAATTTAATCATTACCTTTATTGATCCTTTAAATTTCAGAAACATTAATGAAAACATTTAAAATGTTTACTTATTTTTATAAGTTGTTTAGAGAATATTTACTTATTTACTATCTCATAGTTTATTTGTCAAGTTTCTTGGTATGTAATCAAATTACATAAGCTTACGTATGAGGAAGGTATCTTTTAAATGAACGAATCAAAATGGAAATAAAAATATAAATATTTTTCCCATTTTGATTGTATTTTTACTTCCAAGAAAATAATATAAAATATAAATTTAGACTTTTTAGATAAAGATAAAATATCATGTTTTGTAGAGTTATACCAAGATTTTTAACTATTACTCCGATTAACCAATATGTTAAAAAATTCCAAATAGCTTATTAACAAAAATTGCCGAGTTGACATTTAAAAAAAATTTACGGTTTATTTAGGTCTTAATTAAGTCTACAAAATTAAATTTTACAGTGAATTTTTTTGTATATTCTATTATCAAAAATAAGTTTAATATAGTGGTACAGTACATTATTTATATTTGAAAATATACGTTGTTTTGTAATAATAAACAGCATATTTATATATGGTCGTTAAATACTTCTTTAATTAGATGAATCTTTGTTGCTTTAAAAGACGAAACAGATACATTCTTCAAAGAATGGCCCTACTGGTTTTTGATTAGTGCCGCTCTTTCAAATTTTCCATTTCTTCAAGCGCTTTTATAAATATTAAATATTTNTAAGATATCAGAATATTTAGATAGAATTATTTGTTCTGTTATATCACACTAATGATTTTGAAGTTATAAATAGTATAATTAAAATTCATCTATTTTAATACATTTTATGAGTAAGAGATAACAGTAAAATAAATAAAAGAATAGCCAAAACCTGCTTTATAAGAAAACTAACATTTAATAAATAAATACTAAGTAAATTAAACTTCACTCTGACACCGGGGATGAAAGTGTTCCGTCGAAATTTTTTCTATACCTGAGGAAGAGCTATCTAGACAGCTCGAAAACGTTTGTGAAAGGAAGATTTTTTCACGCAAAATTACACTGGTAACAGGTTCCGTATTTAGTATAAATGAATACATCAAATGTCCAAAGACAATCTTTCATATCTTCAAAATGGGTACATTCCAGTATCCATCAGTCTCAGCCATAACCAATGTACTGGTGAACAGTTTAATAAGTTTTTACTGGAACAACTGGCAACCTAATAAGACAACAGAAGCAAACAGCACTATATTGGCATTTGCAGATATTTTGTCAAAATAACTTTGGGTTAATACAGGTTAGTAATAAAAATGGTGTTAATAATATAACCACGGAGACAGCCATATTGCTTTATCAAAGCTCACAATATCCACAGTCTAATATTTATCACTGATGAACCACAAGGCACTAAAACTTGTTCTAATATTCACAGATACTCTGGCTGTCGGCCATATTAAGATGTATATTTTTGTTAATTATTATATTTTAGGCTTAGTATTTTCTTTGTTCTTTGTCTTACTATTCTAGAACTTCCTTTCTTAAACCCTTTTTCCTCGGGTGGGATCACAAAGTCCAAGAAGTAACATCAAGAAACAAAAGAATTTACAAGACCCAAGGAGCTCGTAAGAGCAGAAAAGTTCAGTTTTGGGAAGAGAGACCAGTGAGTGAGGTCAGATTGTGTAGCGCTCCAAATCTTGAACAGAGATTAGAGGTAAAGGACTGTTGTGACTGAGGTTGAAACTCTTCCATTAAAGATTCTTAGTGAGAGATTTCTGAGGATACTCCAGAAAAGACATCTTGAGAGGACAGAAAATAAGAAGAATAACAGAAATTAAACAAATATCACAGGACAGTGACCCATCTGAGATTACGTGGCTTAGAGTTCCTGGGCATTTCTTCCTTCCTCATCTATCTTTCTCCTTTTCCTTAGTTTGTAAGTAGATTAAGTTATAGTTGTAAATCCCATAGCATGAAATTTTGTTGCGACTCAATCATTCTAACTGCTAAGGTCGAAACGTATGATTTCTGTATATATGTGGATTATCTCCTGTAAGTTGGGATCCCAAATTAAGAATCAGTTCAAAGCAAATAAAATCAATCTGTGGTACATAAATATTTCTGTTTTGTATTTCTTGTATGTTTTCCTGTTTGCGGGACTATATAACCTTCGCTATGAACTTCACAATACTGTACATTCATTAGTGCAAATGAACTCATCAGTGAACAAATTTTAGTGCTTCACAGTTTATCAATGCACTCTTTGATGCATACTAGAATGTATCCATTATTATAAGGCTTCAATGATATCTTCTTGTTAAAAGAGATCTCAAAAAAACTAACAAAATTATAAAATGAGTCAAAATTTAATTCAGAAAATTATTAATTAAAAAAAAAATTCATTTTAATTAAATGGATAGAATAATGATATTGAAATGGACATGCATATAACTGATATGCATAATTCAACTAAAATTTTAATTTTCACTCGAAATTAAATGTTTTTATTGTTTAATAGTTTCTCTAATTTTTGTCTCTCTTTAAATCTCATCACTGTCATAGCAAATAGATTATTTTTGAGTAACCATTATAGAAACTAAGCAGCAAACATTTGTGAATGGGAAATTAACTAGAGATGATGATCAACTCAGTTAAGAGATCTGAAAATGTTTCATTACTTTATTCCAGACAATTCTATTTAAAAAACTATAAACAGAAGAAAAAAAATAACTTGTAAACACAGTTAAACTTTATAATTTTCTTCGTAATTAATAATATTTAACTTTAAAAATGGTTTTTTGGCCCTTATTGCAGAAGAAGGTCTACTAAACATAGAATTATAGAAAAATCAAAATCTGACTTTCAATATGAATAAACTCATTATAACAATATTTGCCAACATGTCATAAAATATTTATTACGATATAATATTTTTATAGAGTTGGTTTATTCCGTTGCATATTATTTATGTAAAATTGTAAAATTTTAACTGATTTAAAACTCAAAATATATGGATAATCTTATATTACAAAATAAAATGTTCAGATATTCAACTCCTTCTGTAAACTTATATAGAAGAAAATTAAATTTATTATTATACTTCCTCAAACTGAATCAAGGAGTCATTTCACTCGTCTGCCTACAGGCTATTTAATCAACATAAAGAAAATCCAATTCAATGTAGTATGGAAAAAATTATTCTCTCACCAATTTCTAAACTCCAACAAAAAAAAAAATTTCTTTACTATAATCAAAATACATGAAAAAAAGCTAATCTATTCACACACTCTTAAAAATATTTAAAAACATTTTAAAACAAAATAGGAGCATTCACACTTTCCCTCAAAGATAAGCAGCAATGCTGGAAAGATCTCAGGAGCCTGTTTTCTGAATATACCGTGTATCAACCTAATAAAACAATTCTTGCGATTAATCATTATCAGATTGATATTCAATTGTGATATAAGGAATTTCATTGGCTTCTTTACGTAATGGTCGAAGTGTTCGAGTGTTTTTAAGGAGACTTACCAATTCGGAGGAAGAGAACGGAGCTGAACATGGACAAGCAAACGGGGATGAATACTCCGGACAAGGTACGAAGCATTCTCCCATCGGAATGAGATTCCTGTTCATGTTTATGCAAGTTAAACTGATTATCTCCGCTAAGATTTCGGAATAATCTGGCGTGTTTTAATAAAGGAGTTTTATCGGAAAAACCCTTTTTATCTTTTTTGACGTAACGAAATTCGTCTGCTACTTGATCTAAATCTTCTGCTCGTTTCATTCTTACAAATTAATGACTTGGGTAAATTATATCTTTCATTTCGAAAGTTGTATCTTCATCGCTCCGAATGCGTAGTTTTCTGCATGACAGCGACGGTAAACACCCGAAACACCGGAAAATCTAACATCGTTTGCTTTCGTGACGTGCGACGTTAGTTAAAAGCGGATGTCGACTCGAAGCGCCGTTAACGGTTCTTTTCTAAAAGAAAATAACAAAAATAAAATTATATTATTTTGGTGATATACATTATTAATTTATTAAAATAATTATAATTAATGACATTTTAAATAATAGTTTATATTTACAGTTTAAAATATTTAAGATTAGGTATCTATTATACTGAATAGTCTAATATCCTTACAATTTATCCCTATATAATAATTATGAATGGTAATTAAAGTGTTTAATTAGTAAATTTTTAAGTAATTTAAAAAATTGATTTTTATTAAATAGCCGATAAAATAGTCCAAAAATAAAATCAGTTGGTTTAATGGGATATGCTACGCAACGCAACGCGTGGGCGATTTGCCGAGGGGAAGCTGCCACCGAAAGACCTTTTGTAAGTAACTAGCTCCAATTTACATATCAGACACGTGAAGAAAACGGAAAATTCTATGTGGCAGTCCGTTGGTGAGGCGCAAAAACCATGACTAACTAACTACCACTATTCGGTAGTTTTAGCCACTCGACCACTGGGCGAAAAATTTAAGGGAACGATGTTCGGAATCAATTTATTGATATTCATTAAAGTGTATATAGAAAAAGTTATAACTTTATAAGGAACAAATAAACTTGTTATGAGCAAATTTGAAAACCGAATATTCAAACTGTCCGAGTATCGATACGCATTGTTTCTCTTTAGTTAGCTTGAAGTTCAAAACAGAAATCGGGAAAATTGATGGATACCCAGCAGCAGTAGGTAGTACTTACTCTGGAAAATAACTGAATAATTCTAATTAAATTAATTTTATTGAACTATCAATTATTGACCAATTTTATTATTTATTATTACGTTACATGTTTCAACTAAGTTTTTATTAGGAAAACCCCATGCCCTATCGTGGATCTGGCCGAATCCATGATGAATATGATTAATTAAATGTAAAGACGCTCTTAGCGTCCATAGGATGAAAAGAGGAAAAGAAACGAAAAAGTTTAAACTATGGCCAGATGTAATCATTGATTGATCCATCACTAGTGATTGCGCGAAACTATAGCTGGATTTGAAGCCGCCGCACAACACTACATAGAATCCAGAGCAGGCCGGATGGTCGAGCGGTCAAGATGGCAGCCTACCGCTCTGGGGGACCCGAGATCGAATCTGGACGACACAAGAAATCCCCAGGAATTTTTCGGGGGTGGTCTGTTCGGATATGTCGGGTCCCGTCCCTCACCACCCGGTCTGTGGGCCTGGCCGAACCCATAATGGGCCTGCTATAAGAGGCCTTCTTAGTGCCTACAGGGTGGAAAGAGTAAAAAAAAAAAATTCCGAGCACGACGCTTATGCCAAAGATTACTAAATTGTGAGAATAACTGGTGCGTGCATGCAAGTCACCTATTACTTATAATTCATACAGTAGTGATATCACTACAACCCCTGTACAAAAGTAGGCCTATGGAAAATTTTATAATTGCTGCAGAAAAATTATTTTAATCCTGAAATAATCAAAGTCACAAAAATATTATTGAACTTTTAATGATTGGCAAATATAATGAACATGTTAGAGTATTTACACACCAAAACTTCGTAAAGATATTCGCATAAATTATAAAGTTTCAGTATTTTAAACAAAATAAGAGGTGAACAAAAGTATGGAATATTTTGATTATTATTATACAGTATTACAAAATATTGGATTTTAACATGCTAAAACGAATAATACTGTTATAAATAACTTTTATGACGTCATTATAGTGAAAGTATAAAATTGAAGGGAACCCGATAATGAAGTGAATAATGGCTCCCAGTAGTGAAAATAAGAAAGTAATTTCGATGCATCAAGAAGGAAAATTACAAATGATAATAGCAAAAACATTACAATGTTTTCAAGGAACAGTTTCGAAAATAGTTTCAAAGTTTAAAACATTAGGAATTGTGAAAAATCAGCGCGGATTGGAAGACCAAGAGAGGTGACCGTAACTTAATTAAAATTGTTAAGTGTCATGTCGTGTCTTACCACGACATGTAAAGGGCGCGTCGAGCGCAGCGCCCGAGGGCGAGACGCCCGATATATAAACCCTGTAACCGAGGGCAGTGTGCCCTTTTTTGGATTGTCGCTGAACCCTGTTCTGTAGTTACCCGATATATGTTAAATAAATGTGAAATGTTCTAAGTATCGTGTCCATTCACTTCTCAGGCACTACTAACGTAAGATTCACGGGAATTTTACATCTGGCGACGAGGATGGGATTGGATTGAGAATAAGTCCTGAGGAAACAGAATAAGCACGATCTTCACCGGTACCACGTGGAGCGAGATCAATGGCTACCTTCGGCTGCCTGGAAGAGTTCGACCCTACACACCCAAGTCAGTGGATTTCTTATGCTGAGAGGCTCGACGCATATCTAACTGCTAACAATATAGAAGACGAAGAGAGGAAGAAGGCTATTCTGCTGACGGCATGCGGACGAGAAACGTACAACCTGTTGAGGTCTCTTTTGTCTCCCAACTTGCCAACCACGAAATCCTTTCAAGAATTGAAGGACGTTTTGAGGTCACATTTCGCTCCCCAACCTTCACGAATTGTTCGTAGGAATCAATTCTATAGACGTGATCAAAAGGTGGAAGAATCTCTGTCTGTCTATATTGCGGAGTTGCGTAGACTCGCGGAATTTTGCGAATTCGGTCCTCACTTAGAGGAGATGTTATGTGATAGATTAGTTTGTGGTCTGTTGGACGAGACGCTCCAACGTCGCCTTTTCGCTCGAAAAAACTATCGTTTTTAGAGGCACAGGAAGAGGCCTTAGCGGCTGAAGCCGCTGTTCCTTACACAAAGGAAGTTAGGCCTAACACGTGCACTGAAACTGAAGTAGGTTTAATCCGGAACAAAGGGAAACCTGGCATTGAACGCTCGCGATCGCATCAGGAATATGATAGGGTCAATTTTAAGGGCAAGGGACAACCAACCTACCCTGAATCAATAAAAGTCTGTAAAGGCTGCGGAGGGAAACATAATCGCAAAGAACGCCCGTACCAAAAAAGCAAATGTTTCCTTTGTAAAAAAACCGGGCCATATTCAGAAGGTATGCCGTTCAGAGAAACGTTCTTTTTCCATTTCGTCTCAAACGGAAAAAGTAGTTAAATCAGGGGCCCACATGAACCAAGTAGCTGATCCTTTGTTGACCGAGGCTATCACCGCGTTAGTCAAAATCAACGGGAAGAGTAGTCGTTTCCAAGTAGATTCGGGATCTCCGTACACTATCGTGTCAGAAGGCGTTTTTAACAAGATTTTTGGTAACAACTCCCCGAAGTTATACCCTTTCCGCACCATTTTGCGTGGGTACTCGAAGAAACAAGTTCGAATTGCCGGCCAATGCCAAGTGAAGGTCACATACAACAACTTCACTCGAGAACTTCCACTAATCGTGGCCAGGGGAAACAACATAAGTTTGTTAGGGAGAAACTGGTTCAAAGAGTTAGGGATATGTGTCTCGGGCGTATATCGCATTTCCCGAGACCGAATCCAGGAGTTGATGGAAGAGTTTCCGGGGGTATTCAAAGAGGGGTTAGGAACATATAAAGGCCAGCCGATTTCAATTAAATTAGACCCGAACGTAACGCCCATCAGATTAAAGGCAAGGCGCGTACCGTTGGGGATTCGTCAAAAGGTGGACGACGAACTTGAGAAATGGGTCAAGCAGGGAATTTTAGAGCCGATAACAGATCCTGAGTGGGCTACCCCCATTGTGCCGATTTTGAAGCAAGATGGATCGGTACGCATCTGTGGGGATTATAAAATTACACTTAATAAGGCACTGCGGCCCACCGCTTATCCCATTCCAGCGATCAATCACTTGTTGGCAGATTTGGGACATGCGAAAGTATTTGCCAAGCTTGATCTGGCCCAGGCATATCAGCAGCTCGCGGTAGATGATGAGACAGCCAGGGCTCAAACGATTATTACACACAAAGGGGCCTTTAAGGTCAAAAGATTACAATTTGGTATCAACGCGGCGCCAGGGATTTTCCAAGCTTTTATCGAACAACTTGTAGGGGGAATAGAAGGGGTAATCCCATACTTTGATGATATTCTCATTGCGGCTAAATCCGAGGAAAATCTGCTGCATAAGGTTAGGCAGGTTCTAGAGAAATTCCAATCATCGGGCTTGCGCATTAAAACACAGAAATGTGTTATAGGCGTTCCAAGTGTAACATTTTTGGGGTTTAAGATAGATTCGAACGGAATTCATCCCTCGGAGGAGAATGTCCGGGCAGTTTGGCAAAGCCCTGTACCATCTAACAAAAGAGAGCTTCAAGGGTTCCTGGGACTAGTTAATTTTTATCATATTTTTCTAAAAAACAAAGCCACGGTTGCGGAACCATTGCATCGTCTTCTGGATGCGAACACACCGTGGGAGTGGGGGCCCAAACACGAAAAAGCGTTTAAGGCCGTCAAATCATTGTTGACATCAGACGCCGTACTAACGCACTTCGACTCAAAAAAACCATTAGTGCTAACATGTGATGCGTCACCTTACGGTATTGGAGCTGTCCTTAGCCACCGCATGCCAGACAGAAGTGAGGCACCCATTGCCTACTATTCGCGCACGCTATCAGCAACGGAACGTAACTACGCACAGATAGACAGAGAGGCCTTGGCAATCGTGGCGGGAGTGAAGAAATTTCACGACTATATCTACGGACGGCAAGTGGAAATACAGACCGATCACAAGCCTCTTCTCGCCTTACTATCGTCATCCAGACCGACTCCAAGCATCATCTCACCCCGGATGCTCCGATGGAATAACCTCCTGTCAGCATATGACTATATACTCGTCTACAGACAAGGAAAATCTATACAGAACGCGGACGCGTTGAGTCGTCTTCCGGTGGCCGAAGTTCCAGAGCAGCAACCGAACGAGAGAGACATCTTCCTTATAGACGTCATGGAGTGTCCATCTCTGTCAGCTAGAAAAATAGCCCTAGCAACCGATAAAGACCCAATCTTATCTAAAGTGAAGACTTGGGTTGTGACTGGCTGGCCCAAGCAGAAAACTTCAGGCCTTTTTCAACCATTCGAAAACAGAAGTGTAGAACTGTCAATCCATAAAGGATGTTTGCTATGGGGAAGTCGTATCGTAATTCCTCCCCATCAACGGAAAATATGTCTCAATATGTTGCACGTCGCACACCCGGGTATTGTTAAGATGAAGGCACTGGCTAGGAGTTACATTTGGTGGCCAGGTCTGGACAGCGACATTGAGAAATTAGTCAGGTCATGTGCGAGCTGTCAAGCAGTCCAACATAACCCTCCCAAAACTATGTCCGCTTGGGAACCGGAGGAAGCTCCGTGGAATAGGCTCCACATAGACTTTGCCGGCCCCTTTCAGGACAAAATATTTTTCATAGTGGTGGATGCCAAGTCCAAGTGGTTGGAAGTGGATATAGTGCCATCGACATCTGCAAATGGAGCGATTAAAGTGTTGCGGAAACTGTTCGCCACGCACGGAATACCAACAGTGATCGTATCAGATAACGGCACTGCCTTTACATCTTGCGAGTTTCGCAATTTCCTTAACAACAACGGTATTCAACATATCACTACGGCACCCTTTCATCCGTCGTCTAACGGACAAGCGGAGAGGATGGTGCAATTTACAAAGCAAGCTCTGAAGAAAATGAAGGGAGCTGACATGGGATTGAAGTTAGCGAGAATGCTAATATCACAGCATGTGACACCGTCGTCGGCAACGGGAGTGAGTCCGGCGGAACTGCTGATGGGACGGAAGTTGCGGACTTGCATAGATAATTGCTACCCCTCAACGAAAGAAGGCAGCATTGAGGAAGCAAGAAGGAAATCTCCAAATCGAGCCTTCCGAGTGGGTGATCCAGTTTATGTTCGAAGCTTCAATTCCACCGAGAACTGGACCCCAGCTGACATCACGGATGTGAGGGGAAATGTCACTTATTCGGCCCGTACAGAGGATGGTCAGATAATTAAACGACATACAGACCAAATTCGACCACGTTTTCCAGAGGAAACTACAGCCAAACCGACAAACGAAGAGTCTCCTCCCAATGACAAGTCGGACGTGGAAGAGCAAGTTTCAGACGAAGTGGAACCGAGTTTGGATGCACCTACCAGCAACCCCAGAGAGGACCGTCAGCCACGCATAAGACAACCTCCGAAATATTGAAAAGATTATGTATCTTTCTAGGAGGGGAAGGAGTGTCATGTCGTGTCTTACCACGACATGTAAAGGGCGCGTCGAGCGCAGCGCCCGAGGGCGAGACGCCCGATATATAAACCCTGTAACCGAGGGCAGTGTGCCCTTTTTTGGATTGTCGCTGAACCCTGTTCTGTAGTTACCCGATATATGTTAAATAAATGTGAAATGTTCTAAGTATCGTGTCCATTCACTTCTCAGGCACTACTAACGTAAGATTCACGGGAATTTTACATCTGGCGACGAGGATGGGATTGGATTGAGAATAAGTCCTGAGGAAACAGAATAAGCACGATCTTCACCGGTACCACGTGGAGCGAGATCAATGGCTACCTTCGGCTGCCTGGAAGAGTTCGACCCTACACACCCAAGTCAGTGGATTTCTTATGCTGAGAGGCTCGACGCATATCTAACTGCTAACAATATAGAAGACGAAGAGAGGAAGAAGGCTATTCTGCTGACGGCATGCGGACGAGAAACGTACAACCTGTTGAGGTCTCTTTTGTCTCCCAACTTGCCAACCACGAAATCCTTTCAAGAATTGAAGGACGTTTTGAGGTCACATNTTAAGGAAAACAGATTTTTATCATCAAGCAGCATTAACACTCTAGAAGTCAAAACAAAGTCCTATAAGATAAAAATGTGGGGGCCGAGGGGGGACAAATTTAAAAACTTTCAATGAACGATAATAGGCGATATATATCGTCATCGTCTCCCTTGCCGTTTGGATTGCCGAGCGGTAACAATCAACGACATGTGGAAGCAGTTGAGTCAGAGATAGATGCTTCGTTTACAAACAACACAACCGTTTATTAAACACGAAAGAAGCTTACAAGATTTCCGCCATCTTGGAAGTTCTGCGGCGGCTGCGGCCTCTGGGTCTTCCTCTCCTTTCCAAGATAGTCCCATTTTGAAGGAGTGTCCCTTGTTCGCGAATGAACCGTTCCATCACGTCTCGACGACTCAAGGACGATGCGGTCGACTTCCGTTGATCGAAAGACGTCGATCCGAGGTCGGGAGATGGAGACGAAGATGGGTGCGAGACACACACGCAACAACAGATCCGTCACTTGGAACTTTCGGGAGAAGAAGCCGTCGCGTCCTCGAATTTCCGGGGTTTTATCCGTTTTCTCTCAGATTCCCCTTTTCGATTGGTCTCTCCTCGTCACCCGATGACAATTCGAAACCTTTCGGGGGCGCGGGAGAGTTCAAAATCGAAGTTTAATTCGATCTCCAACCGGAAATGGTCGACGGACTTACATTCTTCTATTGTTTAAAAGTTAGCATCGCGTTTTCATATCATAAAAATCTATTTCTAACTAATATATTATTTTCTCTCTAAAACAATTATTTTAACGCGAATTTTAGTGAGGGTTCGGACCTGTCCAGAGCCTCACAAAAAAAAGAAGAAGAATCGTTTGGAATGGACCATAACTCATAAAGGCTGGAGTGTTAGTGATTGGAAACGACTTATGTTCACAGATAAATCAAAACAATGTATTGGCTATACGTTTTTTTAACTACTTCCACCCTGTGGGCACTGGGCACGCCTCTTTAGCAAACCCATTATGGGTTCGGCCAAGCCCATAATGGGACGGCCGGATGGTAAGGGACGAGGCCCACCATATCCGAACGGACCACCCCCGAAAAATTCCTGGGGATTTTTCGACCCGTCTGTATTCGATTCTGGGTTCTGCAGAGCGGTAGGATGCCACCTTGATCGGTCGGCCATCCGGTTGTCTTATTGGCTACGGTAATGACAGCACATCAGTGTACAGAAGATCAAATGAAAAATTCCATCCTAACTGTTTAAATTCATCAGCAAATTTCCTAAAAGTGTAATGATGTGGGGATGTATAACCTGTAAAAGGGTTGGTGAAATTGCAATCCTTGTTAGTACTGTACATTGAATGCTGATGGTTACTTGGAGTTGTTAGAATTTTTGGTCGTTATAACATCAGAAAATCACTTTAGTGGTGAGAATTTCATCTACCAGGATGACAATGCACCATGCCATAAGGCTAGACAAATTAAGCAATGATTTCAAGAATATAATATACAGCATTTAAAATGGCCTGTCAACAGTCCAGATATATCTCCCATTGAAAAAAATTGGAATGTTCTGAAGAAAATTATCTCTAAAATCGGCATTGTGACGATGTCACAATTATTTGCCGGGCTGCAATTTTTAATCATATTTTTAGTTTATCTAATTTAAAATATATGCCCGCCACCTCAGCTTAGTAGTGGCTTGCCCCTGCATATCATACTTTTCCTTTAACAATAGAGTCGTGTCGGCCATCTATCTTTTCAGGGAAACATTTTTAATTGAAATAACGTGACTTCCAGTATGTGTCAGAAGTTCGTATATAGTTAATCGGGGCTTCCTGCCCCTATCTGGTCTCGACTTTCATCTGGTAACTCCGTTCTCGAGATTAAGGAAAGACGGACGAACGGACGGACGACTGAGAATTTATAGGTCTACATTTTTTTTCAAATTGCAGTCCAAAAAGAGTTACAACAATAGAAGAATTAAAGAAAACTGTCAAAGAATCGTGGTCACAAGTTTATCCAGAACTGTGTAAAAAACTTATTTCTACAATGCCACAAAGAATTAAGGTGTAATTCGGGCAAAAGGTGGCTCTACAAAATATTAATCATCATTATTCCATACTTTTGTTCAACTCTTATTTTGTTTAATTAAAATGCTGTAATTTTGTAATTCATGCAAATGTCTTTACGAAGTTTGGTGTGTAAATACTGTCTGTTATATTTGCCAATTATTAAAAGTTTAATAATATTTTTATGAGTTTGATTATTTAAGGATAACGTTCCATACTTTTGTTCATGGGTAGTATAGGAAGCTAAGAGACACAGCCCTAAAAATTACACTAGTCTCCAGCTTCGTGCAGCAGTGTCCATATGCAGTATTTATAATATATGCTTTCATATAAACTTAGGCTACTATTACTTTTTACACGTGGATTATAGTTAATAGTGAAGGCTGGAAAAAATAAAAATGCCAGTCATTCGTCACAACCTTGTTCTCTTTGTGACAGGTTTACGTCATAATTTTTACTTTACGAGATACTTTCTCCTCTGTTATATATAACAGAGGGAAAAGTATAGAGATCGATCAAAAAATAACCCCTCTCAAGATTTTTATATTTTTGGACTCGGAGGACCTTGAAACGTCGAGAAAAACAAAACAAAAAAAAAGAAGTTTTTTGTATGAGGGGAGCACGATTTTGTTCATCCTTTTTGAAGCTTAATAATTCCTATGGGTATAGAAAATAGGCCCTACAAGTAAGAAGACCTATTTTCCATACCCATCGTAAGTTCGGTCCGGTTTAAATGGGAGCAGCCGGTTGGTAAGGGACAAGACCCGCTATAACCAGGACAGACCATCCCCAGAAAACTTCCTAGGGTTTTCCGATCTCCCGAATCTCCCAGAACGACAGTTGAAGTCTTTACTGCCTCGGTCACTTTACAAGGATCATTATCACGCCATCAAGAGTTTTGCGCTCACTAGTGGCTAAGTGGATAAAACCACTAAACACTGGTTGCGGATTCTGCTTGACCAGCTGGACAGTCACGAATTCCCGAGTTTTCTTAACGTGTCTAACACCTAAATAGGGAGCCAATTTCCAATTGAAAGTCGTTTCTAAAGGCATTCCCTTTGGCAGATCGCGCATGTGTTGCCATATCACAGGGGTGGGCAAGCAAGAGTTCAGTGAGAGCCGAAATGTAGGTTTTGCAAAATGCATGGGAGCCGCAGTTCTGTACTTTTTAATTCTGTACTGCAGTTCTGTACCGCGATTTTATTATACAATATAAATACAGTATTATATAAAACAAATATTAAATTTTTTTAATAAACATATTTTTACAAAATTGTGAAAATAAAATTGTAAAAATAATAATAAAAAGCAGAAATTAACACTTTCAGCAAGAGCCGCACGTAACTCAAAAAGAGCCGCATTTGCCCATGGTGGCCATATCACATCACTCCACTCCATTATGAATTTCGTTTAAAATCACAATGGCTGCAACCAGAGGGCGAAGGACAAAACACAGCATATCCATAATTAACAAAAAAAATTCGAAATTTTCGTTTCAGACTTTCAGTGGAGAGAAATTTATGCCTGTGACCTTCCGATCACTCTTCTGAGAATAGGCAAGACCTTTCCTGAACATCCCACCTACATCCCCAGAGATTAGATTCTTCTGTCCCAATTTTCTCTGATGACAGATGGATCCGCCCAAAATAACCGCCGAAATCGATNAAAAAAAAACTCAATGAACGATAATAGGCGATATATATCGTCATCGTCTCCCTTGCCGTTTGGATTGCCGAGCGGTAACAATCAACGATATGTGGAAGCAGTTGAGTCGAGATAGATGCTTCGTTTACAAACAACACAACCGTTTATTAAAGAAAGAATTAACCGATTGCCTTTAGAAGTCGGCTTCTTATAGAAACACAGCTTTTCTATCATCAAATGTCACGGCACGCCGATGGTTAAATCTCTGGAAATTCACTTATGGTAAGAAATGATTTGCGCTCGTATTTCAGTATTGCTAACTGTTACCTAAGATGATTAATTAATTAAAGATCTTGGTGCTCATCGTATTTTTAATCACACTTGCAACATGGAGGCTGGTGGTGTTTTTGTTTTGTTTATTGAGAACTGTTTTAATATTACTCATTTTTGGTTTCTGAAGATCCACAATGTGGACTGCGAGATTAGTGGCATACCGTGGGTGTCAGCCGCCCTGGACGGAGGAAAATTTCGCTTCTTACCCTTATTTAAGTATTTCAATTTAAAAGATTAAAATTCAATTTTTTCACAGAACAAAGAATGAAAAATTCGGTGGTAGTGCAGCGACCTGTTTAAAATAGTTCTATTGGATATTAGTGGTGTATATGAACGCGAATGAATCGTACAAGCAAAAATAAGAAAAACTGTCAACAGGTTTCGCAGGAACTCCTCGGATGAAAAAGTTACTAGTTCACCCGGCGAGCCGATTCACCGATAGCACTTTCGTAGGCACGATGCAAGTACAGATCAGAATGTTTCAAAATTTTACAAGATATTATTATTTATTGTGAAATTTTGCCGCACCCTAAAAAGTGCCGCCCGGGGCGGACCGCCCCTACCGCCCCCTACGGTACGCCACTGTTCTGGACTGTATGGAACTGGACTTGATATATCAAGTACAGACCGCCCTGAGTTCTTCAACAACCCGAATTTGATGTCAGAGCGGTAGACTGAAGTCTTAATCGCTCAAACATCCGGCCATCATTTTGTTATACTAAGTGTTGAAAGTAGCGACACTTCCATATAAACAGTTTCTTATTGTACACTAGACACTTGCACATAAATTGTTTTTAGTTGGCCTGCAGTGTACCATATCTCTTACATAATATATTGTTTCGGTGAGAAATTGATATTCGATGTACTGTACATCATTTCGTTCACGACGCGTTTTAGGAACTTAAGTATGACATATATTGAGGACGTTCTGTTGTGGTGGTACACCAATATATTTTTGTTATATTTTTATATATATGTATATATATATAATTTTCTATCTTTCCTTATTTCTTTGTTCTGTGTTCCTTTGTCTATACTTTCTGGAACTTTCGTCCAGGTGTGGGTGGTCGATGACCCAATTAGGAGACAAAAGATTAGAAATAGCCCAGAGGGCAAGTGAGAGACTACGAGAGTTACTTCTGGCTTCGGACCTAGAAGAGGGAAGACCGTCAGAGAGAGGTCTCCAGGTCGGTGTTGCTTCGGCTGAAAGAGGCATGAAGAGCACGTAAGGAAGAAGTAGCGTTGATAAGGACATTGGCCAGCCAAAAGATAAAAGACATTTTTATTTGATTATCGCATGCGATCCGTCCTCCAAAAGGAAAATTCCCAAGACGAAGTCATCCAGCAGCCGCCACCCCAATCGCCAACTCGGGTACCCGTTCCATCCTAAAATATTTCCGTTTCTCTCTTCTAATCTAACTTTCTTTTCCTTTTTCCTTTTCTTTTTAGATATAAGTAGGTTTAAGTTAGAAGTTAAGTATCTCTTTGTATCGCGAAAGTCTTGCTCAACTGTGAATCAAAAAAAGGTGTTGTTTGTTCTTTTGTTTGATGTAAGGACTCAGGAGGTCGGAATCGACAAGAACCTTTCCTGTATATGTTCACAGAAAATAATAAAGCACGTCTTATTTGTTTTATATACCCGTTTCTTTGTGAAATCAACTCTCACCACGTGCTTATTACCACACTGTATTTAATAATAACGGATGAAATTTGATCCAATAATTTCGTCAACAATTGCTCGTAGTTATTGTTTGTTTGTGAAAGCTTTGGTTTCCACTTGTGAAAATATTTACAATGAAAACTACATTTTGATCTTTGTGGTATTATGAACCAGAATATCGAAGTTAAAATCCTTCTAAGAGGTAATAATGAGTTAATAATTGTGGGAAATGGAAGAAGCGTTGCATTTTTTCATCAAAAATAGACAAAGAAAACATGCCAGTAAGTGCAAGAGACTGATATGTAGAAACTATACCATTAAGATGTGTACAAAGTGTTCACTATATCCATCATTGTGGATAACAAAAGTATATTAAGACGAACTAACCTTTTGTTCGTTATGTTGGAGACACTGAAGCCATACCTTTTTATTTATAAAGAAACCTTTTACTGTATCTATATTTCATTTATTCCAAAAGTATTCTCTCTCTCTCTCTGAGTGCCATATCAGAATCCTTGATGTCGGCGAGCACCCGGCGCAAGTGAGTAAGTGAAAAGTGAGTAAGAGAACTTTTTACCTAACTACATTAATAATTTAAATTATCAGTTTCGTAATTTTTATTTTATTTCCATATACATGTAACTATTAATTCATAATGAAATGTTTAAGTGTATGTGACATAAAAGACAAAATTTTGTATGTTTTATTTAGATTTCAACACGCTTATTGTTGGTAGTTTCATTGACTGTTGATCCCGAGTTAGTGGCACATAAGTGTGAAAAGTGAGTAAGAGAACTTTTTACCTAACTATGTTTTAAATTAGATTGCCATTTTGTTGAAAATTTTCCTATGAAACGATTATATGAACATTAAAATAATTATTTTAAAAGTAAACAAAAAATGAAGTGAATAAACAAGATAATTGATTTTTACATTCAGTCTTCTTTTATGTACTGTTTTTCTTATTTATTAGTCATTAATAACACATAAATGATTGTATTAAATATTCTAGTCTTAATTTTTTATTAGTACACTATCATATTTTAATTTTTTTAAATTTTTTCATTTTTACTTGTATTCTCAATTGCAACATGTAGCTTTTATTCCAAATTAGTTTTAAGAAATGGCTTCATCAAGCAATGCAATGAAGATTTTTGAGGAAGAAAAAATTTCAACCTTCCTAGAGCAGCTGTCGGACGTCGACATTCCTCTTGAGTCGTCTGACAGCGAAGAGGAATGTGATGTCCCAGAAAGAAGCGACGTGGACGCTCTAGGAGGGTATTCCTCAGATGAAGAATGGGAGGAAGACAACGAACCATCAACAAATTCCACATGCTCTCGTCAGGCGTTTCCTGATGAGTTGGAAGATGAGGTATATCTTGAGGTTCTGTCACCAGAACAACCTCTCCATCATCCTTTCCCTTTCCTAGAGCAATCTGGCCCAAGAATGTTCCTTCTTCTGACTCTCACCCTGTACAATATTTCAACCTCTTTTTCACTATGTCTATACTTTCCCTTATGGTGACTGAAACAAACAGATATGCCCAGCAAGTGATAAATGGCATGGGGGGGAATGTTCCGGAATATCTCAAGAAGTGGAAAGAAGTAACTATTAAAGAAATGAAGGGGTTTTTGGCATTCCTCCTGAATATGGGACTAAATAAAAAATCTAGCTACGCGAAATACTTTTCCACTTCTGACTCCCAATATCAACCATGGTTTGGGAAAATGTTTACTCTACACCGCTTTTCTCACTTGCTACGATTCTTTCATCTCGTAGATAATACTAAGTTGCCTGGCCCTGGGGAATTAGGTTATGATCCAAGTGCACGATATAAACTTTTGGAAGATCATGCGAATAAGGTGTTCCGACATCACTACACTCCTCACAAAGAAATATGCATCGACGAGTCAATGGTAGGTACCAAGTGCCATACCGGCATGCGTCAGTATATGAAACAAAAAAAACATCATCAATGGGGGATCAAACTTTGGGTGATGTGCGACTCCACTTCGCACTACTGCCTGGGATTTTTCACATACAAAGGGGCCAAATTCCAGGCCGATGTGGACAAGTCCATCGCCTCAAAGTTTGGTCAGCCATATACTGTTGTATGTCGGCTAATGGACATGGGTGATTATTACAATAAGGGCCACCATTTATTTGTTGATAACTATTTCATGTCGGTGCCCCTTATTCGCCACCTACATTCCCAGGCAACTTACTGTACTGGGACTGTACGCAAGAACAGGAAACAATTACCGCTACGATTTAAAGAAAACTTTAAAGTAGGCCAGATCTCTTATTTCAGATCTGGCCCTATATTGGCGTGTGGCTTCCGGGATAAGAAATCACAAAAACAAAGCAAACCGGTTCTTCTTTTATCCAGCCATGCACAAGCGCGTGAAGATCAAATTGTTAAGCGCGGGCAGCCGATATTAAGGCCAGAAATTGTTTCAAGTTATAATAAATTTATGGGAGGGGTCGATATTCATGATTCAATGTTGATAGCATACTTGGATGAAAGGAGGTCCAAAAAATATTGGAAGAAAGTAGCGTTCAATATCATAGCCAGGATGTTATTGAACGCTTACATTCTTTACAAAGAAAATTGTTCCGGAAGCCAAAGAAAAGCACTCTCTCACGTCGATTTTATCGTGGCGGTGATTGAAAGAAAGCCTGGCGGGAGAATGGATGGAGGAGCGGAAAACTTCATTTCCTGAAAAGCCCCGAGGACCAGCAGGGCTCATAAAGCGTTCTATATCATAGCCAGGATGTTATTGAACGCTTACATTCTTTACAAAGAAAATTGTTCCGGAAGCCAAAGAAAAGCACTCTCTCACGTCGATTTTATCGTGGCGGTGATTGAAAGAAAGCTTGGCGGGAGAATGGATGGAGAAGCGGAAAACTTCATTTCCTGAAAAGCCCCGAGGACCAGCAGGGCTCATAAAGCTACCAGATAAATTGGCTTACAGGTGTGTCGTTTGTAGTTCCAAAAATAAAAGGAAAACGACAACAAAGGCCTGCAATAGGTGCAAAAAGGGTGTCCATGCCAATTGTCTAATAAAACATCGCTGCTAGCACAAAGGTACGTGCATAAATTGATATAATTCTGTTTTAGCTTTATATGTGGATAAATTTTGTAAAATGTACAAAAATAATAATCTCTTTCTTACAGATATNGAACGCTTACATTCTTTACAAAGAAAATTGTTCCGGAAGCCAAAGAAAAGCACTCTCTCACGTCGATTTTATCGTGGCGGTGATTGAAAGAAAGCCTGGCGGGAGAATGGATGGAGGAGCGGAAAACTTCATTTCCTGAAAAGCCCCGAGGACCAGCAGGGCTCATAAAGCTACCAGATAAATTGGCTTACTGGTGTGTCATTTGTAGTTCCAAAAATAAAAGGAAAACGACAACAAAGACCTGCAATAGGTGCAAAAAGGGTGTCCATGCCAATTGTCTAATAAAACATCGCTGCTAGCACAAAGGTACGTGCATAAATTGATATAATTCTGTTTTAGCTTTATATGTGGATAAATTTTGTAAAATGTACAAAATTAATAATCTCTTTCTTACAGATATCATCATATGTTCATTACCCTGAANTCGTCGGTGCCCCTTATTCGCCACCTACATTCCCAGGCAACTTACTGTACTGGGACTGTACGCAAGAACAGGAAACAATTACCGCTACGATTTAAAGAAAACTTTAAAGTAGGCCAGATCTCTTATTTCAGATCTGGCCCTATATTGGCGTGTGGCTTCCGGGATAAGAAATCACAAAAACAAAGCAAACCGGTTCTTCTTTTATCCAGCCATGCACAAGCGCGTGAAGATCAAATTGTTAAGCGCGGGCAGCCGATATTAAGGCCAGAAATTGTTTCAAGTTATAATAAATTTATGGGAGGGGTCGATATTCATGATTCAATGTTGATAGCATACTTGGATGAAAGGAGGTCCAAAAAATATTGGAAGAAAGTAGCGTTCAATATCATAGCCAGGATGTTATTGAACGCTTACATTCTTTACAAAGAAAATTGTTCCGGAAGCCAAAGAAAAGCACTCTCTCACGTCGATTTTATCGTGGCGGTGATTGAAAGAAAGCTTGGCGGGAGAATGGATGGAGAAGCGGAAAACTTCATTTCCTGAAAAGCCCCGAGGACCAGCAGGGCTCATAAAGCTACCAGATAAATTGGCTTACTGGTGTGTCATTTGTAGTTCCAAAAATAAAAGGAAAACGACAACAAAGACCTGCAATAGGTGCAAAAAGGGTGTCCATGCCAATTGTCTAATAAAACATCGCTGCTAGCACAAAGGTACGTGCATAAATTGATATAATTCTGTTTTAGCTTTATATGTGGATAAATTTTGTAAAATGTACAAAATTAATAATCTCTTTCTTACAGATATCATCATATGTTCATTTTCCTGAAGCATATCAGCTGGCAGAGAAGGTAGGTGGTGGATAGCTTGAAACAATAATCTGATATATTCATTATTTTTATATGCATGATTCTTGCAAAATGTACAAAATGATGTTTTCTCTTACAGCTTGGTTCCGGGGAGATCTTTCTGCTTCCTCCATCCATTTTCAACTATTTATTTAATTAATTAATTAATTTATTTATTTATTTATATAGTTATTTATTGTTTATCATTATTGTATATTTGTTATTTATTGTTAAGATTGGATGAAATGTGTTCAACGATGGATATTCTACATCCAATTAATTGTGTTAATTCTAGTTCTTAATTCTACATACATATGTAACAAAGAACATAGTAATTGTCGAAGTTCAAAAATGTTAAAATAATTGTTAAATTCAAGACTTCATATATAAATGCCATTTATAATTTATTTAAAGTATAAATTAATGTTACAAAGCTAATTTAGAAACCTACCTCACCATTTTTAAATCTTAATGATTTAAAAATAGTGTTATATTACAATTAAGATCATATGTGGTTTTTTAATTACATGATTTCCATTTAGACAAATCAAAATCAGTGTTGGCAGATCTGAAAATCTTTTGAGAGGACCAATATTGATATTATCAGCAGTTCTATGAAAACTTTACATTCTTTTAGTAACCCAAAGTAGATGTATTTATAGCGAAACTATTTAGTTTATTTTTTTGAAATTATTACAAAAGTTGCTTCTAGCTCTTGGTATAATTATATTAATTAAATTATCAACAACCATGAAGCAGATAATAGTGAGGGCTTATCAGACCTATGATGGGCACAAAAGCTCAGGAATCAAGTGAAATCAATTTCATAAACACAAAAAAAAAATAAAATTACTACATATTTTTGTAAAGATTAATGAAATTAATAAATTATCAAATGTAATACTGAGGGATATGCAGGATGTAGCTATATCCCCTTCTGAGGAATTTTCATAAATAAAACCAAGTATTTAAAGAAGTAAAAACTTTTGAAAGATGCTTCCTTTCTACACCTCCACTAAAGATTTCTGGATCTGCTATTGGTTACATTCACTTTTCTTTATCTTAGAAACATTTTACAATCTTTTGTTATACCATATATATGCTATGTTGTCATAACAAACCAAAATATTTTACTTTAGCTTGGCATATATTGCCTGAATGCATTTGTCCATGAAATGTAGCTAATTGTTTTCTAAATGTTATACAACCAATCTGGATTGTAGAATCTCTTACTTCAAAACATATACTTGTTAAAGCTTTTCATTACTGTCATTATTGTATTAAATTTGATTTAAAAATATATATATTTATAAGATGAATAAAATATATTTTATATAATGTTATATTATTGTGAAATTATTTAATGCTTTTACACTTCATTAGGTCAAATTTATAATTATCTAAACGATTAGCACTGTTGTGATAAAGTGTTTTAAAAATTGGCAACATTAATGAATTATAGTTTCTTGACCAATTACTTAGTAATTATAGTTAACTTGACCAACTCACTTGAGCTGTTGTTTGTATAGATCAGTGGTCTGAAATTTTGTCTGAAANAGCTCAGGAATCAAGTGAAATCAATTTCATAAACACAAAAAAAAAATAAAATTACTACATATTTTTGTAAAGATTAATGAAATTAATAAATTATCAAATGTAATACTGAGGGATATGCAGGATGTAGCTATATCCCCTTCTGAGGAATTTTCATAAATAAAACCAAGTATTTAAAGAAGTAAAAACTTTTGAAAGATGCTTCCTTTCTACACCTCCACTAAAGATTTCTGGATCTGCTATTGGTTACATTCACTTTTCTTTATCTTAGAAACATTTTACAATCTTTTGTTATACCATATATATGCTATGTTGTCATAACAAACCAAAATATTTTACTTTAGCTTGGCATATATTGCCTGAATGCATTTGTCCATGAAATGTAGCTAATTGTTTTCTAAATGTTATACAACCAATCTGGATTGTAGAATCTCTTACTTCAAAACATATACTTGTTAAAGCTTTTCATTACTGTCATTATTGTATTAAATTTGATTTAAAAATATATATATTTATAAGATGAATAAAATATATTTTATATAATGTTATATTATTGTGAAATTATTTAATGCTTTTACACTTCATTAGGTCAAATTTATAATTATCTAAACGATTAGCACTGTTGTGATAAAGTGTTTTAAAAATTGGCAACATTAATGAATTATAGTTTCTTGACCAATTACTTAGTAATTATAGTTAACTTGACCAACTCACTTGAGCTGTTGTTTGTATAGATCAGTGGTCTGAAATTTTGTCTGAAATTAAACAAGTACACAATGAAATATTTGACATAAGACTTCACATTCAAGTTTTTATGTATTTTCATTTATTTAGATCAAAGTTTTAGTCAGTTCAAATTTAAAATTATTAAAAAATATAAATTAGCAGAGTTACCTCTACAACTCATCTTTCAATCGGTTCTACAGTCAAAAACCAAAATCATTCTCACTTATCCAAAAGCTCTTGCCAATCAATTTATTTAAAAAATCAAGAGTTAACTATATACTGCTTATCTAATGAATAATGTTAAGATTGCTTTCAATATTCAACTCACTAAAAACCTTGTTTTAACACCAGCAGGCATTTATGTTTTTGCCTAATTATAGGTCTGCTTCAGGTCTTAAACCTTTTGTTCTATTATGGTGATATGGGTCATTGGAATTATTCATTATAAATATAGGTTGGTATCAGAGTTTGTAGTGCATGTCAGTTTTAATATTATTTTCCTTGAACAAAATGTTTATGTCTAACATGGGTGCTGCATTATTGTTTTACTGATCTAGTTCAAAGAAAGCTCTTTATTGTTATATAAATGTCTACTAGGACATATTTGCAGAAACAGACCAGTACAATAAGTCTAATAATGTGATATGTCCTAGTAGACATTTATATAATAATAAACTGTATAAAATAAGGACATAAAGGCATAGGAATTAGAGCTCTTTATTGTTCATATGATGTAAAAAATTGCCAATGCCTGTTCTTGCTTTCCAGATGATACTGGATCCCAACACTGGAAAGATTTGAGAAAGATCTAATACAGATATATAATAGATGTTTCTCAGATTACTGACTAAATAAATTGCAGAACACAAATACAACATAGAAAAGATGAAGCAAACCTTTGCTCTGTCCATATATACCTCTGAAACAGGAGTGAAACCAAACTTGGAACAAGTTAATCGTTTTGGACACACCATTCACGCAGAGCATGCTAAAGCAATGGAAGCTCTGAAAATTTACAAAGCACGATTGAGAGGGGAATGCCTCATTTGTAAGAAGGAGGGAAAAATTTCATGATGATCCAAATGGGAACCAAGAAAATGAATCTTATTAAGAAAACATATATGTACTNGTTTTCTTGAGGCTGTTGGCTTTGCTAACTTGAATACATATATCAATTAAGGCCTATAAATGATTGATGTTAATATAAAAATAAAATATTTGAATACAATCATTTATGTGTTATTAAAACAGTACAACAAGAGAAGACAATGTAAAATTAACTTACTAAAAAGTAATCAATCAATTTCAATGAATCTGAAATGAAAAATTAAAATGTGTATTTATCAATTAAGAATTAATCAACATTATATTAAGAATAATTAGATATTTTATTCATTATATTCTACAATAATTACACAAATAGCATTATACTAAATGATCAAAATTTCTTTTAAAAAAATAATGGCTTTAAAAATAGCTGTTTTCTTTATTTTGTAGCTATAATGTAGTCACGAAGGGACAATAAATGTTGCTAGAAAATTTTAAAACTGGAAAATAAGATTTATGTTCTTATGTTCCTAATGGTCCAATAAATGTTCCAAGTTGAAAATATTTCCAAAGCTCATCCTAGAGCAAGTGGATTTTTAGCACATGTTTAATTAAAGGGAAAAGCCAAATTCCTGAAGCAACATTTGATTTGGCAGGCAATAAATGAGGATGTTAATGTATCACATCCTTATCTTGCACAGGTTTCTTACCATTCATAGAACTCTGTACTTACTAAATTGTACTGTATGTAGAGCAGTTACTTTTATTTATCTTACTGTTGACAAAAATGCAAAAGATGGTTTTTAACCATAATGTTTGTTTATATATATATATAAATTCATAGTAATATTTATGAATAGACTTACAAATCTTTTATAAAATCTTTTTATATTTACTCGCTGTAAATTCATCTTTAATTTCTTCTTGTACACTTATACATGTTTTTAAATCATATAAACTGTCATTAAGTATTATAAAGTAATTTACTGATAACTAAATAAACAATGACTTACTTCAGATGCAAATACATCAGATAGGCCTATATCTTGAGCATTTACTGCTGAAGTTGCTGAAATTAATTCAAAATTAAGAAAATTATAATGCCTTAATACTTACTTGTTATAGGTTGGGCATCACTATCAAAATTATTAAATAAATAACTTATTAAGGTATAATTGATATGTGCCACTATAGACTAATATATAAATTATGGCAAACTTTTAAACTATAAACTTTCAAGCCAATGGTATACCTGAGTTCCCTTGCATTTATGCATGCCTCTTCCTGTTATTTTCAAAGTTATAATAAATATGTTAAATAATAAATGCTTTCAAAATATTCTCTTTTTGAATACTTCCACATGTACAATATTTAATATTAATTAATTGTATCCTATAAATTCAGATTTTAATTGGTTGTTAATAATAAGAGTATTTCATTTGATAGACAAACAAATAAAATTGTAACTAAGGTCATTACTCATTATAAGAAATAAACATACAGTACATTGAATCAATAGGAAATTAGAATTTGATTTAAAAGTGTTTTGGTTCATTGATAAATTTTCAAGATTATTAGGACTTATTTTAATTATAAATAACATATCAATGCCAAGTATAATACCGTACTGATATATTGATATTATATAAACAGTACATGTGTATAATTGCATTACACCTGTATCTTTTATCTGTATACATTTAATTTTTTTCTTTACTGTTAAGCCTGAAACAATCCATTTTAATTTTGGATAGGAGTATTTTAATCTAGTGTGTAAACTTTCATAACACTATTACCATGTTGGCTTTATTATAATTTAATGCTGTAGTTTATGTATACAAAAAAACATTACTTGTGAAATAAACAATTGGATCCAATATTCAATAACAACTATTTATAAATATCTAAACATTCAAACTAAAAGTTATATGTCTTTAAATGTTATATAGTATAGTTTTCTTCCCTCTTCTCATTTCCTCTAAAACTCTTCATCTTTCCTTTTCAAAAGCTATGCTGTAAGGTTCGGCCTTCTAACACTTTTAAACATATCATATATAGTATAGTTTCTTGCCAATTAATAAGACTATAAAGAATGGAAATATTTTTTGAAAAAACACTAACAGACTGTCAATATAATATGTCTGTATGATCTGTAAAGTTAGACATCCAAACTAAAAGTTATATGTCTTTAAATGTTATATAGTATAGTTTCTTTCTGACACGAAGTACTTATAGTTCTTTCTGAATCTTCTGAAACGATGAGATCAGGGGATTAATTAATTAATTGTATCGTGTACATTATTTTATACCCCTAAGGAAAATACTGTATGTCTACGGTAAAATAAATTTCGTTTCCCCTAATCGGAAATAAACTATATAATCGAAAAATTTTATCTATGATCGAATTGTGTAATTATAAATATTATTCAAACTGTCATTTTTAACATATTTTTTGGGAGAAATTTTTGTGCTAGCGAAAGTTGACTACGGTAAAAAAAAAACGAAAAGTAATGTATACAAGTTAATTTTTTAGTATGTGCATGAAAATTGCTGGAACTAAGTCTACTATAGAAAAAAAAAATCACTCAGCAAATACTGATAATATAATACTGATCTTTTTAATTCTTTTCATAACGCTTGGCTACATGTACGCCATCTTGTAACGAAATTTTAAACTAAAGACCGTCCTAAATTATTTATTTACCTGTTAATACATTTTAGTGTAAATGTTATATGTTTGCATTAAAAAACTAAAATATTATATATATATTTTTTTTTTATAGCCTCTCTTTCCATTAAACAAAAAATACACAATTTATAAAGTTACTATCTATTAAAATAAATAGAAGAAATGTTAATTCTAATTTGGTTCATAAAAATATTAACATTTAGAATTGTGTATTTTCACAAATTTTAAATTAAGTTGAATTTTTTAATTAAAAAAAAACTGAATTATATTTACACTAGTTCCATCTGGAGATCATAACAGAAACTATCTTTTACATTCTCAAATAATATATTTTATATGTTATAAAAAAATTTAACTTACTAATATATTACAAAATAATAACTAGAATGTATTATCTGTATTTTTTATTCTAATAACTTACTATTATTATTTTCATAATAATAAAATTCATTTATTCTTTTAATATATATAAATTTAATTTATCATTAATATCTCAGCAATATATGAATTCATTTAGTGAAATTATGGTTTTAAATAATGAAAAACATTTAATATTTTAAATTATTTTGATGTTTAAGTTATTACGTCATAGGAAAGTCACAGGAAATAGAATGGCGTCATCAGGCGTGACGTGTAGGTCACGTGACCTACACATCACTACATAATCACGTGCTTTTGTTTACTATATTTGTCACTATTATATGTTATAAAGTAATTCACAAAGTTAAATAAAAATGCGAAAAATAACAAAAAGCTGTCAATAACATACGTATAACAACTTAAATTAGTACAAAAACTAACAAAATAATAAAAAAAATCAACATAAGTGACTTTCATACATTGCATTTACGCTTTAAAAAAAAATTATTATCAGAAATCATCAAAAAGTATAATGGAAATATGTAATGAAGTAAATAAATTTGTAATATCACAAAAATTAGCACAAAAATTAAAGAAAAAGAGAGAAAAAGAAACATTTACCTCTAGGCTATAGATGACCTTGAGTTGTGTAAGAGGTCTGTTTACGTAAAAAATCAAAAATGACAAATTTATTTCAAAATAAAATCCAAAACAATTTTTTCTATGTAAAATAAACAGAGAAGAAAACAATCGCGAAAACTGCATTCGTCTAACATGTATAGTTCTCAAGAAATAATTTTTCTAAACCGTTAACGCTAAACTGCAGAAAATTCTGCACTTTGAGGTTTGCTCCTAGTAACTTTTCTGCAGAAAATTCTGCACTTTGCAGTGAAGAGGGCAAAGTGCAGAATTTTAATTAACCCAAAATTAACCCGTTCTCCATACAAGCTCTCGACGGCAAGGGGACTGTCGTTTCGAGTTTGCAAAGTATTTGTCAAACAAGAACTCAGGTCTTCCAGAACAGCTGCTATTAAAAAAAAACATAGACTGATTATTGATGATTCATTATATAAAATATTTTTAATTTATAAAACACTTCATATAAAAATTCAAGATTTAATTTCTCTACCATCCACTAGGATCGCTCAAGATCGTTATCACGTGCTTTTTAGAGTTGTGAACTAATTACTTGAAGTAAACACGTGACAAAAGTGAACGAGTTGATGTAATAGTGCAATTTATTTATGAAATGATGATTATTTGAATCTATTGAATAATTCGTTTCAAGTGTATCGGATTTTAGCAGAAAGAAAAGTAAATCGTTCGTGTAAAACAATTTAACATTTATTTGAGATTTATTTTTAATGATGGATATAGAAGAGAAGGCTACAAAGTATGGTGTGTCTTCGACTTTATTGCATGATTGGAATAAGTAAGTAATTTATTTGCAGTAGAATTTTTAAAGCTTTGTTTAATTATTAAAATAAATCATAGTAAAAACTCTTCAGATACTGATTAATTTTATTTTCTGTATATGTTACCAGCAAGATCTGAAATAATGACAAACTACGTTTTTCTAGACAGTATGCAGTTTATTGTAACTTTTAGGTATAAGATTACAACTCTGAATGAGAGATTTTCCATCCCCTTAGAATTGTAGCTCCTTATACAAGCAAAAAAGTCAATGGAACCATACCGTTACATGTGCCCCTTCATGAGATATTTGCCTCTAAAGGCAGTTTTTATTATGAACCAGTACTACTGTCTATTCTCCACACATTGCATGTATGTATGTAGTCACTCATTTTGATGCTCACCATCGCTTTCACCTCAGTGCTCATCATCTGGGTTTGAGCCACATCTCCTTAAAACTGTATAACGTCAATTATTCCATGAACAGTCAAATGGGCTACTCAAAGCCAGCATGGTCGCATGGTCTAAATAGCTAAATGCGACAGTCTTAGTGGAGTGACGTGACTCCTGATTATGTGTGTCCTGGAAATAGTCTAATTTTGGGGGCTGTATCTTGCAAAGGGTTACATTTAGAGGTATGGTTCCTTTGACCATTTTGCTCTTGTGGGTATGATCTATAGCTCTTAGGGCCATGCTATGATGCAGAGAGGTGGCACCTTAAGGAGACGGCATAAGTAGCATTTCAGGGGTGGCATAAGTGGCATTTTGAAGACTTGCATCATACTGAGAAAATCTACTGCATGGCCCTGATAGCTCTAGTAAGGTTCCAACCATCTCATTCAGAAATGTAATTGTACCATTTGGGCAATGTCTGGAAATACTTTTAAATTTATACTTTGCCTGAAATATTATCAAGTAATCCTAAATGTATCAAATGCGTTTCAGACAAACTCAGAAATACCAGAATAAACATATGTATATCTTTCACTTTTACAAGTGTGCCAAAATTTTCCCGAGTAAATGTTTGGGGATTATCAGACAGCTGTCAGTCATCATTATTGTAATCTTAAAATGAGCTAGCAGTTAGATCCCTCTAGTGTTATTCATGAAGCACATTTTCCAAGAATTAATGTTCTCAGGCACTGTAGGTGTTCAAAGAAAGTTTGTTGATTGAGTTGTTGAGGTTGCTGTCAGTCATAATTAGCATGCCTTTAAAATAGCATGCTAATTAATAAGCAATAAATATCAATCATATATACCTTAGTTCAGTGGTGCAATTTTTATTAACTCTCTCCACCTTGTGTGCACTAAAAGCCTTTTTTTAGCAAGCCTGTTATGGATTCAACCAGTTCACAGGGGGGTAGCTGGGTGGTGAGGAATTGGGATCAAATACATAAGGACAGACCACCACCAGAAAATTCCTTGGTCTTTTTGATCCATCTGAAGTCACTCCTGGGACCCCAGAGTAATAGGCTGCCACATTAATCACTTGGTCATCCAGCTGTTTCAGTGGTACAGTTGGGAGAGGCAATGAGGCAAGTGCCCCTAAAGAAATTTCAAAAAAATGAAAATAAACAGCACATGCTTGCTTACATTTTTTTACTGCTTAAACAGCATTATAAAAAGGAATTATCTTTATTACAAATTTTACAATAAAAATCTCGCAAAAATTTTTGATCCCCTATATGAAGTTTCTGGTTGTATCACTGCCTCTCTTAATTTTATTTTAAGAATGAAGTTTAAGAAACTCTTCCCTGGACATTTGCAAGTTGTTTATGTTGTAGTGACAGCAATAGCAAGCTCTTGAACAATAAGGAAACTTTCCATTTTGACTTTAAAGGGCAAGATCTCCATGACTGAGAAAAATGAAATGGGAAGATTGTAAAGTAATTTGTCTAAGGAATTTATTTAATAATAATAATTGATAATTGCAGCAAAATGCAAATTCAAGCTATACAGTAGAACCCCTCTAATCCATCACCTTTGGGACTGGGGGTATGGTTGGAACGCAAAAAAGGTCGGATTATCAGAAAAAAGTAAAATAAACAATCTTCCCCTTTGTCCAGTCTTTTTAGCACTGCTAATTTTTCATTTAATGAAAGAGTAACGTGTTTACGTTTCACTCCTGACATGTTGAAAACACACACAAAACTTTACATGTACACACAATGTAAAACATATACCGTAACGAACACAGAAAAATACCACAGACGGTGAGTCACTGACGAGTCGGGACAAGTTTCTCGACTCCGACCACGGTCGGATTAACCGGAGTGACGGACTAGCCGAGGGCGAACTAGAGGGGTTCTACTGTATTTGACAAAAAAGATAGTTGTCTTAATGAAAAAAATGTCAATGAAGAAACCAAAATGAAATAATGGCAATCATATGAACTTAGCAGGGCAGTAGTTAAATGGTTTAACTAGGATTTCCAAACGCCCCACATTTTGGAACCTTTGGGAATTGAGAATGGGAAATCGTATTTACCGAGAATTCCTGAAGTAATCTTTTATATTTAAGCTTCTTTCGTTCGTTATTTTTAGGATTTACTTTGAATGTAATTTGGTTACATTTTATTGTTTTTGTTAAATAAGCGCCAACTGGCAGTTTTTTCGAAGTAGCTTAAATTACCAAGTAATAACTTGTAATATTAACACATTTGTAAATGAACAGGTGAAATTATATAAGATAATATCATAATTTTATTCAAGAATTACAAAAAACTTTAATTCAAAAAAAGTTTGGCAAATTCGAAACTAGATTATCTAGGAGCCAATTTTCTTGCTTTTCTGATCAACTTTTTCTGCAGATTCAGGAATGGGAAAACAAAAAAAATTCCCAAGCACAAGCATGAATGAATTCTGTCTGGAGACCCTATGTTTCATAGCTTCAGAAGTAGATTTCCAGTAAGTAGATTGATGTTACAACAAAAGAAACTGAAATTTCTGTCTTAATTAGGTGTTTAAAATTTTCATGTTAACAATGGGTGGCTGGATAGATTCAAGTGTAACATTGCCTTTCATTGTTGAAGATTTTGTCACAACATTCTCTTCCATTGCATTATTAGTGAAAGTGCAGAGGTGAGGACAGACATGTGTCACATAGTTGGAAATAACAATTAATGATCATTACTCATACAAGAATACTACTCACTTGAAACTGGATGAAATAATCACAAAAGTATAAAATGTAATGTATACAATCAATGTTTTCAATGTATTAATAATAGTCCAGCATCAGGTCAAAGGTACAACTTTACATTCTATTTTAGAATTTGTGTTTCCCAATGAATATTACAAAATTCAAAAATTCAAATGCATATCCTACTTAAAATTAATATATTACAATGTGCATTTTTTTATATAATATAAAAATATGTAAAATGTAAGATTTTATTTGATGCTACAAAGAAAATAAATTTTTCATTAATTAATTATCTGAGATCATCATAAAGTGATTGTCATGTGATTGATAATTTTCATGTTTGAAAATGAGACATTTTTCTTTTTGCCACTTTATTTCTTGGGTTTCTAATGATCTGATTTGGTTGCTATGGAAGGTATGCTGACTTGTTTAAAATTCACTTTAACATTTGGCTCAGTGGCAAAAATGGTGGTAGGCTTTTTCTTATGAAAAACAAATGTGTGTAAGTAAGAAATTGCCACAATAACCAAAAATCCAGCAAAAACAAAAAAACAACTATTTTACTTTTGATGCCATATTTATGTTCTACTAGTATTTTGTTTGGTGATCTGTTATTACTGTGAGAAATTAACCACATGGCAATCATTTTATGATGAACTGAGGACATTCATGAAAAGATACAACAAATATCTTTGACCTATTAATAGTCCAGCATAAAGTCAAAGGCACAACTTTACATTCTATTTTAGAATGTATGTGTGTTTATAACATATTACAAAATTCAAATACTGGAACACCATTAAAAATTCAAATGCATGTTCCACATAAAATAAATAGATATTATAAGGTGTATTTTTTTATATAGTATAAAAATATGTAAAATATAAGGTTTTGTTTCATGCTACAAAGAAAATAAATTTTTTCATTAATTAAAATTGTCCTTTTCATGAATTGTCTTTAGTTCATCATAAAATGATTACCATGTGGTTAATTTCTCACAGTAACTACTTTAACAGTAACTATTTTACAGCAAAATTGGAATATTCTAGTTTTTCTACACAATACATTATAATGATACAATGTCATTGTAAGGAGAAGCTATCAAATGTGGAGTTGAAGTTTTTTCAGCCAGCATAACATTGTTTGCAGCAAATGAATCTATCATTCTTGTATTCAAGAATTACTATTTAAAGAAACTTGATGCATTCTCTTGTTGAAAAAATACATGGAACTATATTAGTCCATGTATTAACTAATATCATCAATGTTGCCAATGTCCTAAAATTGGATTAAGATAGATTGCATGGAATGAAGTAAAACCTGAAACTATCAAAAAATGCTTTGTGAAACATGGATTTGTTGTTGGATGCTGTGGATAGTGACATACATGATGGATATAAACAGGGTAGCAAATTCCACTACTGCTGTGAATGGACTTGGTAAGGCCATCACAGTATGTGTTGATAGAATCACATCGAAGCTTTTCATAAATTCCATCTATGAGAATGACAACTGGAATGATATTGAGGCTGAAAGTGACACCAAAATCGAGAATGATCCTCAGATGAGTTTTACTAAGAATTTTCTGTTGCTGGTGAATCAAATGAATTGAAAGATGCACTTTCAAGAGTTGCACAGCACAAATCACTTACCAGAAAATTTGACAATAATTCATTAATATAATTATTAAGGAATGATTATCGAATATAAAATGAGTATGAAAATGTGGTTGTGGCCAAATGTCTGAAAAACTTCAAACAAATGATAATATTAAGTTATTTCAAACTGGTGTGATAGGATTTATGTAATGCATCATGTACATAATGTTGTGGCTGACAGGAGTAGCAACACTGACCGAAAGGAGAAGATAAAAGAACAAGTAAAGAGCTGGCCACATCATCTTTTTGGATCTTCTAAGCAGACAAGAAGGATGAGATCACCCACATGGCCAACACAGTCCTAGCTTTGTTAATGTATTTTTTAGACTTTGTGTAAAAAAAATTAAAGAAATTCTTGTTTAATGTATTTTGAGTATCATTTTCTTTGTAATTAGAGTTTTCTGAGCCAATAAAGAGGGCAAGCCTAACTAGTGGCCAGCACAGTGTAATAACAATTGTTAAATAAACACCTTTAAAAAACTTTATCATAATTAGTGTTTAATAATTACACTGCTGTAATACTTTGCATGCTTACATTCCTTATACCAGGTGTACAGTTCAGTTATTCTTGTATAACACCACAGTTAGATTCCAAAATAACTATACGAAACAAAGGACTAATACAAAAAATAAGGTTAGATTCCAAAAGTTGGTAAAAGCTGTACTATTATTTTTTGTAATTAAGAGAAATATGTTTATTAAAGCAATCAATAATTAATTAACAATCACAATCAAAAGTATTACATGTTAATAATTTTTTCTTCACTGTTAAACACCGTTAAATGAGGATGTTTTCTTTTTGGCAAATATCATGCTTTGCCTATACCTTTTTATATCTATGCCTATATTATCATGCTTTGCAAATATCTTTGGCAAAATATCAGCTTTCCTGTTGACCTTAATCTTAATTAACAACATCATCATGATTTTTCTGTTTTTTTTTTTCATAAAATATGATCTTTTCATTTGCTTGCATTTGCTTATCTTTAAAATTTTAATCTTTTTATGTAGTAATTTTTTAATGTAATGTATAAAACAAAGCATAGCAACAGTCTTTCAGGTTCATTTAGAGTATTATCAAAGTTAGAATAGGAAGCTAAGACAAAAAGAAAAAAATTGCACAATAAATTCTTATTAAAGAAAACCAGGCGAAAGACAGGAAACAACATTGAAAATTTTAATATTCTAAAATCTGTGGAAAATATAAGACATGCATGCTTGCTTGAATAAAAAAGAATCAAATGACAGGATTTCTACTTAAAAATTTGACATTTTGTCCAGGGATGTTCTTGAACCATGCATATTAGAGCAAAACCATATTGTAGGAATGCTGTTTTGTATGAGTGATACTGTTTTGTATTCCTGACAAAGCAGATTTCTTTAAGACATTTCCTTATTGTTTTTTGTGACAGTTTTTGATGATTGGCTTAAAGAGGTTTTTCTGTATATATCAATGTCTTTTATAAACAAATAGAATTGGTTTTTAAGTTTTATTGTGATATATTCATTACATACAGTTCATTAACATAAAAATCATTAAATTTTTTCAGAGAGCAGATTGAATTAAAGAAAAAAATTATTTTATCTGATTCTGAAGAATGGCAGAAATCTAAAGATGCAATCGAAAGTGAAGAAAACTGTACCAAAGCTACTCTTCAATATGTAGCAGGTGTTGATATTTCATACAGAAAAGATCATGAACAAGAAGCTTGTACTGCCTGTGTTGTATGCAGTCTACCAGATTTAGAAGTAAGCAAATACAGTAAAACCTCTTTAAGCCAACCACCTCCAAAATTTAGAAAAACTGGCCATCTCAAGGAGTGGTCTTATCAAAGGGAATGATGAATATTGATAGAGTATTAGAGTATACTATATACAGAGAATGTTTATGGTACTACATAGTATATACAGTATTCTAGTATAGCACTACACAAGCTACTCTGTAGACAATATAACAAAACCTGTTTAAAAAATAAATACATTGCATGTAATTCTGCATTCTGTAAATGAAAATATAACGTGCACAGTCTTAAATGATTGATTTAAAATAAATAAACACTTGCTTTCTCTGTTTTAACTTTTTTAATAAGATAATGTCTTCACATTTCTTTTCTATTTTGTGAAATAGATCCCTTTTTCAGGTCAAACAAATTATAAAAATTGCCCAAATCCCACCAAATTTGTCATCTAGTACCATTTTATTTCTCTATTAATGGAAAGAATAAATTTATTGGCTTTATTATATGATTTAGTTTTTAATAAGAATAAATAGACCATAAGAATAAAGCATAAGGTAACTTTTTAAGGATATTAACAGAAAATTATGAACTGTACAGTATATTCTCCATGATGAGACCAAATGGGAGAAAATAGATAATGAAGTTAGAAAAAAGATTAAGGTGAATTTTTACATCTAATGCAACAAAACTACATGCCCAACATTGCACATTTTGTAAGCTTATGGTTTTTATTTTATCATCCCATCTGAGATGATGAAACTATAGTAGTTGCCTCAAAGAGGGTATTTCAGACACGAGGATTATGAGTCCAGGTGGTCATCGGTCAAGTAAATGAGTGGTCAGTTTAAGGCAAATTAAAAACAAGAAGCCTTATCAACAAAAATTCTGTTCTACGAAAATTGGTCATCTGGAGAGGTTTTACTGTATATTAAAGTGTAAGAGTTATTACAATATATTATATATGTATCAATTAAATGAAAATGAATATAGATGATATCATTTATCCATTTCATTTTATTTTAATTATTTTCAGAATCACTTTTGTCTATTATTAATAACTTGCAACTTTTTAGATATAATTTTTATTATATTTTAAAAATTTTTAAATATTGCAGATTCTATTTTCAAATATTCTATTTTGTATATATAAAATGTTATAGAATTCAATAATTTTAAAGTTAGAGAGGTTTAAAACAGATTCATAATTTCCTAAACAAAATTTATGACTAATGTATTACAAGAAATTGGAATCCACTGAAAAGTTGCAAATCCAATGAAATGGAATATGTGGAAGATGAGAAATGATAAACCTGATTATGTAACAAATAAAATTATATAAATACTGTATAACAAATAAATTCAGTCTGAGAGAGACAAATATTCAAAAAGAAAGTGTTTTGGATTTAAGATTCTGAGCATAAGACTTTTCAGTATTATGTTAAACTTTGTGTAACCTTTAGAAAACAGATTTTTATAAAAGAAAAATATTTATTTTATGTTTAGAAACAAACTAAAATTGTTTAACAAGCATTTTTATATTTGATAAATATCTTTTAAGAAGTCTTTTATATACAAGTAAACAAACATACATTTTCATTTATACATTTGCAAATTTTTAAATATTTATTTAATTGTACATTTCAATTTTTACTTTTATCTATATCATGCTTTTTTATGTTGGTTTTTGTATATGCTTTTAATTTAGTTTTATTCTTAAGATTTTTTTCATATATACAAATTTTATTTTATCATCAAATAAATTTGTATATAATAATAATCTTTGATTTTCCAGCATTTGTTTTCTGTAAACAAACAGTTTCAATCCTTTTTAAAGATCATCTCCAGGTTCATCAAATAACATAAAATTTGAGTAAATCATAATATAAAATTACTGTATTTTATAATCATCTGTAAGTTTTTTAGCATACAATTTTCTTTTTTTATTTTCTTTATTTTGATCAGTTATTTACATAATTAAATAAATAAATTTTTAAATAAAATAAAATTATTTACATACTTTTAATTATGTAAATAACTGATGAAAATACTGCCAGATTAAGAAAACCAAATTCTTATTCATACTATAACATTTTTGACTCAATATAAGCTAGCTTCAGTACATTAAAATATAAATAGGATGCTAAGTTAAAATTTAAAAATTTACAGTAAAAATTATAGAATTTTAAACTGGACTATAATTTTATCTTCATCCATAGAATATCTTTTATTGGAGGTTTGTATGGCCTCTGTAAAATTCAGATCTTTGTTCTTATACTCGATTACTTAAAATGTATACAAAACCATTTTTCAGTCTTTGAATGAAAAAAAAATAGTAGTTTTATTAGAAAATTAGAGAAAATGGAAAAAAATCAAGTTATACCTGAACACTTTAAAAAGTGTAAGACAGCTGACTTTTAGGGGGAATCTGTTAATCCTGCATCAGGAAAAGCCTAGGGTCTAATCGTATGTGGGTGGTGATGCTGGAGGCAAGGATGACACGTGTCCTTACAACAAAACCATTTTATTACAGTAAACTAATGCTTACATGAATATCAACAGGTAGTGCATGTCGAAAGGTAGTACGACAATTTCACACAGTCCAAAATAACAGAGTTTGCTCGTCGATTCACTGTTCAGATGTTTTGTGATGACCGGTGATGGTGCTTGTTGGTTCAAGACAGCCCTGGGGCTGAGAGGATGTTGATGCTGATGAGGTAGTCTGTCGTCGGGATGGTGCTCTTCGAAATGGAAAAACGACATCAAAGTTTCGTTGCAGTATGCAAATGACACAGATGAATCGCAATTATATTAGGCAAAAATCAGCATTGCGATCTTGAGATTTGGGGTTTTATGTCTTTTTTCCCCTTGAATCTCACCTTTTGATTGGTTCTAGTTCTGTCTAACTTTCCAATTTGTTTTTTTTCTGTCTCCAGGTGAAAACTGAGACAAGTTTGGGTCACAAGAAAGGTCCATTCCGAACAGCTTATTTGGCACCATCCTTTGACTCTGTCCAGGACGTGTTGATGGAACTATGAAACCTGCACTCGTATTTTACTCCATTATTGCTTTCGCTTTGACATTTTTGCATTCTAACGATCTAGCATGATGTCCTTTGACTGTCACCCTTTCCCTTTTTTCAGATTTTCAAACTTAGATTGATTAATATATGAGTGCCCTGTCAAAGTTTCGTCTGTCTGGGTTGATATTTATCTATGATCTATTAGAAGTGTAAGTCCTCGAGACCCCTCATTTATCTCCATGCCACATTTGTTTTGACAATTACAGTTTTTTCTTCCTTCTCCCTTACATAACTTTCGTTTTGTTTTTGTCTCAGGAAATCTTTATATATAATAAATGCAATTTTTAAAATTTTACACTTTGTTTGGAACCTCACAAAAGCCATTTAAAAACACTCCTTAAAAAATTTTAGCATAGAATTCAACTTACAATCCTAGACCATCTCTGGGCATCTTTTGCAGACTGTCATAAATTATAACTTTTATAATTTCCACATCTTAACAGCTAACATTCAACTTACCTCACCTTCTAGTTTCTCCTCTTTAACCATTCTCTTCCTCATTTTTTCCTCTTTTATTAATACTGTTTTCTTATCAAAATGTATATTCATTATATATTTGTATCAATTCTTGATTGAATTAAAGCCATTATTATTGCTTTGCATTAATTATTTCTGGTTTTGCATTTTAATATGTTCTAATATTTTTCTTTTTAGTCATTTTTTTGTTTGTATGTTTCCTTCCTCATGTCTATTGTTTTCTCTTTTTCTATATTACATTCTTTCCTTCATTAAAGTGCTACACAGGTGCCTACACCATAAATCATGCATTTCCATGCATGACTTATGTTATGTTGTAAGCATTTGATTCATTGATGATTTAGAAAATCGTTGCTGAGTACACACATGTAATTAGTTTGAAAATCTTGAGGGTATTGAATCCGAAAGTGTTAAATTATACTGTATTAATTATATAATTAAATTCAGATTATTCTCACAATAAAAGGTTTTTTCCTTCTCCTTTTATAAATTGATTTCCATTGTAATACTTAACTTACTTTCAGTTCAAATGATATTTTTGAAAAATTTATATCTATACTAATATTATAAAGAGGTAAAGTTTGTAAGTTTGGATGTAGGAGGTAATCTCCGAAAATACTCATCTGATTTCAAAAATTCTTTCACCAATATTTAGACTGGACTTACAGGGTGGACATAGGCTGTATATTATTCCTTTAAACATTCTTATAAATTAAAAGATATCATCTAGGTAAGCATTATATTTTTGGTGTCAGCAGGTGGTGAGGTGACAAGATGCATACGTGTACGAGATAGGTAACCGCACGGCGCAGTCATGTGGTCAGCGAGATACGAAGTGCATGTGTCTGAACTTGTATATTATATAGATGTCAAAATTCCCCCCTGTGGGAGAGAGGGACAAAATTAAGGCTTACCGTGAAGAACTTGGCTTCTATTATACTATTTTAGATGCAGTTTTTTGCATTTTTGATTGCGTTTTAATAGGGTACGTGAAGAGAATGTACATTAAGAAGGGATTTTTCGAAATTCCCTCCCGCGGGGAGTGTTATACATTTATAATAGACACATTTTGAGCCACAGCTAGTATTACAATAAAGTTCTTTTTGATACTGATTTTTATATACTGTATTTTCTGTTAGTGAACAGATGCATTGAAGGCTTGTAATACTTATCTGATATTTCACTAGTTAAAATTAATTAATCTGTATATAATCAGTTTACTGTAGTATTATCTTTTTAATGTTACTTCCAATATGTTCTTTTTTTATAATAATGATATTTTTCACATTAATTAAAAATTAATTTCAAGCTTTAAAAAAAGCAGCAGATCTCAATGATCCATCACAGAGTTATTGAGCAAGAAAGCAGAAAGAAAAAAAATTAATGTATGTCATGTTGTAATAAAACATCTTATTTATGCTGTTGCCATATAAAAGAAAAAGAACCTGTAGTCAATTCTTACAGATAATTCATATCATTTAGTAGAGCTGCACAAGTCTTACAACATTTACACTTTTGTCAGAATCAATGAATAAAATTTGGTACTATTCTATGAGAAAATCTCAACTGCTATAAAATCAATGACTTTTTTTACATAAGCAAGAAATGAGAAAATTATCATCCACGGCATTAAACAACGTACAAGTATCGCTATAAACTACTAGATCTTTCGCCGAAACTATTTTCGTCTTCTTCAGGCAGATGAAAACGGTTAATATCCTTTTATTGAATAACAATTTCGAACCACTCTAATGGCAAAACAGCTTTGGAATATAACTAAAAATGGAACTAAATACATAGAACTTGAATAATATGCACGTGGTGCCAATGTGCATGTGCAAAAAATTTTTTTTTACATGAATGTGGAGCTAGCAACGATATCTTAATTTGTTATATAAATTGACCCACAAAGAAGGCACATCCAGCGTGGGGGTGTTGCATGGATTTAGCACGTTGGTAAGGAGCGTCTCCCATAAATACATGAGGCTCCTGTTACCACACCGCTTGAGCATCACCACTTGGTCCCACAATGGGTGTATTGGTGTTGTAACATCATTCTTGCTAGCTCGGTGTTACACTTGCCTGCCCTGATAGACTGCTGGTGTTCAGAAATACGGCAAGACAACATTCTGGATGTCGCTCCGACATACTGGGTATGAGTACCAGACATTGTACATTCCAAAGGGATAGAATAAACTCCAGACCTCTCTAGCATGGAAAAAGCATCCCTGTCATAGCATAATACCCTTCTAAGATTTGGTCGTGGAGAAACTGGCAGAAAGAGCGCATGTTGCCTAAAAACACGGCAAATGCGAACAGTAATATGGCCACAGAATGGTAAAGCAGGATGGACTATCGTATATTCTTTTGAGACCTGTAAAGTCGTAGCAGGAAAAAGAGATCTTTTAACCTTTCTTAGGATGTACAGTACATATACTTAGACCTAGCATAGCCTGCCCACTTACCGCTGAGCAAATAGCTTTAAGCTCGATATTGACAACAGCTTGATTGGAGGACAACAGAATAGCCCTTTAGAGGGGCAATAGCTGTGTTGATGTAATGCTGTGGCTAGTATGCAGTGGCAGGGATTAAAGAGGGTATGCTGTTGAACTTATGAAACGCGGAGAACAATATAGTACCCTGGGTGACCTTTAGATCTAAAAACACAATTTCTCCCTTCTTTTCCTTTTCCCAGGTAAAATTGATGGTAGAATAAACCTCCGTAAGATAACTTTTGAGGACATGATAATCCTCCTCCATGTCTTGCCAAGCCACATTTCTTGCTTATCTATTGATTGGCGTGAGGTCCAATATCTTTCACTTTTGACTTTTTTTACTCTTTTTCAAGCTCTAAAATATTGTTAATTTACAAATTATCTTTCATCATTAAACATGTTAAAAAATCAATGAATTCAGTTTTTGAAGCTTGTTTATGCACATTTGGGGGCCATTATATACTTTGACATTATTAAATCAGAACTGACTTATGCAGAAAATGATAGTTAAATCTTTTCAAATTTTTATTATTCCTTCGAAAGATATGACAGTGATGGTAAACCTGTGACTCACAAGTTATGCAGTGATTTCAAGGTAGTCACATTGAAAGTTTAGATAGTATTAGTTTTTACTAGCTGGGGTACCCAGCTTCACTCAGGGAGTTGATATGAGATTGTGTGGTAGTTGGAATAAAAGGATAAACTTTAAAATATAAAAGGTAAAAAATTTATTGAAAACATATTCTAACTATTTACAATACTTGTTTATAAACAACATTTTGCTCAAAAACTTTTACAAATAGGCAAAGGCACATATCCCACTGACCAGATGACCGGCCTCATTGAACTCAACACTGATTTTTGCCAGGAGCGCCGCTAGCTGTTTGAACACCCGTGTGCAATACCGATTATGCTGCCCTCTGTTTAACTATGACTACCTACGCTGAGCTTGCCAGAAAGGCTCTTTAATGTTGTCTCATAAGGGTGTGAAAAAAGAAAAGAAATATTTTACAAAGAAAAACTATCGTCTGATGTCACTGAAAAAATATCGAGAGTAAGCTGTCGCTTCAATTTATAAAACTTGTAAGCATAGGCATGTTTAAATCATGATAATTTTTAAAAAATTCTACAAAACTTGTGTATTTTTTATATCCCTTTTTTATGTTTTAGTTGGCTGAAGAGGGGCTTAAGAGCCCGAAACCTGTAATTTTTTCACACATATCAACTAAATAAAGATGAGAAAACCAGCCAAGTGTCTTAATTTATAGCACTTCATTGTGTTAGGAGCAGAAAAGAAAAACTATTTATTTTTATTACTAAATTATTTCTGTTTACTTAGGTGTAAAACCATATAAATATTTATCTACAGAAATTGAACTCTTCTTGCCTTTATGTTTGCGAAATCTGCTATCAATTTTCTTGTATCCAAGCTGTCTAAGATTTCATGTTCAATTGAAACTATATCTAAATTACTTAATCTTTGCTGGTGCATTGTTGATCTTAAATAGTTTTTTTTTATAATTTTTAACTTTGAAAAGGGCCTTTCACCAAATGCAACTGAAACCAGCAATGTAAGCAATATTCTTAGTGCTATTGCTGTGTTTGGAGATGTTGAAATTAAGTCATTAGTAAAAAAATATTGTAATTTCCGCCCCCTGGACATGCCGCCTGCGTGCAGTACATGCTTTGCATGCCCACTTACGGCAGGCCTGATTTTTGCAACATAGTCACTACTGAAAACGAACTCATCGACCAAATTTATCCAAACATTGTTCACAACTATACCAATCCGGAGTGGCCATTTCAAAGGGCAATCTTGGCAACTAAAAATAATATTGTCAATGATATCAACTTTAATATTCAAAAGAAAATTCTTGGTAATATTCAAAAGAAAATTCTTGGTAATATTCAAAAGAAAATTCAGAATTGGCAAGAGCTCCTCCTCTTTTAAGTTTGGGCATTGTATAATATATAAATCAAATCAACTTTTTATTAAGAAATACACTAAGTACACTTTACACAGTTTTTACACTTTATTTTCGATTTATATTCAGTCACTGTATCACTTTGACTACTCACACTTCACTGTTTGTTTTTATTCACTCACTGCACTACTTTGGAATTTTCACTTCTTTTTCAGTTCTTCCCTTCATCACTGATAAGAAACTGATGTTCGAACCCACGATGGATTTACTTGGATTGGACGACTTGCTTTATATACCCCCACCAATGGGTAGTCCCACCCATACAAAAAAGGCTTTGAATGGTTTACAATGTTCCAGAACATTCCACAACATTTGAGAGTGTTCTGGAACAACGGCGGGCAACCCCCGCCCGCAGGCCAGCTACGGCCCGCGAAAAGTTTCTATCCGGCCCGCGAGATGTTTAGAAGAAATTATAAATAAATATTTTTCGATGTAATTCGTCTAGTTTAAATTGAATATTATTTTCTGAAGTGTTGTGGCAGCAATGACAGGAAAAAATAAGGGAGTCATTTCCTTATTCAAACAAAAAATGGGAAAACAGAATTTTTCTAAATTATTTATATCTCATCGCGTCATCCATCAAGAAAATCTATGTGCAAAAGCTATGCAATTAGAAAATGTAATGTCTGTCATATCCAACTACATAGTGCTGTTTTTATTGTGTTTAAAGTCACTTAGATTTTACAAATAGGTGAGCCGTTCACAGCCCGGCACACGCATTTGTAAAATCTAAGTGACTCATACAACATGGAATTCATATAAAACGGAATAATCAACAGGGTTATAGGGGGGTCGACTGTAGTAATTAATTTCTTTTTATTTATTTATTTATTTATTTCATATTTGCAGATTTACAGGTCACAAGGTGTCAATTAACTACTATGGCCTGCGGAAAAAACGTAAAATTTATTCTGGCCCATGTTATAAAAAAGGTTGCCCACCCTCGTTCTGGAATGTTCCACAATGATCTGGGATGTTTCAGGATGTTCCAGAACATCCTGGAACATTCTGGAATATTGTGGAATGCTCTCGAATACTCTCAAATGTTCTGGACTGTTCTAGAAATTTCTAGAGGGCGAAACTTCCAGCCTTATATCTTCAACAGCACGACCTTCAGGTAAAAATGGGAACCTTCTTCATGGATGGGAGATAGAGGCCTACCACACCATATAATTCCCTTGATCATACCAGGACTCGTTTTTGAGTTTTAGCTGCATGACGTTGTACACTTATCTTTATAATATATATTGATTTTTTTAAAAAATTTGAAAAATTTTAAAACTTTGTATATATAATGTGAAAGCAGCATCCTAAAACTTCCATGAAAAATCTTAAAGACCACTAATCATGATCAGAAAAATTATCTTTAAATAAACAACAGCAATTTTCCAAATAAATTAATTAATTAATGTATTTTTTCACTTTACTTAAAGTTTATTTAACTTTTTAATATACAGTATATCAGAAAAATAACAATAAAGTAAAATTTGCAAGCATTTTTTGTTAATTTTTTATTTACTCAAATTAAATATTTGACCCATATTTTGAAGTTACTAAAATTCAAATTCAATTTTGACTCATCTTTAGAAAAATGTTTGCCGTTGCTGGTATAGGATAAGTAAGTTTCATATTGGATGTGCTTTTATATACTTTACACCAAATACTCAATTATTATGACTTTTGATTGAAGTTACAAAATATAGTAGTATTAGTTTGTTAGTATATGAAAATGTTATTTTATTTTTTGTTTATATTGAAACTCAAGTTATAATGTTAAAATTTATATTAATAGGTTGTTTATGAAGATTTGGAAATTGTAAATGTTACAACACCATATGTTCCAGGATTTTTGGCATTTCGTGAGGTATCTTTCTTACAAAATGCTGTAGAGAAAATTAAATCATCTCATCCTGAATATGTACCTCAGGTAATTATATTAAAAGCTCAAAAAATAATCCTTAAAGCTTAACACAATAATAATTTAGAAATAACTGTTTATTCAGGAAGCAAAAGTATTTTATTTTTGAAATGTTTTCAACTCTGCTTGAGTCAGTTTGAGTCACAAATTATTTGTAAATTTTTATAACATTAAACAGAACAGGATTTTGGCATTTCATGAGGTGTCTTTATTAATTATGAAATGATTCAGTCTCGTGAATGCTTATACTGAAATGACATTATCATTATAAATAAAAAATAATTATAAATTATATGATTTCATAAATTAAATATTATTACTAATAAAATAAATATTAAATAATAATCATAAAATAATCATTAATAAGTAATTAAACTAATTATTTTATATGAGAAATTAAAAATTACATTATATATATATATTTTTTTATTTTTCAAGCATATTTGTTTATACATAAAGATATAATAATAATAGTAAAAATTTGAAATTGCCTTAGCTTTTTAATTAAATTTTAAATATTGAAACAAAAAATAGTAATAGAAATCATCTTTTTATTTATTATTTGTATTGAATGAAAAGAACATATTTCTTATTAAATTATGCAGATTATTTTAATTTAATTTATATTACAATATAAATGAAATTGAAATAATTTGAAGGAAGATGTTTGGCTCATATGTTCAAATATATAAATTTTTATCCTTTAGTATTTATATAAATTTCTGTTTTCTAAACCAAGAATAGAAATTTATATGAATACTAGCCAAAGCATCATGCATTGACAGGAAATACAATGGAGATTCTGTAATTGGATAAAATTTGAATACTGGTTTAATTTGGTTTTATTCAATGTTCTATTTAATGTTATAAAAATTTACAAATAATTTGTGACTGAAACTGACTCAAGTAGATTAAAAACATTTCCAAAATAAAATACTTTTGCTTCCTGAATAAACAGTTATTTATAAATTATTATTGTGCTACATTTGAAAGACTTTATTGATTTACTGGATTATTTTTTGGGCTTTTAATATAGATTCCATATAAAGTTTTGGTTAATGTTACCTATGGTTCCAAAATGGCCGCACTTCCAACTGTTTGTGGTCCAGACGGACTCCTCTCGGAGGGGAGTCGCCAGCAGGCCACCAAGTGCCAAACGTCACTAGTTATTGATTCACAGTAGTCCTTGAACAAAATAAATAAAGAAAAAAAGGAAACATCTAATAAAAATGTAGCTAATCTATCGGAAACGAAATGAACCTAACCAAAGCGGCTTCATTTTGGAACCATAGGTAACATTAACCAAAGTTTCTAATATCAGAAATAAGGATTTTTAAATTATGAAATATATAATTCACAAAATCCAGAACCCAGAACCATTTGTTAAGATTTTGAGACTAGAGAGATAGCAATCCTAGGCTAAGTGGATGCTACCATTGCCTAGCAATGGTAGCATCCAATTGTATTGCAGCACCAATTGTATTGGAAATAGATTAAAATTCAGTTTGATGATTACTGAATGTGCATTGTTGTTGCACCATCATAAAGTTGAAATGTCATAAGTCAAACCACCACAAATTGAGCAGCATCTGCACATGTATTGAAAGATGGTAAAAACTGAAAAGACATTATTAGATTATTAACATGTTCTCAGTCAGCTATTTTCAAAATCTGGAATAGAATGTAAATAAAAATAATGGAAACAATTAGGATAAAATAGCTCCACAAAAATTGTTGATACAACAAAATAAATTTGATATAGATAAGTCTGTAAAATACAGTTTAGTAGCAGTTGACTTATCAAAATTCTATAGAGATTAAATTTAAACATACTTATAATTTTGGATATAAGCTTAAATAAATAATTTATAATAATTAACAAAATATTTTCCCAATAGTTCTTCCTACCAAGAGCTCTGAACATGTACTGTACTTTTTAATTAAGATCACCCTGTATATAATGGATTGATTCTTTTATATAAATTTTAAAATTTATACTTAATTTATAATAGGTAGTATTGGTTGATGGAAATGGAATATTACACCCAAATGGTAAGTCTTTATAAAATATGTTAAATATAAAATGAATTTAATATAATTCATATTTAAAATTTAAGAATGATAAAACAATTTTCAAATTAATGATAACAAATACCAATTTTATTTGAATAATAATTGCTTTCAAATAGTAACTGTGTGTACTATTTGAAGATTTCTGAAAACTTAGGGAAACGATGTTAAAGTAATAAATATTATAAACTCTCTGGTAGGTAGGTATCCTATTTATTTAACAAATATACTTTAATTGAAAATGAAATATGTAAAATGAATATACAGTAGGTATATTTTTTAAAATCCAATAACAAAGCTGGAACAGATAATTTCTAAAATTAAAACCATTCACTTTTCTAGCAAATTTGAAATTCCAATTTCAAATTTCAGAATTTTTAAAATTATATTCTTATAATTGGTACAAGGGCAGTTTTTTTTTCATGCTCCGATGGTCCATAAAACAAAGACAAATAACAAAATGAATTTATTACCAAAAGTTAGATATAAACATGGTTACTTTTCGACATAATTACTGTGAGTGAAGATTGAGGAATTTGTCATATCTGTGGACGAGCTTTTCAATCACCTTGTCATAGAATGTTGCTGCCAGTGAATTGAGATGGCCTTAACAATGTTGTTTTTTCTGTTCAGGAAAGAGGTGGAAGTCTTCATACATTAAAAAGTTCCAAGCTGGGTGGAAGTCTTCACCACCTTTAAACATCCAGCGTATAGCCCCAATTTAGCGCCGAGTGACTTCCACCTTTTTCTTGAACAGAAAAAGTGGCTAAGAGGGCAGATGTTCAAGACTAATGATGATCTTCAAAACAACATTAGGGCCCATCTCAAGTCATTGGTGGCAACATTCTATGAAGAGGGGATGGAAAAGCTTGTCCACAGATATGACAAATGCCTCAATCTTCACGGTGATTATGTTGAAAAGTAACCATGTTTGTGCCTAACTTTTGGTAATAAATTCATTTTGTTATTTACACTTGTTTTCTTTTTTTGTGGACTATTGGAGGTTGAAAAAAAACAGCCTATGTATTTTGAAAGTAACACTCATAATTAAGAAAGATATCAATTATCTTTTCAAGTGTAATTTACTTTAAAAGTCAATTAAATGCTTTATTAATAAGAAACATTAAACAGATATATAAAGGAAGTAACCATTCTTGAATGGTAACTGCAAAGAAAATAGTAGCTGTGGCTTTTATTTAGTATTGTTATTTTTAATAAGATTTTGTGACTGTTGTTTTCTATATTTCATAACATTTAGGCTAATGTCAGATGAACATGTCCGTCATTTTTAATGGATGTCACAATAGTGCAAAAATATATGGGAGCGGTCAGATGTGGATGTGAAAATGATGCTGGTGCTGCATGGATGACCTGCTGGATTGTCCACAATACTCTCATGATAGAGCATGACTGGCGTGCATTGGGAGATACACTCAATAACTACATTGATAAGATGAGCACAAAAAATGATGGCCATTGTAACATTGTTTGGAGGAAATTCTGGGTCAGTATTAGTATTCTTCTTGCCAAAGGGTGTGCAGTACCCATATATTTTAAAAAATGAACATTGGTATAAATAAAACAATATGAGTTAATGAGTGGCCAAAATTGTGGGACACTTTATCTGAACTTTCATAAGGATAGAAATAAGAAAAAGGAGGCTGGTTACAATCAACAGATGTGCCCAATATTGTGTATGTCCTTTTTGTTTTTAAATACTTCTGTACGTAATCAAAAAACATCACCACAATCTATGAAATCCGTGTTGACATATATATGTCTGAATATGTCCGTGATTACTAATGTATGCTGTGGAATGTAGCACTCATCTGACCACCAATTTAATGAATGTGAATTTACAAGTCTGTGAATTGAAAAAAAAGCATCTGTCCACTTTGACTCGAATCTAACATTTGCCTTAGAGTATAAAAATGTAATTTATATAATAGAAACAATTATCACAAAAAAGGATATATAATTTCATAAATCTTTATTTTAAAATAGATTTTATTACATTTTAAATGCATAATCTGTTTAATCTTAATAAACAAATGAAAAACAGTATTAATAATCAAATGGAATACAAATAGTTCAATTTAGAAATTTCATGAAAAATTTTATTTTACTTTGTTATTTCAAAGCATATTTTCATGAAACAAATAGACAATAGTAACTTGTATGATATGTTAATTGTATTATATTATTGTATTATAATTGTATTAATAGTTTATTATTAACAGAATCTATATTTTAATTAATTAATTATTGTTTATTGTGTTATTCAGAATGCTCTCACATTTACATATTTCAGTAGCAGTAATATTTTATGAAAAAAATAATTACAGTACACCCAATTCTGTTTTTTCATGCTAGATATGTTTCCAAAAAAACTGTGTAAAAAAATGATACTGTCCATATAGAAAAATGGAAGACTGATTCCAGACATTGAAAACCAGTGAAAATAATATAATAAATCAATTCATATAACAGGATGTAGTTAAAGAAAATATTTCAGTTTTAATTAATATATCAGGGGAGGGACAATATTGTAACACTTATCAGCAAAATTTAATAAATTTATATTTTTTGTACAAATTTCATTTTAATTATTGTATTTTTCACCTTATAAGCTGCACCATTGTATTGGATGCATCACATTTTTCATGTTGATTTTTTTAGGGAAAAAATATCCTTCACAGTGTACAATGCATTTGGCTTATAGGATGCATCTTAATTTTCAGATAAATTTTAGACAAAAAAATTTGGTATTTTCAACTTTTTCAATTAAAGACCAAAATACCTCTAGATTTTAACACCAAATAACATACAAAAACTATTATGTATTAAAAGGCTTGAATTAGATTGGATTGATGGAATAAAAAATACATGGATGATCTACCAAGTGGGGATGCCTTCTAAAAAGACTTTCTGTGTGGAAAGTGGCTCATATCTAGATGCTAGACATGTAAAGAAAACCTCGAAAACTTCACATGGTCAGCTTGTTGATCAGGTGTGAACCTACTGTTTACTGGTGTTATTTGCTAGGCCAATGGTGTGTCTCACATTGAAAAAAATTAGAAGAAATGTAATCATTCATACAAATAAATCATCAAACTTGAAGTTTGATGATTTATTTGTATTAAATTTATTCTGACTGCTTCAATTATGGGATAAAGTCAGAATGAAAGACTGATTTATTGCTACACACATCCAAATAAGTCAAAAACAGCCAAATCTTAAAATTTATTCAAGCATGTGTAGCAAGCAGCCTTAAATGCAAATTCTAAGAATTTTTCTGTTAAAAAAGTAGCAGTTTTCTAGAAAAAGGAAATAAATATTTTTTCATATTGATAGAATTAAAATTTTAAGTATCTTCTTTAATAAGAAGAGAATTAAAATTTTACCAGACTAGACCATGTTAAATCAAAATCACGTAAAAAAAAATTTGTGTAAAACCAGACTTGGTTGTATAACCAAGACCATTGAATAAATTATTCAATTGAATTTGTTATAAATGTTAGTACTTCCAAGTTGCAGTTTGATTTGCTGTCTTGGAAGTTTCAATATATTTAATTTGCATCTAAAAATGAATAATTCAAAACATNGTTTGGCTCATATGTTCAAATATATAAATTTTTATCCTTTAGTATTTATATAAATTTCTGTTTTCTAAACCAAGAATAGAAATTTATATGAATACTAGCCAAAGCATCATGCATTGACAGGAAATACAATGGAGATTCTGTAATTGGATAAAATTTGAATACTGGTTTAATTTGGTTTTATTCAATGTTCTATTTAATGTTATAAAAATTTACAAATAATTTGTGACTGAAACTGACTCAAGTAGATTAAAAACATTTCCAAAATAAAATACTTTTGCTTCCTGAATAAACAGTTATTTATAAATTATTATTGTGCTACATTTGAAAGACTTTATTGATTTACTGGATTATTTTTTGGGCTTTTAATATAGATTCCATATAAAGTTTTGGTTAATGTTACCTATGGTTCCAAAATGGCCGCACTTCCAACTGTTTGTGGTCCAGACGGACTCCTCTCGGAGGGGAGTCGCCAGCAGGCCACCAAGTGCCAAACGTCACTAGTTATTGATTCACAGTAGTCCTTGAACAAAATAAATAAAGAAAAAAAGGAAACATCTAATAAAAATGTAGCTAATCTATCGGAAACGAAATGAACCTAACCAAAGCGGCTTCATTTTGGAACCATAGGTAACATTAACCAAAGTTTCTAATATCAGAAATAAGGATTTTTAAATTATGAAATATATAATTCACAAAATCCAGAACCCAGAACCATTTGTTAAGATTTTGAGACTAGAGAGATAGCAATCCTAGGCTAAGTGGATGCTACCATTGCCTAGCAATGGTAGCATCCAATTGTATTGCAGCACCAATTGTATTGGAAATAGATTAAAATTCAGTTTGATGATTACTGAATGTGCATTGTTGTTGCACCATCATAAAGTTGAAATGTCATAAGTCAAACCACCACAAATTGAGCAGCATCTGCACATGTATTGAAAGATGGTAAAAACTGAAAAGACATTATTAGATTATTAACATGTTCTCAGTCAGCTATTTTCAAAATCTGGAATAGAATGTAAATAAAAATAATGGAAACAATTAGGATAAAATAGCTCCACAAAAATTGTTGATACAACAAAATAAATTTGATATAGATAAGTCTGTAAAATACAGTTTAGTAGCAGTTGACTTATCAAAATTCTATAGAGATTAAATTTAAACATACTTATAATTTTGGATATAAGCTTAAATAAATAATTTATAATAATTAACAAAATATTTTCCCAATAGTTCTTCCTACCAAGAGCTCTGAACATGTACTGTACTTTTTAATTAAGATCACCCTGTATATAATGGATTGATTCTTTTATATAAATTTTAAAATTTATACTTAATTTATAATAGGTAGTATTGGTTGATGGAAATGGAATATTACATTACTTAAAGTTTATTTAACTTTTTAATATACAGTATATCAGAAAAATAACAATAAAGTAAAATTTGCAAGCATTTTTTGTTAATTTTTTATTTACTCAAATTAAATATTTGACCCATATTTTGAAGTTACTAAAATTCAAATTCAATTTTGACTCATCTNTTAAAATTTAAGAATGATAAAACAATTTTCAAATTAATGATAACAAATACCAATTTTATTTGAATAATAATTGCTTTCAAATAGTAACTGTGTGTACTATTTGAAGATTTCTGAAAACTTAGGGAAACGATGTTAAAGTAATAAATATTATAAACTCTCTGGTAGGTAGGTATCCTATTTATTTAACAAATATACTTTAATTGAAAATGAAATATGTAAAATGAATATACAGTAGGTATATTTTTTAAAATCCAATAACAAAGCTGGAACAGATAATTTCTAAAATTAAAACCATTCACTTTTCTAGCAAATTTGAAATTCCAATTTCAAATTTCAGAATTTTTAAAATTATATTCTTATAATTGGTACAAGGGCAGTTTTTTTTTCATGCTCCGATGGTCCATAAAACAAAGACAAATAACAAAATGAATTTATTACCAAAAGTTAGATATAAACATGGTTACTTTTCGACATAATTACTGTGAGTGAAGATTGAGGAATTTGTCATATCTGTGGACGAGCTTTTCAATCACCTTGTCATAGAATGTTGCTGCCAGTGAATTGAGATGGCCTTAACAATGTTGTTTTTTCTGTTCAGGAAAGAGGTGGAAGTCTTCATACATTAAAAAGTTCCAAGCTGGGTGGAAGTCTTCACCACCTTTAAACATCCAGCGTATAGCCCCAATTTAGCGCCGAGTGACTTCCACCTTTTTCTTGAACAGAAAAAGTGGCTAAGAGGGCAGATGTTCAAGACTAATGATGATCTTCAAAACAACATTAGGGCCCATCTCAAGTCATTGGTGGCAACATTCTATGAAGAGGGGATGGAAAAGCTTGTCCACAGATATGACAAATGCCTCAATCTTCACGGTGATTATGTTGAAAAGTAACCATGTTTGTGCCTAACTTTCGGTAATAAATTCATTTTGTTATTTACACTTGTTTTCTTTTTTTGTGGACTATTGGAGGTTGAAAAAAAACAGCCTATGTATTTTGAAAGTAACACTCATAATTAAGAAAGATATCAATTATCTTTTCAAGTGTAATTTACTTTAAAAGTCAATTAAATGCTTTATTAATAAGAAACATTAAACAGATATATAAAGGAAGTAACCATTCTTGAATGGTAACTGCAAAGAAAATAGTAGCTGTGGCTTTTATTTAGTATTGTTATTTTTAATAAGATTTTGTGACTGTTGTTTTCTATATTTCATAACATTTAGGCTAATGTCAGATGAACATGTCCGTCATTTTTAATGGATGTCACAATAGTGCAAAAATATATGGGAGCGGTCAGATGTGGATGTGAAAATGATGCTGGTGCTGCATGGATGACCTGCTGGATTGTCCACAATACTCTCATGATAGAGCATGACTGGCGTGCATTGGGAGATACACTCAATAACTACATTGATAAGATGAGCACAAAAAATGATGGCCATTGTAACATTGTTTGGAGGAAATTCTGGGTCAGTATTAGTATTCTTCTTGCCAAAGGGTGTGCAGTACCCATATATTTTAAAAAATGAACATTGGTATAAATAAAACAATATGAGTTAATGAGTGGCCAAAATTGTGGGACACTTTATCTGAACTTTCATAAGGATAGAAATAAGAAAAAGGAGGCTGGTTACAATCAACAGATGTGCCCAATATTGTGTATGTCCTTTTTGTTTTTAAATACTTCTGTACGTAATCAAAAAACATCACCACAATCTATGAAATCCGTGTTGACATATATATGTCTGAATATGTCCGTGATTACTAATGTATGCTGTGGAATGTAGCACTCATCTGACCACCAATTTAATGAATGTGAATTTACAAGTCTGTGAATTGAAAAAAAAGCATCTGTCCACTTTGACTCGAATCTAACATTTGCCTTAGAGTATAAAAATGTAATTTATATAATAGAAACAATTATCACAAAAAAGGATATATAATTTCATAAATCTTTATTTTAAAATAGATTTTATTACATTTTAAATGCATAATCTGTTTAATCTTAATAAACAAATGAAAAACAGTATTAATAATCAAATGGAATACAAATAGTTCAATTTAGAAATTTCATGAAAAATTTTATTTTACTTTGTTATTTCAAAGCATATTTTCATGAAACAAATAGACAATAGTAACTTGTATGATATGTTAATTGTATTATATTATTGTATTATAATTGTATTAATAGTTTATTATTAACAGAATCTATATTTTAATTAATTAATTATTGTTTATTGTGTTATTCAGAATGCTCTCACATTTACATATTTCAGTAGCAGTAATATTTTATGAAAAAAATAATTACAGTACACCCAATTCTGTTTTTTCATGCTAGATATGTTTCCAAAAAAACTGTGTAAAAAAATGATACTGTCCATATAGAAAAATGGAAGACTGATTCCAGACATTGAAAACCAGTGAAAATAATATAATAAATCAATTCATATAACAGGATGTAGTTAAAGAAAATATTTCAGTTTTAATTAATATATCAGGGGAGGGACAATATTGTAACACTTATCAGCAAAATTTAATAAATTTATATTTTTTGTACAAATTTCATTTTAATTATTGTATTTTTCACCTTATAAGCTGCACCATTGTATTGGATGCATCACATTTTTCATGTTGATTTTTTTAGGGAAAAAATATCCTTCACAGTGTACAATGCATTTGGCTTATAGGATGCATCTTAATTTTCAGATAAATTTTAGACAAAAAAATTTGGTATTTTCAACTTTTTCAATTAAAGACCAAAATACCTCTAGATTTTAACACCAAATAACATACAAAAACTATTATGTATTAAAAGGCTTGAATTAGATTGGATTGATGGAATAAAAAATACATGGATGATCTACCAAGTGGGGATGCCTTCTAAAAAGACTTTCTGTGTGGAAAGTGGCTCATATCTAGATGCTAGACATGTAAAGAAAACCTCGAAAACTTCACATGGTCAGCTTGTTGATCAGGTGTGAACCTACTGTTTACTGGTGTTATTTGCTAGGCCAATGGTGTGTCTCACATTGAAAAAAATTAGAAGAAATGTAATCATTCATACAAATAAATCATCAAACTTGAAGTTTGATGATTTATTTGTATTAAATTTATTCTGACTGCTTCAATTATGGGATAAAGTCAGAATGAAAGACTGATTTATTGCTACACACATCCAAATAAGTCAAAAACAGCCAAATCTTAAAATTTATTCAAGCATGTGTAGCAAGCAGCCTTAAATGCAAATTCTAAGAATTTTTCTGTTAAAAAAGTAGCAGTTTTCTAGAAAAAGGAAATAAATATTTTTTCATATTGATAGAATTAAAATTTTAAGTATCTTCTTTAATAAGAAGAGAATTAAAATTTTACCAGACTAGACCATGTTAAATCAAAATCACGTAAAAAAAAATTTGTGTAAAACCAGACTTGGTTGTATATTGAATAAATTATTCAGTTGAATTTGTTATAAATGTTAGTACTTCCAAGTTGCAGTTTGATTTGCTGTCTTGGAAGTTTCAATATATTTAATTTGCATCTAAAAATGAATAATTCAAAACATGGAAAATGAAAAACTATTTTTGTTGTTTTATTAAATATATTCTGATACTAATTCTTATAATTACTGTAAGGTAATACACCCAAACATTTTAAGTATATTTATAATGATGATGATAATAGTTTTTATACAAATATAATATTTTTTTCTAGGATTTGGTGCTGCATGCCATTTAGGAGTTTTACTTGATATCCCATGCATTGGAGTTGCAAAGAATCTTTTTTTCTTAGATAATATAGTACGAGATGAAGATTATCATAATAAGGTTGGTTGTTAATATTTGTTATCATCTTATGAAAAAACTTTTAAATAAATTGATTTCATTTTAATATTTTTATTATAAAGCAATATTTTCTTAGAGAGGGAAAACAGATATTTTCTTAATTAAAATATAATTTTAAAAAAAATTCTCAAGATTTTTATAATAGTAGATTATATTTAATTTTTACTCATGGTTTTGATCAGTATGAGTAACTGTAATCAGTATAATTGTAACTAAATAGAATACAATAGTAGTATGAATTGAATTACTAATTTCTACTCAAACTGGAATAATTAATTGACTTACAAACCTTCTCCAACTGTATAATGTTTCTTATACTCCAAAATTCTAGTCTAAGCAAATGTTTTTGGCTCTGTTTAGGGCCCACTTCAGGCTTATATCTATAGAAAAAAGAAAAACAACTAAAGCAAGCTGAGAATTCTATGTTCTATTTCCACAATGTTTTTAAATATTTTTTTTTTGGCATCACTTCTGAAAAATTGAGTAATGAACAGAGCCAAAAACATTTACTTATAAATTTAATTATTAAAAACCAATGGGATCGGTATAAATGTTAACACACTAAAAATAAAAAATTTTTAGTTAAAAAACAAGTAAAATTATACTCTTTCTATTTCCGACTTCGAGGTTTCTACGAGCCAAAAAACGACAAACAAATGGCAAGGAACAATCATTATTTTATTAATACGATTCAAATGCATTTCGCCATCAGGCCTCCTCAGTGGATACATCAAGATATCAATTGCTGGTTATGCTTTATACACAACAGTCTTTCCCAGCATGCATCAACAATCATTCCAGCATTCAAATTAAGTACATTTGCATGTTCGGCGATACATGTCCAAGTATGCTATGTCATTTGTTGTGTGCCAGGAAACAGTATAAGAAATGGTCATTGTAAAGACAGCAGTTTATGTAGAGAAACAATAGAAAACTCAGCTGTTTGTCAATTAATAAATAAAATATACATAAATGTTCAAAAAGATATGATTTATTTTTATTATTAGGTATTTTAACAAATTTGAAATTATCAATTTCTTTTTTTTTTATAATACCATAGTGTCTCAATTAATTGAGATCATTTAACTGAAGTTCTGTAATATCCAATGTAAACTATGGAAGAATAATTGCCAACATGATATAGTATAGCTTGTATTCACAAATCTTAGCTTGGTGATGTGTAGTACTCAAGGACTTTATTAGTTTTAAAAAGAATTTACTCTGGTGAATTTTCATGCTAATGCAAATTTTAAAAAAAGATTAAAGAAATTTTAACTGTAATCATAGATTTGCATTTATTTTAATAAATATACAGTAGAACCTCTATTATCCGGATTTTCGATTATCCAGATTGTTTACAATAAACAAAAATTTTACGAATTTGCTAATTTGCACTTGGCGAATTACAACACTGTTTATGTACGTGATGGAATGCATAACTTTTTTTGTTTCAACAACGTCTCACCCGGCACAGTGGTCGTAAACTCTTAAATATATTTTACGTAGTAATAAAAATATAACTTGACATACGTATTTATAAATAATTTATATTCAAATTACATCATTTCTATGACCAAGGGCGGCGTAAGGCATGGGCAATGTGGGCCACCGCCTATGTCTCGCGGTCCGAAGGGCCTCGCACCTCGAAGGTTTATGCATTACTTAAAAGCCGCGAACGTGACGAAAAAATTTTACTCGTCATAAAACGATAAATAGTTTGTCAAATTTTTATTCATAAAAATGCAGTTTCAACTGCTTTTTATTTTATAAAATCCGTCTTCTTGCGCCACCAGAGGGCCTTTTAAACAATAGGTAGTCTGTTAGCGTTGGTCAGTAGTAGTCCAAATTCAATACGAACGTTTGTTTCTTGAAAATTTGATCACGATTTAAATACAGTATTTACTTTTAATATTACCGATATGTCATCGAAAAGAAAACGTGTTGTATTATCATTAAAAGACAAATTAAAGTATTTGTTTCGATTATCCGGATTTTTCCTTATCCGGACTACCTTCATCCCCAATTAGTCCGGATAATCGAGGTTCTACTGTAGTTGTAAATTAAATTTAAAATTCAATAAGAAGGTATAATCAAAAAATAGAGTACGTGATAACATATTTTAAAGTACAGTGGGTGATTGGTTAACAAACATATTCTGTTCCAAGACTTTGTTCACTATCCGAAATGTTCGTTAACCGATTATCGATTTATCACAGGTTTTTATGGGAATTTGATTAATTTGTTCTGGAGACCCCCAAAAATAAAAAATATATACTTTCTTACTACATTTATTTATATGTAATAATAAAAATACATATATACACAGTCTTGCATTTTTATTAGTCATGTTTTTTCCATTAGTAGGGGTTAAAAAATCTATCTAATGTCGATTGCTTTTCTCTCTCCAGGATTTTTCAGAAGTAATTAATAGCATTTTAATTGTAGAGATCCCTAAGCCTATTAACCTCAACCTGGTTTGGATGCCATTCTAAGACCATTATTCTGACATCCTCTCACTTCAAAAGATTTTTAATAGCAGATATCGGCATTAAACCTCAGAAGGAAACATATCTCACCGAGTTTCTTGGAGTTCTTCATTCGAGAGTTCTTGGCGTTCTTCTGTCATCAGATCAGTTTCAGGTTCTATTATGAGCTCTTCAGTGTTCTTTATTTCTCAGATGTGATTTTTGTTACATCTTTAGCTGCTTGAGTCTTCTTGAATAATATTGAACTGCAGCCTACTGTACATCTGTTCAAGCCATACTGCCCAGCAACATCAGACATCTGCCTACTCTCACCTTTTGAAAATAAAAACTCATGCAAAACTTAACGAGTGCCCACCTGACAGTCTCGCAAATACTATAAAAAAATTGTTTCTGTTAGAAAAATAAAAGGCTGGAATTACAAGGGAGAGTTTCAAAGTTCAGAGGAATACTATCTGATCAGTATATACTGGGTTGAGTGTCAATGTCAATGTCTCCCACACTCCAAAAAGTTTCGAATTGTTTCCTGAAGACCTGAAGACAAGAAAAGACCAATCAGTATTCATTATTTTACGTTGCTTCTTCTTGTGTTTGTTCTGTGAGGTGTTCATTGTCTGAACATAAAAATCATTCGCAAAAGTGTTTGTTATCCGATCACCCACTGTATTCAAGTCTAGTAATAATTTATGCAGCATTCTGTGTACTATCCAAGTTTTTGATTATCTGAGGAAACCTTGGTCCATATTAAACTTGACTAATTGGAACTTTACTATATAAATATATATATAAATACAGTAGAGCATCGTTTATCTGAAAGCTGGTTATCCGAAAGCATTCCAGTCGGCAAATTTTAATTTTTGCTAGTGCTGTGGCGCTGCAATCTTCGGCTATTTCTCTAGCTACTCAAATATTTTACGTTTTTGATACTAAATTAACTTCTGAAGTATAATTTTTTATTGTTTTTATATTTTTCATAAAATTTATTTTGTTTGTACAAAATAAAAAAATAATTTTTAACGATACAATAGTCTTCGTTAGGCTTAACATCAACGAAAATTCAACGCGAAACGACACGCAACGGAGAGAAATTTCAACATGGGATAAATTAATATATTTTTTCGTACATGATTCGTTATCTGAAAAATAAGTTATCCGAACCACCCCAGATTGATTCGGATAAACGACGCTCTACTATATATATATATTATTTTGAATTTTATACATAAAATGATATAAATTAGTCATTAAAGTATTTTTATTCATTGTCTTTCATAAAAAAATATTAAATTTTTAATAACTTTATTAAAAGTTAATTTTGTAATTTTAGGTTCTTTCTTTAAAAGAAGTTGGTGATTTTTTTCCATTATATGAAAATTCTGGGAGAAAGGTTGGAGTGGTATGTCTTATATTGCATTATTATATATGTGATTGTCAGAGACATATATTTTTCAACAATACTAACAGAATTTAATTTAATTCTCAGAGAGAAAATTTCTCTCTGATTTTTATCACACTAGAGGCTGTCCATAAATGATGCCATATTTCATGAGGAGGGGAAGTAGTTCAATGTGATGAGGGGAGGGAGAATGATTCTTATGATGTCACATTTCATATTTACCATTATTTTAAAAGTAGAAACTGCAAATATGTAAATTCAGACAGTCCTAAAACTTTTAAAAACAACAAAAACAATTTAATTATAAATATTTTCTGTCATTTTTAAAGACCATCCTCAGGTAGAATACAAATTTGAACTTGATGAAAATAGAATATGGCAGATAATTTTCAAACATGGAATGCTAGTTGGTTTAAATTAAAAATCAAAATAATAGAATAAAATAAAATTACGAATAAATACATAGATAAATAATGAAAAAATAAACATAAATAAAATACAATATAAATAAAAAGCCATAATATTTATCTATTATTGTATATATTTAAGGTGAGCATTCCATAGATGTTTGAAGTCACTTCTGGTTGTGCTGTTTGCTGAGAATTACTTTTCTTTAATGAGAAGGAAAGAAATTTAATTAGGTTTCCATTACTGGTTTTTGTAACTTTGAAGAATTAAAAGCTAGTGGCTTTCTTTCTTCAGCAACAGGAACAACTGCTCCTTGTGTGATATGTAGTTTTTTATTAAATTAAAGGAAATGCATTTCGGGTCTTAATGACCCCTCTTCAGTCCTTAGACTACAAAAAAAGAGATGTATGTATTATTCTGTCCAATGTAACTCATATCTAACAGTTTTACAAAATTTTTAAAACAACTTACACAGTTGATTGTTACTTACAATTGACATTAGAGAGTATATTGGGTAATTCCTTTAATAAAAAACTACATAAAAAGCTGCTCCTTGTGAGATATGTTACTGAAGAAAGAAAGCCACTAGAAAGAAAATTTAATTCATGCATTCTTAGCACATTTATTTTTTGTTTTTCAGTTCTTTGTATTTATAAATACAATATGAAGTATTGCTTATGTAATTTTTGTATATGATTTGTGCTAAATGAAAAGGCAAGAAATGACCATCTCAAAAAGTAAAAGCAATCCTGAATGTCAGACTTGCTTTCTCTTCTTGAGATCATCATTTTGGAGAATATTTGGTAAAGTAATAAAATTGGAAGGAAAAATACAATTTTGAATAGAATTTTTTTTATATTACATTTTCACTTTTTACAAATGATGGTTTGCAAGAAAGAATTAATATAAATAGCCAATTATTTAAATACAGTATATTCTATGTAAGTTATATACTGTATATACAGTGGGTGATCAATTAATTATGGAATTTTTTTTGAATGCTCTAGGGTTTTCAGAATGATAGACAAGAAGTGGGATAAGCATATCACCAATAGCATTAGCTCCCAAAAGTAATGTCAATCAGACTTTCATGGGTTTTTGCCCAGAAATATTTTTTCATCTTTTGTAATGTAGGTACAGTTTGGCATGCACTTCCAAAATAAACCAGTTTCATCACAATTGAAAATTTGTTGTGGACAATATCCTTCTTTTTTAATGAATTCTTCAAATTTGAGACAGAACTTCTCAGCCTGTTCTTTATCTCCACTAGCAGACACACAATTACCACATGTTTACAAAGTTTAGAAGGAGATCTGGCATTAAACCATCCAGTGGTAGCCTTGAATTCTATCTCCTCATTTGACAAACTGTCACGAGGTCTCAATCTGGAGTTTGTTCCTTCACTTCAAAAATTTCTCTAGCTCTCTCTTGAATGATAGTCATACTAGTTACATCTCTCTACTTTTAATTTGGATAAAAGAAAGGGAAATGAAATCTCTCCATTCTTTCATGAATGACACATCTTTGTTTTTCAGATGTGATTTTCGTTACTCCTTTAGCTGCTTCAATCTTCTTGATTATATCTTTCTTAGCTAAGATTGTGCCTACTGTAGATCTGTTCAAGCCATACTACCTGACATCATCTGCCCACTCTACCTTGGCTATTAAACTCTCACCTTTAGAAAATAAAAATTTAACGAGTGCCCGACAGTCTCACAAAGACTATAAAAATTATTTGTCAGAAAAATAAACAAAAAGCTGGAACTACAATGGAGAGTTTCAAACTTCAGAGAAATGCTATCCTATCCACATTGGGTTGAGCATCAATGTCAATGTCTCCTGCACTCTGAAAGGTTTTGAATTGTTACCTGGAGACAAGGGAAAACCAATCTGTATTTATTATTTTGTGTTTGTTCTGTGAACATAAAAATCTTTTACAAAAGTGTTTGTTGTCCGATTGTTTGCAGTCTGAACTGTTCATTAACCAATCACTCACCCACTGTATATGTATATAATATATAATGTCAAAAATTTAATATACATTTTTATATAATATACTATTTTATTTAATTAATTTAATTGAACAAAACATGAATATTTTATATTCACAATAAAAAATAATAATAGGTATAAACTTTTCTTTTTTCTAAAAGTTATATCTTTCTTATGGAATATTTATTGGGTTTTGATTCACTTTTTTAACTATCACTTAAAACACTTTTTCTATGTTACTCATTGTAAGAAAAATTCTCATATTGTGTTTCTATACAACACTATAAAATAATTGCTCAACATGTCTGATTTCATCTCAATAAAAAAGTTCCAAGTTAGTCTTATTTTTGATGCTCTAAAACACACAAAAAAAATCATAAAAATCAGAGTACAAGATATTTAAGTGATATCCTTGAGTATTAATGCATATTTTTTCTAATGAATACTAAAACTAGTAAGCTCACTTATGTATTTATAGTGATTTTGTTTATTCCTAAAATGCAATAATAATTATACTACCAAAACATTTTATTCAAACATTAACTTTATTCATGTATTTTTTTAGGCTCTGAAAACAAGCAAACCAAATACAAATCCGGTGATTGTATCTGTAGGTCATCGATGCACAATAGATACTGCAATCTGGACAGTGCTTCGGTGTTCTAAATATAGAATACCAGAACCATTACGTCAAGTAAGCATGTTATTTCTTATGAACATATATAAATTTTGTTAAAAATAACTAATTCACTTAGTTCCTAGAATGAGTATAACATATACTAGTTATCCTATATATTCTAATCATTATTTTATTGATGTACATGATTAATATTTATACTGTCAATAAATGGATCACCGATAATTTAATTCATAAATTTTGGCAACTGTATCTTGAAGATATTACAATAATCAATAAAAACAAAAGTTTTTGAACACTTATAAAATGTGATGTGATAATTAAATCATTTAAAAAAATGTTTTTAGTATAATGATAACAATGATATAATAATAAAAGTATATAATCTCACAACAGATCTGGTTTTGATAGTTGCCTACAAAGAAAAAGGTATTTATCTTCCTGGTTGACAAACTTCCATTATAACTTGACATGCCAACTTGTATTTTTATTGAAATATGTTTTAGTAGTAATTCAAACAAGTTTGTCAACAGGAAAGACTATGAAGAAAAATCTGTTATGAATGTAGACACACACTGTAATTATTATAGAAATGATCATCATATAGAAAAATATGTAATTTTTAAAAAGATATTTGTTCGAAAACTATTTAAGTATTATACTTGAACAATTAAGTATTATAGTATTATCTGGAAATAATATTACTATATTTACTCACATATAAGATGAGGTTTTTATTCATTTATCACAGCTTCAAATTCCTAGGTCATCCTATATGCACGAGTGAAAGCTTCTTTGTGTTTTTGCAAATAATTTTTGTGAACTGTGTATTCACATTTTTTTACCATATGCTTACCCTCTTGTATTTAAAAACATAAGTATTTTATATGGTTCGTTTCAATCGTTCTTGTATATTGTCAGGAATAAAGATGAATAGCAATAGGAAAAGCAAAGCTTTTGGATTGAATTTCAGATTGAAATTCCAAAATCACACAGGAGCCCAATATAAATTTTAATCCATTCCCATGCGAAAACAGATAATTGATTATTCAGAAATCAGAATTCGGAGAAACTGATAATAATCAAATCCACTCTCCGTCGATTACACTTTGAATTGGCAAAAAAAAGGTTTCAATTGTCCAGCTGTACATGAACAAATTATGTTGTTGATTTTACAAGATTTTTCCTTAAAGTTTAAAATGTCAGTAATTTTTTGAGACAGTGTGTGCATTTATGTTATAATTCTAATTTTATTTTACAAAATAAAATTAGAATTGTATTAATAAATCTAATTTTCTTTATTTTGATCTTTAAAGTCACACCTCATCCTATATGTGAGTAAATATAGTATTTTTAGATGTTATCCTATCATTTATTTCAAACTAATGTCACTCCAATAAACTTCAGTTCTGTTATTATTGTACAGAATAATAGCATTCGTCTGTTCTTTTGGCACCATGAACAAATTTTCTACTTCTTGAGAATGTAAATATCATTATACAATTTTGCAAAGTTAATTATGCAAAATTCTTAAATTTTTAACTGATTTTTGAAAGATTTATATAGCACATTTTATGATTCTATACTGTATATGAAATTATGATTTTTTTGCTCTCCATATTTAAAACTCATACTTGGTTTTTTAATAGTTTAGAAAATAAGTACTAAAAACATTCTTAGTTCTTTTTATTGCTATAGTATAATCATAGATATCAATAATTGCTAAAGTACTATTTCCATTATATTTGAGTTTTATTGTTACAAATTTAGATAATAGTTCTGTATTTCCAAAACTATTTTCTTTTCAGGCAGACATCAGATCCAGAGAATTCTTAAGAATTCATAATTGTTAATAATTTCAACAGCTGAAATTTGTTGAAAATACTCTTTATAAGGCTTATTTGTATAGATATAAGATTATTATTGTTATGTACCTTTATAAAAGATTAATGTGAATATATATTTTATATACTGTAAAATAAATTTGATTGAATAAACTTTTAAAATGTTTTTAAACATTGATGTCCTCTTGCTTGTTTATGATGTGTTAAAAAGTCTATTTCAGAAATAAACAAAAAGCCTCTTGAAAAGAAAAATATTTTTACATAACTATTAAAAATATTACTTCCAATCAATTTGGGATGAAATTTTTTAGTCCAAAGCAAAATGCTCTTAAATATAAACCAACATACTGTACTTGAATTAAGGTTACATCTATCAAATCTGTCATACTTCAATCATTATTGCTGATGGTCTAATCTTATTTTGTTCAATTTGTAGTAATGATTTAAAATTTTTAATCTTTGCCTGTTTTTCTGAATTTGAATATCTAGCATAATTTTACAAAGGATATTTTGTTATATACGACTTAAAAACTTTGCCAGTCTGGTTTCCAATCATTTTTGACTTTAGTCACTATTTTCCAGTATTTTAGATATACAGAAAAATACAATAATTTAATTCCAATACTAAAATTAAGAAAAATTTTTTCTAGGATTCTCTAAAATAACATCAGTTAGAATATTGTAACTTTTAAAAAAATATTTATAGTATTGAAATTGAACAAAAATACATTGTTAAAACTAAAAAACAATCTGGACAGGATCCATTGTCTGTTTATAATGGGCATAGTTAACTAGTGAAAAGACATATTAATTGTTACTATTTATTATTATTGAAGGATATAATCATCTCCAAGCCTAATAGTTAATAATTACATACAGTCGACCCCCTTATAATTACCTCAAACGTCATCGGGCAGCCGAACTACTTTCCTGCCGTCCGTAGCCACGCTACGGAGAGATTTCTATCGTCTGGACAGTATTATATAAATTATATATAAATTAGGTACTGTATATATAATTATATATTAACTTATTGTAACTTTGTTATAATTAAATATATAATTTCCACCGTCTAGCGTGGCGCCACGCTACGGAGATTTTTACGCTAACTATCGTCTGTAGAGTATGTAAATTAGGTACCGTAGGTCTATNATATTAATGATGTCTCCTAAGTTCAAGAAACTATTCGCAGAAAAATAAGTTATTAGAAATCGGCCGCTGTTTGCTGAGCTGTTCCGCAACGAAAACAATGTTGAGCAATGGCGATGTCGAATGGTGACACTCGGTAAGTAATTCTACAATTTTTTATTTATAGCGTAGTTTATACGGATTATTTCCAAAAAAAATATACGTATTTTGGAAATGTTGAGTCAGATTAGTCTAGAATCGATTAATTTTATGGAAGAAAACCTTTCAATCAGCCGTAGTCCGTAAACTTAAACACGTGTCGGGCTGTGATTGGAACGACTCGTAAGAAATCGGATTCCTAAAGAATGGAACGTATCTATATCTTATAGAGGGGTCGACTGTATTAAATAAATAAATGCTAATAGCAGTAATATATCCCAATCAAATCTGGTAATATTTGACTTTAATAAAGTTTTGTTTATTAAAAATATTGTTGGAAATCTTTCGTATTAGATTTCACAAATGATTAGAATATAGTCAAAGAATTTACAGAATATCTATCTATATGTGTATTCTGTAACTTCTTTATGACTATATCTATATCTACAAAAATCATTTTAAATCCAAACCCAATATATTTGATACACAAATGAATTCAAGAAGATATTACCTGAAGTTATCAGATATTAATTATTATTCTAAATTATTTTGCTTAAAATTTTATAATGACATTTAGGAAAGAATTAAGAAATATACATATAAAGAGTTCTAAGCCATTTACTACCATAAAAAATACAAACTTCTTGCAGAAATTAACAAATCCTGTACAATCTATAAATTGTCTAGTACAATTTCTCAATGTGGATGAACTGTACACATCTAACAAATTAGGTAAGGCAAGATATATTTCAACAATAGATTTGTAGAATTCACACCAATCTTTGTAATATGTTAACATTAGAAAGAAAACCATACCTCTAGAATTGTTTCGTTACCTGTAGACATATTAATTAAAGGTTATCACTTTTATAATATTATTATTTCACTTCTAGTTCAGATATTTAGTGAATCTGGAATTGAAAAAAGGGTTTCTGATCGTATTACTAATAATGCTTCCAATTTTGCAGTCTTTGGCATTTATACTAATGAATCTTATAAGTTGAATTAGTAAGAGAAACTCAAATGAAATACAAGTTGATTGCAATTGTGCTAAAGAAAACAGTGATGGTAATTCCAACATAAATGATGAAACTTCTGATATAGTGGAAAAGATTCAATTTTACCATTATTTGCAAACAAAAAGTTAATAGATTTTAATAGCAGTGATAGAGTGAGTACTAAGATAAGTTTAAGTGATTCTTAAGATAAAAATCTTACCTTGTCTTTTACAACACACTTTCCTTGTCCACTTTACAATATAAATAAGGAAATAACTTATTTATACTAGGTTCAATGTATGATTTTCTCAGTTGCATTGTGGAAATTTTTTCTTACTCAGGGTTACCACAGACAATTATCAAACTAGAACTTGGTTGGTTAATTACATAGAAATCTACCTTTAGTTCAAATTATATAATATGTTGCTATTTTGTATTACATTAATAATTATATTAAATAGTTAGTTAATTTAAGACTATTCTGGAAGAAAAGGTTGATTCAGAGGTCAAACCTTACAACTAATGCTTACTGTGCATATATATTGCCAATTAATGCTATCCAGAGTTCTATTCAACCTTTGCTTCCAGACTAGACATGTATCCATACGAGTCAGTCACCATACTGACTGGAAGGACTTTGTACTACACAGCTGACTTAAGCATGATATCTAGAATCTGACATCTCATCTCCCATAATGATTACTTTCAATTTCTTAGTGTAAGTCACACAAATGATGGTTATCAAAATTAAGATATTAAATACAATTATAGAAATATCTTGAAACACCAAATAACTATTATTTAAGTTTTTTCCCCAAGTTAACATTTAAAAGATTCCATTGTAATTTATCAGAATTTTATTTACATTTAAAGTATTTGCTTTAATTTGCTGCTTAAATTGCCTGCAATATTCAGTAAGATATGAAGCCTCAAGTTTGTTAATTGAAAATAATAAAAAAGATTTATAGTTTTTATATGTTAAATTCGATGTAAGATTAAAATATTTTAATTTTTCATATACTATATACATCAGTATTTGTAATGTACAATGAGTTATTTTTTCTTTTTATGTTTTCCTTTGTTAGATCTTTTCTGTGATTTCTGCTGACTTTTTGCTCTACTCTTCTTAATACTTCCTTTTTCCTTCTTTCCACCTTTTCTGTAATTTTCAATTAAAAATAAGTAAATCATAATTACCCAAAAGATTTCTTTAAAAAATTGACAACAGAATCATAAATTTATTTGATATTTTAAATTTGCAAAAGCCTAAAGCTAATGATACAATTAATCTTTAAAATAGAATATTTGTCAAATTATAATTAATTATTCTGACTTAATATTTTGAACAAATGTCATAACTGAAGTGAAGATAAGGTTATGATTTCAATTTTGAAATTAATTTAAAAAGAAATTAAGACATTTAAAAACTTTACTAATATTTACAAAAGACTTAAACATATCTTGTTTACATCAGTCAAATGCAAAATCATATCATAATCTGTAATTCATGTAATATAATTGTCTTAATTATTTTATTAAATATAATTTCCAGAAAATAATAAAATATAAGCAACTCCAAACCTTCTGTACTCTTTCCAGCAAAAACTTTTAAAGGACAAATGTTTTCAGCCTCTAAGGGATCTGCATCAGGTTTTCAAACTATTCTAAAATGAAATGTTCTACAGCATATTCCAAATTGGAATATTCAAAGAATTTTTTGTTCATTAAAGTAAGGTCAGGATTGAAAGATCAATTATGACCCAAGGCTACACTAAGTGCACACAAAAATTGTTAAATGCATAAATGCCACTTTCACATATACAGTAGAGCATCGTTTATCCGAATCAATTGGGGACTGAGGTTGTTCGGATAACTTATTTTTCGGATAACCGATTATATACGAAAAAATATATTAACCATGTTGAAATTTTTCTCCGTTGCATGTTGCTTCACGTTGAATTTTCGCTGATGTTAAGTCTAACATAAACTTTTTAAAATAATAATCATGGCTATTGTATTGCTAAAAATTATTTTTTTATTTTTTTTACAAACAAAATAAATATATTGAAAAATATAACTTTAGAAGTTGATCTACTATCAAAAACGTTCGATTCAGCACAACACACAGTTCTCAGAAAAACACAACACAAAAGTGCCAGTGCTGCCAGCTAAAACACACACACACCAACAAAAAAAATATTGAAGTAGCCCAAGATATAGCCAAAGATTGCAACACAACAGAACTAGCGAAAATTTAAATTTACCAACTGGAATGCTTTCGGTTAACCGACGTTTCAGATAACTAGCTTTCGGATAAACGACACTCTACTGTAAATGCAATCAACAATATTTAGACTCATAGCAAATGGAAAAGATGAGATGTACAATAAAGCACTGGGGATGTAGCTATACCATTATTTGACAGTAGATTCAATATGGGTATAAGCTGGAACTAGACAGTAACTAGACACACACAAAATACCTTATATACTTTTCCAGCAACTTAATCTTTACTAAAACTAATGTTTTTGGCTTTATTAATAAGCTTCATCAGGTTTTTGAACTGAGATTCAGTTTGAAATAATATTTAATCTTTGTTCAAAAACCTGATGAGGCTTATTAATTACTAAAACTAATGTTTTTGGCTTTAAGATTAAGTTGTTGGAAAAGTACATAAAGTATTTTGTATGTCTCTAGTGACAGTAGATTCAGTAGACAACAAACCTATATCAGACTGACTAAGATGTCATTAATGCAAAGAATAAAAGAGCAGCAGTACATTGATAAAAATAAGTATAATACCACACTAGTCTAGTTTGCTAGTGAGTCTGGGATGTCTTCATGTTGGGATGAGGCAAGAACTATAAAGAAGATATTTGATGAGTAAAAGCTAAGAACACTGGATACAGTGAAAATCTATAAAATAAAAATCAGGGGTGATAGCAATAGTTTTGCTATCCCCCCTGATTTTTATTTTATAGATTGGTTTGGAAGTAACAATGTTACTTCCAAACCAATCAGGGGTGATAGCAAAACTATTGCTATAACCCCTGATTTTTAATTAATGCAATCATCCCTTGGCAGTCTGTACTCATCATCCCACTACAATGTTACTCCCAAACCAAACAAGCAACTAACAAACGTGCTAATTCAATTTAGTTACAGAAGTTCTATTGTGTATAATTTTATTGTATTTTATGTTATTTCTTTTATTTGATTAGGTTTTATTCTATATTTAATGTTGTATTAGTAGAATAATTTAATTTGCATCAAGTTGGGTTTGAAAATTTTGAAATGCCATGTATAAATTTTTAAATAATTTGTCATGTTGTTTGAAGGTTCCAATTTGGAACATGTAGCACATTCAATTTTAGAATAGTTTGAAAACCTGATACAGAGCTCTTAAAGAATACAGAAGATATGGAATTGCATATTGCTAAAGTGTTTCAGTAACAAGAGTATAAATAATAAAAGCAAGACTGATAGAGATCTGTGTTCAATATTATGAAACTGAACCTCTAATACACAGAACCAAGACTATTTTTCAGCTAGAACACACTGGTAGACCATATGGGCAGATAATATGAGTATCTTTACTGCTAATAATACTGACAGTTGCTTAGTAAGAAAAATTCTAAATTTGTATATAAAAATTCAGGTGACTGGCCCAATTTGAAAAAAATATGAAAAGAATTGGGCCACCCTGTCAGCTGATTCAAGCCAACCCCCCTTTCATTAAAGGTCATCTTTTGACAAATAATCAATGCTGTCTGGTAATTGTGAAACATTCTCAATCTGTAAGTTGTATGCAATATTATATGTATGACTGGTACCAAATGGACAACTTACAGTTCTCTTATGCCATACTATACACATACAGTAACTTTAATGTCATTACAAATTTCTCACTGCATATTAAGACACCACTAGAAATCTTTCAGAATAAGAATAACTATGATAACATATAATGCATCAACCTTAAAACAGATTTTTTTTTACCATAAAGAATGCAAATTTGAAACAGTATAGTTTAAATTCATGTATGGTATCTTCTGTTCTTGCTAGTTTAGAAAAATTCACAATATTCCCTAGAGTCAATAAGTTATATTGGATGTAAGCTTAAAGAGATTAAGTCTTTATAAAAATTAGTACTTTTAAAACTTTAATATTCAATGAGATTAACAAATATAGTTGTATCATAAATAATTTTAAATTATAACTATGTGAAATTTCTATATTAAAAATTACAATAAAAATATTTAATTCAATTGACTTACATCTGATAATGTAGATAATCATTCACACCCTGTAATAAATTCAAATATTTAATATTTATTTATTTTAATTCATTAAATCATTTTTATGATAAGATACCTTTGTGATATCAAGTTTGGGTTGCTTTTTAGAAATTCCCTCCAAAATGTTTAAGTTTTTCATTCTTTCCTGTTTTAAATCAGAAAATTCAGGTTCAAACTAAAAAAGAAAAAATAATTGTATCAGTTATAATCTCTTTCAACAGTTAAAAAAAATCCCAAATGGTTTAAAAATTGCTAAATTAAGATATGTTATGATGAACCAACAATTATTATTTGCTTTCCAATTTATATGAAATTTTGATATGCTAAATCAAAGCAATTTTTAGTTTTCTCTGAAAAATTATGCTTTCCGCTTTGAGATAATTCTTATTAAAATTGTTGGACATCATAAATATTATGTATACAGAAAAAAATTGTAAATAAAGAATATAAATTTTGAGTACTACCAACTTTTTATTCTTCAATCAGCATTTACAATTTTAGACAAGTTTTTGTTTTCCTTCAAAATTTGATGCAGTTTTACAACAATTTCATTATTTGTTTTAAATTATAAACATGCCACATGTATTGTTTATATTATCTGACCTATTATATTATATTAGTATACAATGTATGTAATATATATATAATATAAATATACAATCGATCCCCCCATAACATTGTTGATAAATCTGTTTTATATGAATTCCATGTTGTATGAGTCACTCAGATTTTACAAATACGTGAGCCGTTCACAGCCCGGCACACATATTTGTAAAATTTAAGTGATTCGTACAACATTGAATTCATATAAAACAGATTCATCAACAGTGTTATAGGGGGGTTGACTGTAATAGTATAGTACCACCTTTTGTATTATATTGATATATCTAATACAAAAGGAGGTAGTATATTTTGCAAATTATAAGATATAAAGTGACAATGTAGAAAAGATGATAGCAAAGAAAAAATTTCATTTGTTACTATAAATATAAGGTTTGTTATATATATATTAAATATATAAATATATATTTGTTACTATAAATATATTTATGAAACATACCTTATAAATATAAGGTATGTTTCATAAATGTTGGCCCACAACTATAAAGTGTTCATTTGGAATGACATATTTGTTTGTTTGTTTATTTATTTTTAACATAATTGAACAAGGTAAAATATAGTAAAACAACTAAGAGAAAAATTGACTTTTGCTATTTGATAGTAAAAACCATTGATTTTTTGTAAAATTTATTTAATACACAGACTGCCAATTTTTAAATTCCTTAAACTTTGTATTGATTGAATTTGACTGTATTTTATTAAAGAATTAACTAGAAATTTACGTAATTAAAAACAAAATTGATGAATAGACACCTTTCTTTTTTTTGTAATCTTGGCTGTTTTCTTTTCTTTTGGCAATGCATCTGTAAATTTTCCAACTGAAGCTGTTGAAACTTTAGCTATTGCCAATGCCTTTGTTAACTAAAAATAAAAATAAAAAATAGTATATATGCTAAATTAGTAAAAACAATGATTTAAAAATTTCATATATTTAATTAGTATTAAATAATAAACTATTAAAGAAACAATATTGCCCAATTTTAATTAGGTTATGATTATTGGGTTGGATTTATGTGTGATTAAACTATTATTATTAATATGAAGATAATGGTTTTAATCATACATAAATCCACTCCAATAAAATTTGTCAAAAATAAACAGAAAATTGAGTACAGTAATATAAAGATAAATATATTATACTTTTAAAATTAAAACTTAGATAAACTTTAGGATTAGAATGACAAACAGGTTTAAAGCTAGAGTAATTCAATAAAATAATTATAACATCAAATAAACATTTATAGTTAATACATGTTTTGTTATAGAGGAATTTTTAGAATGTGAAGAGAAAATAAATACTCAGGAATAATCCATTAATTAAACTATCTATATTGATAATAAATAAAAAAAAAAATTAAAGAATGCATATGCTTAACACTGAAGTGATATCTAAAAATTAGTGTTGCAACAAATAGTATATTCGGCCAGGAGCGGGGCCGAAATTAAAATATAAAATACAAATATTTTATATTTTAATTTTTATTTGATGATAATGACATCTCTGACTAGAAGGCATTAGTAGATTCAAAAAGTAAATTAGCACAGTTTTTTGCATTGCAGGTAGTGTGTATATTGATACATGTAAACTCTGTTTACAAAAATTTTTTGTTGTTAGCTAATTACAAAATTTATTTAAATAATAATAATAATAATAATAATAATACAGTAGACCCCCCTATAACACTGTAGATAATTCCGTGTTATATGAATTCCATGTTGTACGAGTCACTTAGATTTTACAAATACGTGTGCCGGGCTGTGAACGGTTGATGTATTTGTAAAATCTAAGAGACTCGTACAACATGGAATTTATATAACACGGAATTATCTACAGTGTTATAGGGGGATCTACTGTAATAATAATAATAATAATAAATTTCTGCTGAAATATTGCACAAAAACATTTTATGGAGAGTTAGGTGTCATCCAGTGCAATCTGCAGCCTAGTATTATCAAAAATTGTTTAAACTCACACAGAGTGATATGTATTCTCATTAATTAATTAATTAAGGTTCTTACATAATCTAAATTAAAATGAATACAGTTGCTCTGATTATAAAATATTTCTTTATAACTATTTGTAAAAGTCATAGGTGACAGTTACTTTTTTAACAAATGTACTTTTTATTTCTAATATTTAATAAATATAAAATGTAAAAATACAGCACATTCACAAAGAATAAAAAACCTTTGTCTTTGCTCTCCTTTCTTAACATCGGCCTTGTTTTATATTTACTATTTTTTCTACTATTTCTAAGTTGAAAATTTCTTTTAAAACAAAATAAAATTTAAGCACTTACTTCAGTCTTATTCTCTTTTTCACTAGGCATAACACCAACACCTAAAATTAATACAAATTTCTTTCATTTTACAAAATCACTATATAAATCATAAAAATTATGATTATATCATTAACTAATTCATTATTTAATAAATAGTTTATATACTTTACTCATTAAAAATATTATATTTGCAACAATTTAAGACCTATGAATTCATTAATAATAAAATAAGATTTTTGTCCAAAGTAGCACTAACAGCAACTGAAAATTATTAATTAAATATGTCACTTTTTAAAATTTCAAAAAAAATCTAAAGAAGAAATTGGTTTGGAAACTTACATAAAGCAAGAAACTTAATTATATCTGCAAATATTGTCTAATCATTAATACTGTATGTGTGAAATTATTCCTAAGTTGATTAATTAGTATTTAGTAGCTACTATTAATATTTGGTTTATTAGTAATCAGTAAGTTAATGCATTAAAAAAAAAACAAAACATAAACATAGCATTAAAGAAAAAAAAAAAGTTTTTTTAATGCTTTCTTAATGCAAGGTGAATTGACTTCAGTTGCAGTGAATTGTGCTACTAGGTTTTTCTATCTGCTGTTAATACTTCTACTCATTGTGAATAATCAAATTCATGTATATTATTTTGTCTTAATACATTGTTCTCTTTCTGTAACAAGTACTACTGTCTGCTATAAAAAAAATTTTACTTATCATCATCAAAAAACTGTTTTTAGAATGTTATATATTCTAAAAATATAAAATTTATATTGAATTTTCTTTATTTACTTATGAGTTTTAACGATACAAATGAAGAAATTTACTCATCAAAAGTATTAAAAAAAAAAGAGCTTTTGACTTCTTTATGAAACACTTTCTTTTTATAAAATAATTTCAAAACAATAAATACATATTCAAATTATTTGAGTTATTCAATATGTATACAATAAGTAATCATAAAGTATCAATTATTAATTTACAAATTACCTTTAAACTTCTGGGCTCTAGCAATATTTTTTAATCTTTTAAACTCATTTTTTGCTTTTCTTTCTTTTTTCTCTTCCTTCTTTTTACCAAAGTAATCAATATTAGGATCTACAAATTAAATAAAGAACATTAAACTAAGACTATTCATTATAATTATATATAATGAAAATAAAACGTATAAAATTGAATAAATGATAAATACCTAAAACTATACAGTGTATATAGTTTTACAGTGTGTGTGTATATATATATATATTTATAAAATATAGTAGTCTTTACGTATTTATTTTTAAGTTCTTAATTATAAAAATATACTAAAAATATATAACTCTTTTTTACATCATACCTGCATTCTCAGGAATCTCAATGACCCAGTCATTAGAAGTATTGTCTTTACTTTTGTATCCCCATCGAGGTTTCCATTCCTATGAATAAAAATTATTAATTAGTACTCTACATACAATTCTATTATATTTTGATAATGAGGCTTTAAATATTGAGAACTTCCACAACTAATCCAACACATAGAGGTAAATTTTAAAGTCTGAAATGAGTTTGTATGAGAGGATCAAATACAAATTAGATTCCTAAGTTATCAATCACCACAAAAGACAACTGTCAAATGGTGAAACATCAAATCTGAGAAATCATTCTAAAACTGTGAACTGAACTAACTTAATGTAGGAATGGAATATATTCTCAAAGTGTTTTTTGATGGTAATATTAAAATTCTAAATTCTATTAAAAACATGTAAATTATATATAAATTGCAAAAAGTATCAATGACAATGAAAGTGAAAGAATCACACCATATATCTTTTGAATTGATGAACAACTGGCATTTACCATTTTTGCCAATTCAGCAGTATAATGTATAGTATGTATCTTTATCATTAATAAATACAAATTAAGACTTAGATGGGAAAGGAATGATGATTTAAGTGGAATGGGTTTAAGTGAAGTGGCTGTCTAATATTCTTTATTGTCCTACAAACAAGTAGAAGTATTTGTCTCAATCTTTAACATCTTTCTTAACAACTATTTCAGAATTTATTCAGCTTACCTCTATCTCTCTTAAATTCTAAAATCAATATTTCAACTCATTACAAAATAGAAACATTTTTTATTAAAAAAAAAAAAACGTTTCTATTTTGTAATGAGCTGAAATATATTATTATTATTATTTTGTAAGCTTATTTATTATATATTTATAGCTTATAACTTCAACTGATTGTGCTAAAATTAACTTAGTATGAACAAAGTCACTACATTAAATAGAAAATTTTCTACAATTACAAACCAATTATAATTGTTAGAATACACATCAACTGAAAAGAAAATCACATTAAACAAAATTCACAACACTATTCTTTGAGAATTGCATATATTTATCAATTCCTTTCCAAGCAGATTCTCCATAAAACTGAAATTTTAAGTTTAGGAGTTAATAAATTAAAACAATTTTAAGAATTAAGACGTTGAATAATAAAAAGTTTTGGTTCAACTGAATAACATGAAAATATCTAAAGTTAAACTTAAATTAAATTTATAAATGAATCAGTTAATTTTCTTCAATTAAGTAAAAATATCAATCAAAGTTGAAAAAAATTTTATGTAACTTTTAATAATTTTGTGAAATTATTTAAGACTTACTTTTGCAGTTTCATCCCAAACTAATTTCTCTTTTTTCCTTTTATTAATTCCTTTCTTCTTAGCATATTCTTTCCATTTAGTTAATGGTTTTGGTTTTGGAAGCTATAATACATTAAAATTAATGGATACAATGAATAATAATTTAAAGCTTAAATTTACACAACTATATATTTATTATTATTTAATTACAAATATATAAAAATAATATAATGACTTTCACTTTTTCTAAATGAAATATTTTTGGATAAATTAATACCATCTTAAAACTAAAGAATGATCTACTAACATCCAATATTGTAATTTCCATATTTAAAAAAACTAAATATAATTTTACATATATTACACTTTATAAGTAAGAAAAAAAATTACATTTTACTATTTTTTTCTTTGCATTCATAAAAATATGTTCAAAATTTATTCATCATATTAATGAGCAAGTAGAAAAATGCAAATAACTTACTGGCTTCTCTCTTGGAAGTCTTGTTGTTGGATCTGGTAACTGTAACAAAATTAAATCATTTTATTATCATATTCATATTGTAATTATGCAACAAAAACCTTATGCGAGTATACTATCCTGATTAAGAATCATAACACTGATATTTAATTTTATAATTATTATTAAATTAACTAAAGAGAAAGTTAAATTTAATGAAAATTATGCAATTATACATTAAGACATGAAACTGAAATCATGGCCCAACTACACATTCCAGATTAATGTGAAAATTTATCAAGTTACAAGACTCTTTGTATTATATTTTGTTCTTTGTTCTGTTTTATTTTTTTGTTATTTTACTATTTTTTTTATTCTGTTTGAATTCAAAATCTTTTACAGCCATTTATATTTGAAAATGTAAGATGCCAAACAGTTGTTCTATTTGAATGTCTAAACTATTAAAGTAAAATGTTTGGAACTGATGATGGCATTTATAGATCCCAAAAAGCATTATCACAATAAAACAACTTTAATATTTTCATGGTTTTTTTTCTAAATAAGATTAGTGCTAAGATAATCAATTTCTTCTCTTAATGAATTAGTTTTGAAAGTGAATTTACAAGACAATTTTAAACTTAAAAATTTGAATTTGGTCCTTCTGCTGAAATTTGTTTATAAAACTTATTCAGGATGGTATACAGTCTATTCCATTTAAATGGGCCACCGGTTAATTGGAGCAGCTGCTTTATTGGGCCAAATCTGAAAGAATGGAAACCAAACTAATAAATTAATACATAATTTAAATGCTTAATTGGGACAGTAGCAGAAAAGGAATTTAGCAATTTTTGATATATTTTAAAGATCTGAAAATATGTAAGCATTACATACATTAATGTCATACACTAAAGCCATGGTCACACCATGTGATGTCCAGCCGTGCAAGCAACTGCCACTATAATGGCTGTTCTTGTTAACTAGTAAACCTCTTCCGAAAACTGGCATGACTGCAACTGTGATAACAAACAAAAAGTTTGTTCTATTCGTGCCAATTGCAAATGCGCATCCAATCAGCAAATGTCTTTGTGCCACATCATACATTGAAAATAGTTCATCATGATGGACAGTTAGCGGATTAATACTGTTACAAAATCGAGATTGATCAAGCTTATTCAGACTCACGAATGCCTGTGATATTTTAATCCTTTGTTTTATTGAAGATTTTATTTCTTCATTTATTCTCGCTAGCTCTATGAAAATGATCACCTTTTTTCTTTTTCTTTTATTCATTGCAGAAAAAGAACTGCTTGCCATTTTAATAAATAAAAGTGGCTAAAATTCCATAAATACTCTGAAGTAGAGTGTAAACCATTGGTAAACTCACAATAGTAGTCAAAAACAAGCTACTGTGATATTATTGGTTTATTATAGGGTCACATGTTTCCAAGTTGCAACACCAGCAAACAATGTGCGACCACAAAAAGACACATGCAACTTGTGCTTGTTGCAGTTGCAGTCACCTGCACAGCTGGAAATCGCATGATGTGACCACAGCTTAACAATTGGCGGAGCATAGCAGGACGTATCACACTAGGATCCCATCTGAGGAAGAACTGAATGCGAGCTACTGACCCTGCTCTGGATTGGATGATTCCCTTAAAAGTGAAGGAACAAAAACCCCAGACAATTTTTTGAGGTCTCTCGACCAAGTTGGAAGACAGCTAGAGTTCCCCTGGAAGGTGTTGTGTACATAATTACATCTAGACTCAGCAGCCATCCAATCATTGTGACCAGCATCCAGAGCTGGCTGATTCTACAGACACTCTCACTGAAGTGGCCCATCTCCAAGTAAAGGAAACTGTGGTCAAAGAAAGGCTGTAAGGTGACTTTTGGTATTGACGCTATTAATTTGATGTTAAAGATTGACGGGGTGCGGAGATAAAGGGGTTCGTGTGTCATGTCTCCAGTAGAGTCAGACTTAATGACGATTTTACTCATTATTGGGCTACAACTTGAAAAAAAATTCTGGACATGTAGTTAGAACATGTCCAGAACTTTTTTTCAAGTTGGAACACCTGGACATGTTCTAACTACAAACCTGGACATGTTCTAACTAAAAAGGAAGAAAGGAAAGATTGTTTGATCAGGAATGGATCGTCAGCCCTTGTGTACATCACTAATAATATTTGGCAACACTAGCATGATGTGAATCAGTTATCTATCGTTGTGAGTCTGGCAAATTTATAGTACAAATATTTTCTGTATTTTGGTTTAATAAAGCATTAAAATAGGTACCTAATTATTATTATTTTTTACCTACTTATTTATTTACCTACATATTACATATTTTATTTTAGAATTTATTAGTTCATTTAATTGGGGCAACTGCTTAATTGGGCCAAAATGGATTAGTCCCAATGAGTCTCAATTAAGCGGAATCAACTGTATTTAAGAATTGATATCTTTGATTTATGTAACCATTTTGTTTGATATATATCAAAGAAGATACTTTTACATTTGCAACTTATGAATTTAAAAAGTAAGTATAAAGTCTTATATAAAGTATATATATATATATGTAGAGTATCTTTTAAAAATATAAGAAATCATTAGATAATAAATAAAATTTTGTTATAAAAAAGTACTTACTTTGACAACAACAGCATCTTCATATCTCTCAGTTGGTAACTATTAAAAAAAAATTTAAAAATTAAAATATTTTGAAAACAAATTTTACTGATATTAGATTATTAGGAGTTATCTCAAATGAATAATTTTGCATAACAGCATTTTTAAAGTTACAAAATGTTTTAAAATTTAAATATGCAGATTGATACTGTAATAGAGGTTCAGTCCTACATTGTTGTGTTTCATGACAAATTGTTGTCACACATCACTGTAACAATAACACTTACATTAACATTATTATGTCAAATGATAAGGTGAATTAATGGAAAAGCCTTCTTGTACTGAAATGAACAATTCCAATTTTTAAGATAATATTTCAATTATTTGTGCAAGAATTTTCTAAAAGACAAAATTAAGATTTGAAATAATTACTGACATAACAAGGGATCATCCCCTAAACCACTCAAGCCCTCCAAAAAATATAAGAGCCTCAGTTAGTTGAAGACACTAAAGAGAACACAACACTGGTATCTCCAGCAATATTAAATGCAATAAAATGAACAAAACATGTAAATTGTAAAATTGTGGCTACCAGATACTGCATTGCGGCATAGACTTATGGCTTTAAAATAGACATTTGTCCTGAGTGTTAGTAGAATATGAAGAGCTTGTGAAGTGATTGTAGAAATAAAGGAGGGAGAAAAATTTCTTTATAAAGAAAAACACTCATGAATTAGTATTATATAACTGTACTTTTTAAATATACAGTATACCAATGTGGAAAACTAATTTTGGTTTTCAGAATTACATAATTTATGAAACTTATAATTTACTAGATGGCTTCCAATAGACAATTTATAGTGAATATTGTAAATTGTAACAGTACAGTAAAGTGTCAATTTAATAAACTAATTTAGGCAAGGGCTTGAATTAGTTTGTTAAATTGACACTTTACTGTACTGTTACAATTTAGGGGCGTCCGTCAAAGCTGAAAGTTTGCTATATAATAAAGTAGGATTCCGAATGCATGTGTTAAATAATTGACAAATAAACTAATTTGTCAATCTGTTTCTACTTATGTAAATGCATTTGTGTAATTTAAATTAAGTATGTGTGAGAAGTTTAATTTTAAAAAAAAGTTTTCTATAAATATTATTGCATACATACTCACTATAGTTCTAAGACTGTAATAAACAAATATATTGTCTAAATCAAAATAAACAAATAGTTTTTGAAAAATGCACTTTAACTATATTTAACTAAACAAATAAATAATGTTCTTAAGAGCAATGACTCTTGAACTGGGGGGAGGATAATAATCACCTGTTAATTTAAACACATTTAAAAAGCACTTTAAAATTAACAGTGTGTTAATTTTCACATATAACATACAGACTGGAAATTTAGTTTGTTAAATCTGAAGGCCATTAAATTGAGGTTTTACTGTAATATATTCAATAGATATATTCACAATATCTTCAGCTTCGATATGATACTCTTAAAATTCAGCAGTTGTACTTTTTTAAGTTAAATTATATTTGCATTTATTGACCTAAGTAACATTATTTATGTCTATATTCTAACAATAACATGAGTCAAACTGTGGAATAATAAGTTATAAAGTTACAGGTCTCCAAGGCAAATTACTTTGGAAATCTTTAGGTGAGGTGCTATAATAGATTCTGGATTTAACTGGTATTTTTGAATAAAAAAGCATTAAAAACACAAGTATTATCCTCATCAAGCTAGTCAAAATATGACTTACCTCCCAAATTTTATTTATTAAAAGTTGAGTATTGTCTCTAGCCAGTGATATGATATAATTATCAGTGTCATTCCTAAAAAAAATATATATAAATAAATAATTTATTCGCATTTACATTAACTTTTTTATATGAATTAATTAATTTAATAGTATATTTGAAAAAACAAAACTGTAAAATAAATTGTTAATTTACAACCAAGATAAAATTCCATTACAAATACAGGTAATCCCTGTATAACACGGTAGTTACGTTCCAAAAAATTGCCGTGTTATGTGAAACAAAGAACTAGTACGAAAAGAAGGGTTAGGTTCCAAAAATTAAAAAACATGCGGTTATATTTTCATAATTAAAATAAGAAAATTTTAATAAAGATATTTAATTGATACATATTAATATAAATTAAATAATGTTTTCTTCGTTATCACTATTAACCGAGGATAACTTACCAAAAGATAACGGCAAGTTATCCTTATCCTCTGAGCATTTTTCTGCATTATCTTCAGATCCATGCTTTACCTTTTGCAAAATGTATGTAATTTTAGATTGCTTGCTTCTAGTTAAAAGGTCTTTATAAATTTCCTTATATGGTGCTAAGCNTAATACTCTGTGCCAAATATCAACTCTCAACATGTACTCCTTCATACCTATATTCTGGTAAGAACAGGTGGCAGTACGATTTTATAAACAAGATATAGTCTTGTCGTCAATATATAAAATATTCAGCTTAAAATCATCATGGCACTTTTCTCCATGAAAAAAAGAAAAAGTTGCACCAGGAATTGATGAATCATCTACAAAATATTTGTTGTGAATAGTCTATATTGGAAATGTGAGTAAGCCATTGGAACAATTGAGCTGAAATGAACAGCTCATGAAATGAAGGGCAGCAAAGCAATGAGATTTAGCAGAAGAGAACACTTCCACAGGGAGTTGAGCAAAGGGGAAGCAAAGTGAGCAGGAAAATGCTGAGTTGAGCAAAAGAAGCAAAATGGATGGAAGGGGTTTGATTCCAATACAGGGTTGAGTAGGATGTAAAGCAAGTTGAGGGTGAGCTAAAATGGGAGCAGGAAGAGGATGAGCCAAAGAGGTTGCCTCAAACCCAGTGTTTCCCAATCTTTTTTATGCTATGCCCCCACCTAAGCCTTTCTAAAATTCTTAAGCCCCCTAACATATATATCAGCTATACGATTAACTTAAACTCTGGACAAGTCCATTTTTGAATTGCCCCCCTTAACAATCCAATTGCCCCGTGGAGTGTGGGCCCCACGTTGGGAAACACTGCTCTAACCTCTACACAGGAGGGGGTCAATCGAGTCCAATCGCATTTTCCAGGTGACAAGTGGTAATCATGAAGCTACTGAAGAGGACACAAATATTTCTTGCGAAATCTATGAATAGTGCAACTTTTAAAACGTTGGGGGTGGCGAAACACCCCACTGCACTAGCCCAGGGTTAAGTATGTAAAAATTATTACATTTCATGTTGTACGAAAGTTTTACCTAATTCTCGAACCGTGTCAGAGTGAATCCATGCTATAACAGTACTGTGTTATACAGGGGTGGTACCAATTCTCGAACAGTGTTAGAATGAATCCGTGCTATAGAAGTGCCATGTTATACTGGGGTTACCTGTATAATACATTTATATATCTTTCAAAGAACTGGATAAAAAAGTGTATAACTGAAAAAACATAACTGAAATGTACTTAAGTTAAGTACACTACAACAGGGCAGATCTAACAGTTTTTTAAGAGAAATTCATTTATAGCATATGTTCTAGTTTGCTGCAATGCAACTTGTATGTAAATTTTGTATACAAATTTCATAACAGAAATTTTTGAAATTCTTGCTTTTTCAGCACCTTGCAAACAGTTAGAATGAACAACTTCCCTAACTTTTGCAACAATTCTATTTTGGATGTTAATGGTCAGCCTGAATGTGGATCAACTTCAGTTGAAGTTCAACCATCTTTGAAATGTTTCCACCATTTGTATGTTTCAGTCCATTCTAAAGCTTCATTCCTAAATGCTGTTTTTAAGATTTGAAATGTCTCCATAAAGGATTTTTCCACTTTAAAACATAATTTCACATAGATTCACTCATTTTAAACACAATAAAAATTATGAACACATGTAATACTTGTTGATATAAACAGGCATAGCACGATGAATAAGCAATATATTGCTTTACAATTTTCACTAGAATACTTACCAATGTTTCCTCTATATGGAAGCATATTTCGTTAGCAATACTTGCTGGCAGGCAAATTGGAAAGTTTGAGAATTTACCGAACAGATCTTGTATAATGAAGTTTACACACTAATTGAGATGAACATATCTGTATATAACATTAAATGAACGTACTTTATATA